CCAACATTATCCTAATGTAGCTTCCCCGCTCTCTCAGACGTGCTCTAGCGCCAATACATAGAGCACATCATCGCGCGAGTTTGTAGTCGATCGTTATAACTTGATCCGAATCTTAACTTCCCGCGCCTTCTTTTTCGGCGCGAAGACGTCGGCGAAGGCGGATATGCCCAAAACGAGTTGTTTACATAAGTAGGGACCCTGTGGATCGCACGGCACGTGAGCTACCTAGATGTCAGTGTCAGTGTCAGGAAAGCGTAAGTCCCCTGGTATGGTTGCGGCTGGGGAGAATATGCCGTCTCTCAACTGCTGACAAATCTGTGATCGCGCCGTCGGCATGTCTGCCGATGAAGGATCGGCGCATCCATTGAGCGGTGACGACACTGACGAGTGCCATTGAAACAGTGGTTTTTCCTCCTTGGGAGGTTCTGAGATACAATGTATATTGGAACAAACTTTAAACATCGGTTTTGACGACCGCCATTACAGCTTCTTCAGGGAACCGTAGCGGACATATTTCGTCAATTTTCGTGAGTCATTTCCAATAAATGTCCATGGTATTGAGGAATGACGTCGACGACATGAATTGAGCGCGATGGTTGCAGAAACCGCCGTTAGAAGTTGCCCATGTTCAGAAAACATTTAGAATCTCTCATGCCGATTGGCGGCTCAGGCATTTGTCATCAGCCGGGCCGAAATTTGACGAAACCGGAATATCCGCATATCATTTGTCGCCGACATCCCATTTCTTCCGTATCGTAAAATCAGACATAAGCGCTGGGGCCGCATGCCGAATTTCACCGAAAACATACGAGGCAAGGTAGCCAAGGATGGCGTCTAGTACTACGGCAACATGTCAGACCTTGTGACTTAGGTAATTCCGTGGGGGTAGACGCGCTGGCTTGCAGGAGCCCAAAACGGGACCAACCGCCTCGAAGAAGCGGGGGAAGGCATCGGCGATCCGAATCGAGTTATAATGATCGACTCAACACTCTCATCGCGCCGTCATTCCACGCTTGGATCTACGAGCCCGACCGCTCGCCGCACTGCCACGGCTGTAGACGCAATCGCCGAAACCGTCGCGGTGCTGCTGCAGTGCCCTCTTCCCGTTCGTCGACGCCTCCGCCTTGGAGAATTATACAAACAAGGTGCGGGCTTGCCACACCGGCCCGCCTCGTACCAATCTCGCGATCGGCCTTGGCGCGTCGTCTCAGACGGCCCCAGGATCGTGTTTACCTCAAGACCGAGGCTCATCTCCTCTGTCCCTCAGACGTCTCCCTCAACAACTTCCTCTGGGACCCCGTGACCGAACGGGTCTGGATGATAGACTGCCAACACGTGAACGTCCTTCCACAGTCCTTTGCCAGCTTCTACTTCCACCATACCACTGATCCGTTCGTGAAGGCAGTCGCCGAGAGGATCAACCTTCCGGTCTCCTCGCAGCTCGCTCTCGTCGAGTCAGCGGCCTCGTTCTGCAGAGCGGCAATTCATCCTTTGGTGAGCCTCAGCGTCTATGTGCTTCGGCAATCCGGTTCTAACATCTTCGTTAGGTCTCGATGAGTATGGCAACGTCAAGCTACCCCGGCGAGACGTCTGTGTCGCGTGATTGCACCAGGTGACGCCCGTTGGTGCCGCGCTGGTGGTGAGGGGGCTGCATTACCTCGTCTTTATGTGCTGTGCGACTGCAAATGTGTCTACCGCAGTGAAGCCTGGAAGGCCCCGATTCTTTCACGCCTCACTACACGTATGCGAGGCACTAGAGGTAATTCTGTGTCCAGCTTATGGAATGACAGAAGACAAGGACTCAGAGCATTGGAAACCGAGTTGCGTGCAGACCGAGTGAATGTAAACACAGAGCATTCAGTACAGTCTGATATATAAAATTTCGTCAGCAAAGACTCCATGCAGTAGAGCGCTGCCGCTAAGCGAGAACAATTCCTCCGAGAGCCACACCTAAGAGGAGACCTGCAATATTCACACTCATAGCCGTGCTCACACCACCTGCAGCTGTTTGGGTCGATGATCCTCCGCCGCTGGAAGATGAGCTGCTCGAAGGAGATGCGCTCGACGTAGACGTAGACAAGGTTTTTCCAATGTTGTTGCAAGCATCAATGAAGCCTGAGGCAGTAATTCAGCACCCCTATTTCTGAGCTCTAAGCACATTGATTATGTGCTCACCTGCTATGGCCCTGTCAGCAACTGCTTGGTCCCAACCAACGATGTTGGCAGCCACGACACATGGGACACAGGTCCTCATAGCATCCAAAACCTTGTCAGTGCACAGGCAGTCAAATGTGATGCATTGGCCGGGCTATTGTAGTCTAATCAGTTGACCGAACGAGTAGCGGAGGAATGAAGAGGGCTTACGGCATAAATGTCGGCCAAGGGCTTGCAAGTGGTTTGGAGGCAACTTTCCGGGGTTTGAGATGGGATGAAGCCAATATTCGATTGTCGTGCTTGAAGGCCAAAGGGAGTAGGCTCAGCAAGGGCTGGAGAGCGTAGTGAGATTCGAATATTACAGAGTGAGGAACGAGCTGTTTACCTGCTGGAAGGGAAACAAGGGCGGCGAGAGCAAAGGCGAAGAGAGCAACCATTTAGCAACTGGGAAGCAGGCGATGCGCTGGTGGGAAGCGAATGGCGACCTTTATACGTCCAGTTTACAGGAGCGTTGAAGGTCCACAAAACGCCGCAGACCATCCAGAGAGATCAAGCGTTGGTCGTAAGTAACGGAAGAATTTTGACTGGCCAGCTGCCGTCATTGACAGGCGGTGCGATAGAGTGTTGGGTACGAGAGACGATCGCGGACCTTGCTTCACGAAGAGCTGAGGTAGATTCAGAGGTCACAAGTGCCGTGAAGAAGACGCCCTATAGGAGACTGGCCCTCCACAAAAGGATGGGCAGAAAACTGGGTGTCCTAGCATGTCACTTGTTGTAACCAATTGGGAAGATCAGGTCCGTCAGCGCCAACCCCTGGCCAGGGATGAATCATCGAGAATACATAGGCGGAAGCCCGTTCATGGCCATTCAGCGCAAGCCATGCACGCGTTGGCTTGGCACAAACCGATCGTGAAATAGTCTCGCCAACCTATCCTATGACATTGAGCGCTGGACACTTCGATGGGAGATGAACGTTGGGCGTTGAACTTCGATCGTCGAGAGGTGGCTATGCGCGAATGATTAAAGGAAAGAGTTCAGTGTCTCAAGGGATTATTGGGGGTGTCTGAATAGAATCTGAGCATACCAAGGCTGTTCGTGGAACAAGATAATATCGATACCGCTGGAGAGTGCCTTCGATCAATCCAACGTGCCACAGGCCTACAACACGTTCATCCTCTGAGCCATCGAACATGAGTTAAGGAAAATACGTTCATCGAGATACATATATGAGATGAGACGCTCCCATTGAGAACATGGAAAGAAGATTCGGAGAACCTAGATAAAATGTAGGAGAGCCTGACCAAGGTTGTAGGTCTCAGGAATTGAACCGATGACTTAGAGCATTGACTTTGTGGGATTTCACACGATAAAGCAGCTATCAGCGCGATTGAACCACTAGGCCAAAAGGTGTACACCTAGTTTTTCACTCTTTGTCTTTTGTCACTCCCAATTCGACAACCGAGGATTCCATGACATATATTATAGCTAGCGTCATTTGGACCCCGATCCAACTGGTGTTGAGGGGGGTTATCGTCTCACAACGGGGAGGGGCTTGCTTCCTTCCCACGCCGTGACAGGGACAGCTGGTCGCGCTGATCGCCAGTCTGCCGACGTACTGCCGCTTTACGGACTTATCGTGACCTAGACTGTGCGTAGCCATCACCCACCTTTGGACTCAGTCGGCAGTCTCCGAAGATCGTACCGAAAGCAGTACACAAAGTTGAGGAGGGAAGGTGATCCGGCGTTCACCGTTGCCACCCTATTTGGCTGAGCCACTGAGGCCAAATAGAACGCGTAACACGACGCGCACGCCGTGTACAGAGGCTTCTGAACGACGACGACCTCTCAATAATGCCTGCTGCTACAACATTGCCAATTGCGCCAGGAGGAATCAAGTCCTACTACCAGGCGAAGATTGAAGCTGCCGAGATCTTGATCAACCAGAAAACCCAGAATTTACGACGATTGGAGGCTCAGCGGAATGCTCTAAATGCACGAGGTAAGAAACAACTACAATTTCTAGCACAACGATGGAACTGACGACCTCCTCTAGTAAGACTGCTAAGAGAAGAACTTCAACTGCTACATGAACCTGGAAGTTATGTTGGCGAAGTCGTGAAGGTGATGGGCAAGACGAAAGTGTTGGTCAAGGTTCAACCAGAGGGCAAATATAGTACGTCTCCCGCCATTGAAATCGACTCTGGAAGCTGCTACAACTGACTTTCTCTAGTCGTGGATGTCGATCCTGAGATAGACGTCAACCAACTGAAGGCGACTCTCCGCGTGGCCCTTCGTTCTGATTCCTACACACTACATAAAGTCCTTCCTAACAAAGTCGACCCTCTTGTCTCGCTCATGATGGTTGAGAAAGTTCCCGACAGCACCTACGAAATGGTTGGCGGTCTCGACAAACAAATCAAAGAGATCAAGGAAGTCATTGAGCTACCCGTCAAGCACCCCGAACTCTTCGAAGCTCTCGGTATCGCACAACCAAAAGGCGTCCTACTCTACGGTCCTCCTGGGACAGGAAAGACACTACTGGCTCGTGCTGTTGCCCACCACACCGATTGTAAGTTCATCAGGGTCAGCGGAAGCGAGTTGGTGCAGAAGTATATCGGGGAGGGCAGTCGAATGGTGCGGGAACTGTTCGTGATGGCCCGAGAGCATGCGCCGAGTATCATCTTCATGGATGAAATCGACTCCATTGGAAGCTCGAGAGGAGAGAGTGGGAGTGGCGGCGGTGACTCCGAGGTACAACGGACAATGTTGGAATTGTTGAACCAGTTGGACGGTTTCGAGTCCACTAAGAACATCAAAGTAATCATGGCCACGAATCGTATTGGTGCGTACCCCGATCCTACTGTATATCTTACAGTGGCCAACGAAACTGTTCAGATATCCTTGATTCCGCCCTGCTACGTCCCGGACGCATCGACCGAAAGATTGAATTTCCTCCACCTGGCCCAGAAGCTCGCGTTTCAATTTTGCGCATCCATTCTCGCAAGGTGCGCGGTCGACGTGGCTTATTACTCTTTCAGATCGATGTTGACCGATTCCTCCAAAGATGTCCCTCCAACGAGGAATCAACTTACGAGCGCTTGCAGAAAAGATGGGCCAATGCTCGGGTGCCGAGGTCCGCGGTATTTGCACCGAAGCAGGCATGTATGCGCTCCGCGAGCGGAGACAGCATGTCACACAAGAGGACTTTGAGTTTGCAGTGGCTAAGGTCCGTTTCGATTCTTTCCCTCTATCTTGCTACTCACGGGCGCCTAACTTTGGTTGTGATTGTAGGTTTTGAAAAAGAACCAGGAAGGAAACACCTCGGTCAACAAGCTCTTTTCGTAGACGTCACAATCCACCCCTTGTATTGCTCCACCCTGAATGTCTTTTTCCTGTCTTCTTTGCATTTTGTGAACATGCTCGAAATATCGATGCGTCGCGCATGTACTCTCTCCTTGAAACAACTCGGCTCTAACGTGCAAATAACAAAGTATGCCCACTTCCCGGACCACCAATTCTGACCGCAGCAGCTGCGTTGCTTTTGCCTCTTCTGAAGGTACGTATTTAGACGTTTCGCGGTGTTCATTTACTCCACGCTTCTTTGTTAGTGTTCCGCATCGCTTCCTTGTTCCGTGATTCATCTTCTTCATCTTCCATCCTTCCACACCCACCTGCCTTCACTTCAGCTCCCTTGTGTTTCTCTGTCTGTTGTTGGCTGTTTAGAGTGTGGTCCTGGGGTTATTCATGTGCGTATATGCACTCTGGGCTCGCTGGAGTATAAGCTTGCTTGTGATTGGAATCAGAGAAACGAAGGTTCGTCGTCCACTCTAGATCTGCTATAACTTAGGCGCCCATCGATGAAGGTTTCTCATCCTAAGCAACCTCATATACGCTTGACCTCCCTTCGTCTTCTTGATGGCCTGATAGCCAACAGTACAAAGGAGCGCCACAAGTGAAAGATGCCACGTTTTGAATGGCTATTTTTAGATGCAATGAGGCGGCAGAAAGCGGCGTGAAAGGGTAAGCTGCGGTATAAAAGGTCGCCTCGCTTACGTCTGGTTCGTTTCCCGCATCCTTCCTGGCATCCACACTGCTCTCTAGACCTGCGGCACCAACGGCGATGACCAATTGCCCTAACGTCCTCGCCCACGGGTCCTGCGCTGACAGCACCTGCCGGTATGCGCACAACATAGTGGTTTGTGAGCCCTGCGAGCAAGTTTTCGCCACCGAAGATGGCCTTCGCCTCCATATGAAAAGTCAAAGGCACAAGAAAAGACTTGGCGGTTATGCGACAGTCTCGTCCTGCTCATTGTGCAACATCAACGTCTACCAGGGAGAGAACGGATGGGCTACTCATGTCGCATCTCCAAAACATGTTAAAGTTGCAACCAACCTCGGCGTTGCACCAGATGTCGCACGGCAGCCTGGGATCACGCTTGCCAACGAGATCCACTGCGATATCTGCCAGGTCATCGTTCAACCCGCTCATCAATGGGGTGCGCATATCAAGACAAGGAATCATGTCAGGAGAGAATCGTTCGCGAAATACAAGACTGCAGTTGACGATGCGGAGAAGGACAAGAACGGGGTTGGTATTGAGGGTTCTCTTGACTTTGGTTTCGTTGAGCCCGCAGTCGCCCGTGATGGGATGAAGTTGACGACCACGATTACGACTTCGCAGCCTTTTTCGAGCTCTGTCCTGGTTGAGGTTAAACTTGCGTCGTCCCAAGGCACACCTCGCACAGCATCTCCGTACGATTTAACTCTTTTCTTCTCTTGTTGTGCCCCTCATCTTCTTCCTAGGTTCTCCTCAAGCTTCCCTATTCAGCAATCTGACCGCAAGGTGACCTCGAGAAAATCGATAGCCGTCATTTTTACCCTCAGCCAAGGACACATAGGCCGCTATGTAGACCGTGCCGAGTTCATCTTCCAAGATACGCAACTCAGGAAGCAATTCACCATCACTCGAACTTTAAAAGCCGTCGTTGGCAATCAGGCAGAACACGAAGCCCTCATGCCGCGTACTCCATATACTCCCCGGAGAAGGACGACTCAGAAGCCGATGCTCGAGCTAGTGGAAGGCATTAAACCTCCTGCTCTACACGCCATCCCCTATATCGGTCGTCTCCCAGTGGCCAATATCCCATCCCAGCTTCAGGGCATCCTATCAGGCTCACAATCCACAACAAAGCTCGTTGACCAGATACGCCGGGTATTCATGCCAAACGTCCTCGACTCAGATACGTACGGCAGGCATCATAAAACCTTGTTATGGATCGAAGAATTTAAGATGGAGTAAACCTTCTCCTTCCCGGTTTGCTTGTAAATTACTAATTCCAATTCCCTTTAGACAGGATCTCGAAAGATACGACATTCTTGACGCGACCCTTGCGCGACACAACAATTATTACTAGTGAGTCTTTGCAGTTTCCGTCATGCCACCAAGCTAAGGGCGTTGCTTCAGCTTGACTGTTCCAGGCCTGGCGGAGAAACGACCTAGCGTGCTTGTTGGTATGACACAGGTCTTCGTCCTAGTCGTTCGATCTGACAAGTATCTTACCAGGGGACCGTATATTCGTACAAGAACAAGGAGCAACAGATGGACGATGGTTTGAAGGACACGTCCATGTCCTTCGTCAGGCCGAAGTCGGCCTTCGCTTCCACGGAAGTTTCGGAAGATATTCAGAAGGTCGTCATTTCCATGTGAGGTTTAAGTTGAACAGGATTCCTGTTCGCCGCCAACACCAAGCCATGGACACCGCCTTCACCGAAGAACGTGTTTTGTTCCCATTAAACGGACATTTCAGCTCGGCTCATGTTCCGAACCCGTGCGATGCGTCTCTTAATCTGTATAACAAACTCATCGGGGGAAATCCACCTCAGCTTCAAGCTGTGGTCTCGATTGTTTCCTCCCCACGAGGATCTCCTCCCTTCGTAGTCTTCGGGCCGTAAGCCTCTTCGTTTCTCGAACGATGGTCATTAGCTTACCCTGAATCCCGTTAGCCCTGGTACTGGCAAAACTATCACAATCGTAGAAGCCATCAAGCAGCTGTTGCACAAGAATCCGACCACGCGAATTCTCGCATGCGCACCCAGTAATTCGGCAGCGGACTTAATCGCCTCTCGCCTGAGAGGTACCCTCGGTGTCGATGAACTATTCAGGTTCTACGCACCGTCTCGTTTCAAGAACCAAGTCCCTGACGAGCTCCAGCCCTACACATACACTCAGGGTGACGGCCATTTTTCTGTCCCAATTATGCCTCGCATGCGTCGCTTCCGAGTTATCGTGTCAACCTGCGTTTCAGCCTCTTTCGCTGCTGGAATTGGCATGCCACGAGGTCATTTCAGTCATATCTTCATCGACGAAGCGGGCCAGGCCACCGAACCAGAGGCTTTTGTGTCGATCAAGATGATGGCTGACCCGCAGACGAACATCGTCCTGTCCGGTGATCCCAAACAGCTAGGACCTATCATTCGTTCTGGCGTTGCTCGAGCATTGGGATTGGAGACGAGCTATCTCGAGCGTCTTATGAACAGGGATGCTTACAGTGTGCCAATCGGTCATGGAAAAAGGTAGGCATACAAGGCCTCTGACTTGAAGTGTTGTTCTGTGCTGAGAATCACTCCTTTAGCGTTGTCAAATTAACCAAAAATTTCCGTTCGCACAATGCAATTTTGCGATTCCCTAACGAGAAATTCTACGAGAACGACCTACAACCCTGCGCCAATCCCTCCGTCATTGATTGCTATCTCAACTCGCCCTACCTCCCGAGCAAGAAGTTCCCTGTCGTTTTCCATGCTGTTCCTGGAAAGGATGATCGCGAGGCTTCTTCGCCGTCCTTTTTCAACATCGACGAGGTACTTCAAGTCAAGGACTATGTTCAAAGGCTCAAAGAAGATCGGCGCTTCAGGACAGGTATGGCTTATAATCCGAATCACTCAACGTTCTAAGTTCCGGATGTCTAGCTGACTCGGACATTGGTATTGTCGCGCCATACCATGCCCAATGTCTGAAGCTCCGAACATCTCTTCGCAGCGTTGCTGATGGTATCAAGGTTGGCTCCGTTGAAGAATTTCAAGGGCAGGTATGACCTTCAACTTATTTTGCGAAGCTATGAACAAGCGGCTGATTGATTCCAGGAGCGAAAAGTCATCATCATCTCAACAGTCCGGAGCAGCAAAGAGTTTGTCGAATACGATCTTCGCCATACGCTTGGCTTCGTGGCTAATCCTCGCCGCTTCAACGGTATGACCTGTCCTATCCATTCTAAGTGCTACACTGACAATTGACAAATCATTGGTAGTCGCCGTAACGCGTGCCCAAGCCCTACTCATCGTTGTTGGAGATCCCAACGTCCTTGGCCTTGACCCACTCTGGCGGTCGTTCCTCAACTACATTTATTCGAACGGCGGCTGGACCGGTCCGGATATCCCTTGGGATCCAACTTTGCCAGTCGAAGAGGCGGGCGACTATGACAAGGCCGTCCGTGAAGCTGCTCAGCTTGACATGAATGAGTTCGCTCGTCGCATGGAGAGTTTGACCATGGCCGAAGTAGAGGATGAACTAGATGCAAACGTCGACCGGCCGTGGCGTGATGTTGAGTAGACTTATTATCTTGCGATCTTTTGAGTTCCGCACCTTTCTTGAGTAACCCCTTTCTGAATGTGATGCTCTGTAGCTTTCTGATTTCGGCCTGTGCAGAATCTCCTTTGGCTGGTCTGTTCACAAGCGTTTCCGGACCAATGCCCTCAAGAGTTCTATCAGAAAGGTTGAAGAGGCGATATCCACGCATTTCACGGATTAATTCAATGCCAGGCATGATGGAAATTCACCGCGCCCGTATCGCACAAATGAACATACGAAATTTTGAACCCCGTTTCGTTGATGTGACTCTGGGTTATTTCGAGTCTGCTTTCAGTTCATCCCGGATTTACTTCAATTCCTGCCGGTTTATCTTGGCAAATTTATGTTGATTTGTGGACGGACAGAGTCTCCAGTTTGTCATGACCGGCCAACGCTCGATTGTAAATTGGGCCGACTTATGCTAGAAATCTTTCACAGTTACTGACAATCTCGCATGCCCTGGCATCTACCGCCTGTTCTATTTTTAGATCTGGCACTGCGTGTGTCGGGATCTCGGAATTAGCGTGCATTTATGATTGTCCAGAGGCAGTGGTGCATAATCTGTGGGGGCTTCTGTGCTCTCACTGCCTGGACCTTTAGAGACATTTCCCAGTAGGATGACAAGGGGCTGCACATACACAGCTGGCGAACCCAGCGCCAAGTGAAAGCCGTATCTCCGCCTATCTGCTGTATGTGGCCAGACGAACTGATTGGGCGGGGGGCTATTCTCTGAGATGTGAACTTCTTTCGCTGCTGGCAAGTGGTGCTTGTGGCCGAGGGAGGTCATTAGGGCCATGCAGGTGATGATGTCGTTCCGGGATTCATGTATTGAAGTGGGGATGCCAATGGGCGATTTCCCATGACCACTACCTTCTAGTTTCGTACAGGAGGTTCGACGCATGAGTCCGACGGTCGTGAGCGTGCTTGGAGGCTTATTGTCTCTGGAATATATATGTAAGGTGCGATAAGGGGTTCAGGTGGTGAGGCCGTGCATGGATGTTCAACTTGAAATAAGACGCTATTGAAATATTGACGCCTTTGTTCTTCGTCTCTCCGTCCAGCTCGTACTTCGACGCCAGTTACTGGTGTCCCTATCCTCAATTGCAGATCCGATGGGGCTAATCTGCAATCTTGGAACATGAACAGTAATCGCCTTCCTGAACCTTGCCCCCCGTTCTATTTTTACACCCTGTGCCTCAGAAGCAGACGAGATGACGAGGAGGGTTCTTTCATATCAGGATCAGGGAAGACCATCAAAGTACGAAGGTCCTTGAAGCTTCGGAGGCTCAGGCCTCAGGGCTGAGAACAGCCTTTCTGGGCACGCACTCCGAGTCAGATGGTAGAGAGGCGGCAATTATCTGACCCATTCCACGAGCATGTGGTGATGTTGAATCTGTAATGATAACGGCTTCAGCTGTTGGGCTGGTGATTTGCTTTAGGTGGTTAAGTGACAGACGGCGTTTGGTCATCCTAGCCGCTGAGCTAGTGTATGGCAGCTTGAAAACCCCCCGAGCTATCACTTGTTCAACCCACGCGATGCATGTCGTTTTAGGATCCTTTCATACGCCAAGACAAAAGGCTGGCTTTAAGAATCGACAGTACTCATGCTGCAATAAATATACTGGTCCAAGGAAAGGCGCGTTATTAACTGAGGCACACTGATTGACATTCGAGGTCTTCTCCAGCCTTCGAATTCGTACTATGAAGGAACAGACCAAGTCCGTTCGCGGGCCGATCCAAAGAATGCCCTCCTGCTGCAGCTCGCTGCGGTCCGCTTGAATAGTACTTTCTACTTGCGGACCTGACCTCTTGACCGGTTCGCACTGCTTAGCGACGAGTCACGAGCGCAAAGTCAGGCTGCGTGCAATTACCTTAGGTCGAGGCTCTTAAACTGTGGTCCAATATCTACCATCGAGTATAACGCAAGGCTGTGGATCAATACTGTCTGTCGCACTTGCCTGTTGTGCGGATGAATGACACTGGCGCCGGGTGGGGTTTTCGCCAGGTGCTCGGTAAATCCAGGGTCGCACTTGTGTGGCGTAGTCGAGCCGGCCCGTCGGCTAACGGCAAGTTCCGCTCATGGAGGTCCGATGTGCCGCTGGAGGTACTTGAATTGAACTTCCGCCTTGCCAATTGCCAAGTTTTCTGCTCTGAGAAATAGAAGGATTGGGAGACGGGTTCACCCGTCGCAGATCTCGTTGGAGCCTCAGAGTCAGGTGGATGGTACCTTTGGTTTAGAGACCAGTTCGACCATCCAGCCACTGTCGGCGTGCTCTTCCAGGATGCGCACACACAAGTCTCCAGAAATATACCACTTCGAATTCGATGGTACCTGTACCTGTTACTACATAGCTTCGAAGTCAACAGATAAACATACTAGCACTGAACTTCATCCGTCGGATAAAGGACTTATGTCATGCACACCAGAACGCCTCGAGGCAAGGTGGGACCGCGAGAAGGAGAAGGCCATCCGAAAATAAAACGGGGTACCTGGTTTCTAGTGGCTCTGTGTCATGGGTGTGCGCGGAGGGGTGGAACTGAACGTGCACGTTTCATTAAGGACTACCACATCGGACCCTCCTTCGATCTCTTTTTGAAGTTAGGCTGGAAAGACTACAGTCGTTGGATAGCGACGGATGATGGTAGTTATAATTTGCATTTAGGCACTCCCCGAAGAGGTTCTAGTCAGGGCAGAATAATTTTGGGTTATGGTCGTGTTAGCCGTCTGTGAGGTCATAACGATGTAAACAGGGTCAGGCATGAGCGCCTCGAGGTCGGCCGACTTATGACATGAGTAGGTTGCTCTGGTATGTTTTCCCAAGTCCATGTGGGCAATGGCAAGGTTTCATTCCGTTATCTCTTGACTCCTGCACATCCGCGTGGTTTATTAACGGCATCGGACGGGTTTTCGGTCCATGGCTGTGTCTTTTCAATAGATATTTGGCGGCAATGGGTTGAACAGGAGCATCCCAGCAGTAAGGATAGAGAGGCATTCACTCTGGGTAATATTACCGCCATTCCTCCGACTACCAAATTTATATGAAACCATGCCCTGGCATTCGTCATCGAAATGAATGGCCGACGAGTCCGGTGGGCCTTTTTGCAGGTTCGCGTTCGAATTCTTAGGCCGTGGCTGTGGAGTGGACCTGGGACCTGCCTTGTGCCTGATCCATTATGGCACGCTAGGGTGAACTGGTGCGTGCGGAGGCGGGAGAATGCTCTGGGATCGACAAAACTCCGTTGATTAAAGTCTATAGGCGGCATGGCAGTGGGCGCGAGTGGCGCAAAGGGACAGATAAAGGGCTTCAAGGCCTGATGAACTGATCTAATCTCCTCGTTCTTAGGAGACGGGGATATCGGCATTCCGGGTTGTCTATTCGATATCAAATGCTCTTTGTATTTACTATTGAATTTTTTGCCTCCGTGGTTAGAGGCCTCATAGAGGCGGCTCGCACACTGATGGTGCGCCACACTGACTTGGAAAGACGGAAATTGGCTACTGATTATTATATTTAATGAATGTGGTGGACCTTCGTGATTTCCTCGCATTTACCTGTCTGTCTAGTTGGCATTTCTGCGTCGGCGGTCCAAATATTAAGGGTCCACGATGGCTATCTGAAACGCAGACAGGCATGGCGTAGGCGGTCTACTTAAAAACCGTACTTTATATGTGATCTCGCCCCGAGGTATCAGCCATGGTATAAAGGCCTGGACATAGAGATAAAGAGCGATATGCAGGTCTTAGACGGAGCGTCAATTTTGAACAGGCTGTCAAGTCTCGTTGCAATCTTTGAAATCCATCTTCCATGCTGGTATAAATAAGGAGAAGTGGGAGGCTCTATGAATAGTGCCCAGTTCTTGTTGCGCAATTCTGTACGATTCAAGGAAGCCTTGGATTGGAGGACGCCGGGTACGGCTACGAACAAGATCAACGAAATCCAGCCATTACGACACCCTGAACGTACCGCCGAAATTCGGAGTGCACGCTGGTAGGCACGGGTGGAGGCTAGTCAAGACAGCCATATTGCGAGGTTCAGAGGAGTCGGAGAAGACAAGCCGGATCAGCTGTATGTGGGCTGGTTCGGCGAACCGGTGGGGATGCGGTGATCGTGCCTCGGTGCCTGTCGTTCAGGAACGGCGAGCCGGCTCGGGTTGGTGGCTGGATGGATATACAACTCGACCAAGTCTAATCGTGTTGTGCCTGAGAACTACTCCCTCTCTTTCAGCCATCACCACCACTATGCCTGTCTCCTCCGACGACCCACTCGACGAGGTCCTCAGACCGCCCCCAGACGAGACCCCAGAGCAACGTCAGATACGTCTCGAGTCGGAGGCGGAGGCTCGGCGCGTCAGCCAGGCCATCGATGCGAGCCTCAAGGCCGAACGACAGGCGCGCAAGAAGAAACGTATCGTGAGGCTCTTGCTGTTGGGACAGAGTGAATCCGGTGAGCAGCACTTCCAGTGTCATTTTTGTGCGCTTTGTAACTCGATACCGCCTATCCTAGGCAAGTCAACAACCCTACGACGTAAGTTGTTACCTCCTGCCCTTGTTGGAGTAGAGAATTTATCACGGGGAGATCAGAATTTCAACGACTGTATACACCCACTGCTTTTCGAGAAGAGCGGATATTATGGCGTGCCGTCATACAACTCAACATCGTTAGGTCAATACGAACTATTCTAGAGGCCATCTCACAACCGCTACCGAATTCACCCTACTCCTCACCCCGGTCGCGCGCGCGCAGCATATCTCGTTCGCGACAACCTGTGCCCTCGTCGACCAACTCACCACCCATGCCTTCGCACCGCCATGCTGTCGACGTCATGGGAAATGCCTCCAACAACCGAAGCAATGGTACCGGCATCGACATGCAATTTTCATATGGCTCTCCTTCCCACTACCCACCACCTCTTCCAACACACCAACGGCAGAACTATGACGAGGAGGGTTATCCGGATTACGATAACGACTCTGATGGGGAATATAACAACGCTGACGACTCGTACCATGGCCAGCATAATTTCGACGGCAGCCCAAAATCACACCCCTCGGGTTCCTCGACAACTCTAGCTCAATCACCACTGGAGGTTCTTAAAGCCCGTCTTCTCCCACTACGACACGTGGAAGCGCTGCTCATCGCGAAACTAGTGCCACCGAACGAAGAGGAGGCTACGCACCTCGATTACCCCATTCACGCCCCGTCCCCAACCGGATCACACTTTTCTCATCACACTAACGGGCATGGAAGACAGCGCAGTCGGTCCTACCACAACCAGGAGATTTTCATACGCCCCGGCGCAGGATGGAAGGGCGGATTGTCACGGGCCAGGGTGAATTTTGCAGGTTATTCATATGGTGACTCATCCTCGAGCGCTGGGCCAAGGCCGACGAGTGCGGGGAACACAGGACTCGAGACGCCCGATGAACCGCAGGAGGTACTCAATTCGTGTCGGAAGGACATGGTTGCGCTCTGGAATGACCGAGGGGTGAGAGAAATCTTGCGGCGGAGAAAGATCCGGCTGGAGGAGGGGAGTGGTTTGTGAGTTGTCCGTTTAGTTCCGTTCGTCGCGAGTCAAACACTGAACCACGTCATCCTGTTTTGTTCTCTCCTGTTACAGTTTCCTGGATGACCTAGAAAGGGTTACGTCGCTGAAATATCTACCCACCGACGACGATGTCCTGAAGGCACGCCTGAAAACGGTGGGCGTCTCGGAGTATAAGTTCGAGATGGAGGTTAGTGCTGGGAGGGACAGCGGGACAGAGTGGAGAATCGTTGATGTCGGTGGCAGCCGGAGTCAACGACGTGCGTCCTCATTTTCTGTCCCATTTCAGTCTAATAACCACTTTTGTGCACATCTAGCGACATGGGCGCCTTTCTTTGATGATGGTGCGCTTTGTTCTCCTCAATGTGAAAATTTATCCCGCATATGCTCACCGTTTCATCTTCTTCTCCCGGTTTACAGTGGACGCGATCATCTTCCTCGCCCCCATATCAGGGTTCGATCAGGTTTTGGCAGAGGACAGAACCGTGAACCGTCTTGTAAGTTCGCCACAGCCTTCCTAACTTTCTTCTGCCGCTAAATCGATTCGTGCTGCGCTTCTCTCTGATAGGAAGACTCGGTGTTGCTGTGGAAGGCTGTGTGCTCCTCAAAATTGCTCGCCAACGTAGACCTCGTGCTCTTCCTCAATAAATGTGATATTTTGGAAAAGAAATTGAAGTCTGGCATCCGGTGAGTGTTCACGATTCACAAGCTTCTTCGTTGGCTTTCTTCGGCAAGTGCGCCTTTCGTGTGATTTTCCGCCCCTCTTTTTTCGATTTCCCCCCTCCTGGTGGCCCCTTTCTTTACTTCCCCCAACGGTGGCGTTATTAATGAACCAAACCAATTCCTTTGCTCGCCTGTGGTCCCGAGCCTTTCGGGGCCCAGTAGATTCTTTGCAGCGGTGTCATGCTTTTTTTCATGTTGGATATTTGGTTTCGTCTGTCACCCCTCCCTCCGCCATCAAAGATATTCTCCGCACACTATTCCTCGTGTTGACTTTTTAGAAAAAATCGTCAACGTGCTCCTCGTGCTCTCTGATTTCTCTTTTCTCTCACTACATGATTCGTTCCCTTTTCATTCGCCACCGCTGTTAGTTTTCTATCACCGGCGCCGCTTCACCTTCCATTTGCCTTGTCTAATCTCCTCGTCTTTCTCATTGATTTACACATTTGTCTCGCAGGTTAGCGAAGTATGTCCGGAGTTATGGCGATCGGGAAAACGACCTTGATAGCGTGAGCAAATGTGAGCTTTCGTTTGCCCCTTTATATGTTCGGGACGGCCTTCTCGACCATGCTTCTCGCTGCTGACTGAGTCTTCTCTCTCCTTTTCGTGCTTCTTTTCCCTTGTACCTGGTGGCGTGCCTTGCCTGCGGTTCGATTAGACCTGCGAGGGAAGTTCAGCGCGATTCATCGAGAATACTCGCCGAATCCACGAAAGTTCTACGCGTTTTGCACGAGCGTCACCGATACTGCAACGACGGCTGGTATAATTGCCAGTGGTGAGTTTAGGATTGCATAGCTTGCAAGTAGCCTAATAATGGCTTCGATTTCCAGTTCGCGATATGGTTATTCGTCAACATCTAAAGCAGTCAAAACTACTGTGAAAATAGGATCTTACAGTTCCCCATCATCATCTCCTTCACTTCCTCTCCTGCATCATCAACTCTATAAACACGACTCTGCAACCATCTGTATTCCACCCATCCAATCGACATCTAGCGCCAGTCGCGTCATTTAAACAACCCCTGTACCCTTATCCCTGCTTACCTTGACGACATTCATGATAACGACTGACAAGGCCCCCATACCACCGATTGGATCCCGGATTGAAGCTACCCTTCTCTCTCGCCATTCTGTGGCTACCAATAATTTCCTATCCGGCCCTTTCTTCTGGCCCTCTATTTCAGCTCGGCATGCATTGCTATGCCATCATTCTCAAAGGCTTTTTCAGTGGCCTAGACATCGTGATCAACTGTCGTCCTCCTTGTATCAAACTACGCATATTTTAGCCTCGCGTCTACCCATGATTGGTGCGACAAGAGACTCGGGCAACAGTGGTGGCCCGTCGACCCACCTCCTAGCACTGCCGAATCGGGTCGGGCTCGGTGAGACCGGTCCCCGGAATGGTTCAAACAAGTTTCTCGGACAACGAACGGCCCAACTGCCAACCAAGTGATACATGTCGCAGCTAGCGCCTGTGCCTTGCCCTTTGGCGAACTCCAGCTGAACCAAGACTCAAACCAACTCACATTTTGTAGGAATATCTCTTTAGGCACCAGTATATTTTTTGGGCTGTTGTTTTGTCGTCGTTATGTTGAGTTCTCTTTTTTCGCAAATTCGTGTGTACCTTTATGCACTCTTTATGTTTTCAATCCCAAAGCTATCGCTCTCCATCTTCCCTAGGTCTGATCTGTCTTTGGACTTTCTATTTTCCTCTTTCTCGTGTCAGACTTTATCCCATAACGATAGTGTACCGTTCCCTACTCGCTGTCCTTGTCAATGTTGCCCAGTCCATGCAAATAGATATCTCGTTCTTTACAATCTCCCACTTCCTGTTCCTTGCGTATAATCTACAATCATTGCTGAGCGCTTCTCAATATCATTGTGGGATGGCCATACCACCATTGGTCGGCCTCACCTCATATCCATCGGCGATATTCTCTCCCGAACGCGAACAACATTTCATGCAACGGCGCTGGCTTGACGAAGACAGATTGGCGTCCTGTCTCACTTTGCTTCTGTGCCGGGTTGATTTGGAACCGACCTGCACTTAAGCGAGCGCTTGACGGTTCGTCGCGCTCTGTGGCGTACTGCGACTGCGACTCAAGCTAGACGAAGCCGGGTTTCTCACTGTCGGTGAACGGAGGCAAACGTTGGCTCCATTATCAACACCGAATGATCGCGACAGCGACCGCGTGCGCTTTGTCGTGCGAGTTCAGGCGCCTCGATGTCGCATGTGGGAAATCTATCTTGTGGTGCGGCTGTTATCGATGGATTATCCTTTCACTTTGGACCGACTTCAACTGTTTTCTGTCTAGTCCGGACATCAAGACAGCACGCGTTGCGAATCACGTCCTAGGAAATATGGTACCCGCGTGTCTGCCTAGCTGTGTCCATGGCAATCTCGACTTCTTGCAGAGGGGGCAGCGTATGACAGGCTTTCGCCAAGTTGAGGAATGACAGGGAATAGCACCCTCCTTTCAGGCACCTTGATAAGGCGCTCGTCATTTTTCGGCGAGAAATTATTGCCCAGCTGTGTGACTGTCCTGAGGAGCACAAGGTGCGCGAACAAATCTTCAAACGTTCGTTATAGGGTTCGCTGCGCCGCCGTCAAGCAAACCGCGCCGATTCAAATGGAAAGGAGGTTCAAATTGGATGCGTATGAACGCTGGGATCCGTGTCAATATTTATATCCTACGCACATTTCCCCTCCCCGAAAGGGCAGCTTCCTGGGGCCCCTGATGCGTGCGGCGCGTTCTCCGTATGGGGCCTGTCCATCATCCATCTGAGATCACCTACTTCCCCGCGCCAGCGGTTTCGTCTACGTAACGCCATGCAGAAGCCCGCACACAGCTGGCCAAAATAGGTTCTAGATGGACGCACGCATCTGACGTTGAGCGGTGGTGGACCGTGGTGCAGCTGGTTTGGGAGGTCACTATGGATCATTTGATTGTTCCGTGTGGGAGGCGCTGCTTCGGAGGAGTGTTAATAACCGGTTCGAATTGAGCGCGAACCGCTCGTTTCATATTTAAGCCGTCCTGCTTCTTGGAAGAAGGCAAGTACGGTAATGAATATTGTGAGTCATGGGACAAAGAGACGCCCATATCTGATACGCGGTTTCTGCTGAGACTCGGAAGGGAGTAGGAATTTCGAGCGGTGGGGACTTGGTGTTGACGATGGGGTGAGGCGATCGATCGCGATCGGCATAATGCGCTAAACCAAGATAGTCACTAGGACGCAGCCCTCTCGAAAAAGGAAGTGTGGCGTAGTCTAGGGAGGAAACAAGGGCTCCACAGCTCGGTGGTGAGGGTGGCTCTTTGGTCCAGAGCTTCTATTGACTGGTGGGGCTGGATTAGAGAATTTCGGGATGATCCTGACGAGGGAGCCATGATGCAGGTCTCTATTTGAAACTGACTCGGAGACGATGGTCCATCCTACGGGCACGCTGGTTCCAGGAAAGGTGAGAAATTCTTATCCATCACCAGTAGAGAAAGAAATTGCCAACGAATGGGAAAGACCGAATTGACCAGCAAAGAGCCTGAGTTGTAATTGGAATTCGAACCTTCCGAGGCCGATGATCACACCTGGGTACAGCAGAGACGATCCAGGCAAACACCGCATTCTTTTCAGAAACGTGGATTCCCATATGGACGTGTAATCTCCCATTCTTTTTCTCGCTCTGTCCTAGAGAAGGCCCTTTCGGGGAGGACGGTGTAAGCCAAGTAACACGGCAGAAGCATCAGGATTTTCTTTCGTGGAACATCAATACCTAATGGCATCCAAATCTCCCATCGGTCTTATGTGCGACATACGGTGCAAATTCTTCTTTGCTTGACAGACAAGGCTCGTATGATATGGGGGGCCAGGCTTTCTTTCTGTCCATCACAATGATTTTCAGTGGGAAGATCTGCCTTGGGAAGGATTTCCTGTGAACCAGCCCAGACTTTGGCGCTCGATCGGGGACTATTGGGACCACGCAGGCACGAGGGAATCAGGGGTGCTAATAGTCTCGAGGTTAGGCTATTTTGGCTGTTGGAATTTGCATTAATGGTCCTTAGGCCCACTTCACCCCCGTCTCCGTTTCCGCGTGCTGTGCTCTCGGCATCCTACTCGGGTCTGCGATGACGAGAATGCGCTGCAGAGCTCAGTTGGGTGAAGTGAGCCAGAATCAATGTCGAGGCTCGCCCGAGTCTGGATGACCGTGACTGCGCCAAGCCGAATACACTGGCCTTCGGAAGGAGGCTAAGCATGCTTGCCTACACAGAGCAGCGAGCGGGTACGTACTTCAAGATTGACTCGGGGAGTGTGGGGCGGAGCTACTACGGCGCTTTGACTCTCGGGAGGGAGGCGTATCACTCATAGAACCCTCTACCTGGCAGTTTACTGATGTATGAAGGTGAAAGGGAGTGAAAGGTATGCTGACACGAGACAACTGGACGAGGGAAGGAACTGGGGAGCCAAGATCACTGAATGTGCTATAAGGACTTGTGGATAAACGCCGTCCGGCAGCATCAGTGACATTCGTGATTACTGTGTGGATACCTATCATCAACATAAACTTGATGCAGGCGGTTTGTCCGTAGCGATCGCCACCCCATCGCCACTTTTCCTATTTTTGGAAAGGCTGGAAAGGCTTCGATCGGCGGAGTGGTGCTGCACGGGATGGGATCTACTCTATAGAGGTCGACACATTTCTTTTCATTTTGGAGCATCATTTCTAGATTACTATCACTCACTCGACTGCTATTAGTCTTTGCCCACATGGTTAGCTATGGTTAGCTAGAGTAACTAAGAACTCACGGGTGGCCGGCAAACCCGAAATTTAGAAGGCCATATTATACGGCCAGTAGAGAATTGATAATGCCCGGAATATCTTGGTAGGCCAAGAACCATACATGCCCGCCTATGGAGCTTGGAGGGGACGATATGATTGATAGCCAAAAATAATACGAAAATGGCAGGGGGGCCAGAAATCCGAGGGGAACAAAACGAGGGTGAGATTGCAGTAGGTGACTGGTCCAATTCTTGTGGTTACAATCGGGCCGGGGGAAAACGGCCATGATAGCAATTAGTAGTGGCATACGAGATCGCCATTGCTCTATACGCGAGGCGATGTGGGGAGATCGAAGACTGCTGGGGTAAATAGCTTCAGTTCCGGAAAGACAAATGAAAATACGGCCGGTAAGGAACGGGCCAAAAATACTCTTTTATCGGGGGAAGTAGGTAGAGGATATGTAGAAGAGAGATGAAAGATACAAAGAAGCGAAGAGGCGAGCCCAGGGGTCCAGGAACCGAGGAACATCTTCCTGGAAGCGGGGCTAAGTCGCAGATGTTTTGAGGAGAGATTAGACCAGATATTGCAGTCGTGAGGAGGACAAGAATAAGTCCGAGCTTCCCTAGGAAGAGAATGACGAGAATGACGCTTCCAAGGAGGCCACGCGAAACAAGATCTTTGGAGTTGGGAGAGGATACGTACCCTTTAATTCATGGCCCCACGGAGGCTGGCTCGGGGACTGTCCATCTATCCGACTTGTTTTTGGCAGGCGGGTCTATGATGAATTAACCCGTGAGGCTATGTGTTGTAAGTGGTAGCATCTTGCTGATCCTTTCAAAGTTCTTTCCCAAGCCCAGCGCTAGGGGAAAAAACATTGAAAACGTGGCCCCTACATAAGTATTGTAGATCGCTAGATGTCTTTCCGGGCTTTCGAAAGTGTTGGGTGAGTCGATGTATCATTTCCGTTTGTGATCCACTGACCGGATGCTTATCACCATGCGCAGAGGTGTTGATGTTACTAAAGGCGGTCTAGTGAACATATTCATTTGGAGGAGAGAACTGGTTCGAATACATAGGAAGAAGAGTGAGGTTAAGGACGACATGGCCCCAGCACTCAACGACTTCGATGATCAGATTTTTCCTAAAAGACTTCAGTAGTAATCTGTAATAATATCAGGACTCGGAGACGCGGATGTCCAAGCTCAAGCCCTGACTCGGACGCAACACCAAGCCCTCGTTATGTAACTTGCTATAGTGTACCACCTCTTGGACAAACGGCTCTGTGGAAAGGAAATCACTATGATTTGAATAAAGACCAAGCAAAGACGCGGTGACGGCCACGGTAGAGGTAATTTGTCGGTCTTTCGTGCAACATCTGAGGCACCCTGGGACCCCATCACTAGCTAGGGACGTAGGTAGGCGAACATAGACGCATAGGTCAGAAATCTCCTGTTTGACTCGGCACCGTAGAATCTAGATGTTAGGATGCCAATCGGAGGTACAAAGGGTGCTCGGGATGGGGTGCTCGATGCAGAGCACTGGCCCATGACCTGAATAATTAAGCTGACGACTTTGGCAGGGGAGACCCGGACGGACGCGAGACCAGATGTCAAAGTAAGAGAAGACGAGACAGTCGCGTGGCCATGGGTTCTACATATCAACCGAGGGTTTCCAAAGAGCACGCACGCGCAATTTCGTAATTTCTCCAGCTGACTCGTATTGATCATACTGCGGCGCTTTGGAGGGACGAGACACTGAGCACCCCAGCCTAAAGGACGACATATTAGTCGTTAACGTTTAACGTTGAATTAGGAGCAAGTAAAGCACCGAGAACGTGCCAGCGACACGCATCGAAAAACGTCCAAAATAATGTTTGAGAGCACAATGATTTATTCTAGCTAGATAGGTGAGTGTCCTTTTCTTCACCCGATTCGCATTTCTGGCTTGCTTGGTTTTGGCTCCCCGGATCGGCATCCATTTTTGGTATGGAAAACGCACTGATCGAGGAACCATCATCCCTATCTGACCTTCCTACTTAGTCGCGACAGAGGAGACGCGCTGAGTAAGATTCAGCCTGAGTCACTGTTCACGAAACTTGACAGAAAGCAAGCTGGGATTTTGAGGGGAAGCTTGGTGTGACCTGGGAGCGGTGGGTGGAGGAAGCAGGTAGTTACAGACATGTTGGCAGATGACGGTGTACGGGATGATTTCGACATGGCGGGGGGCATGGGGATGGACGGAAATGACGAGGGCTTGAGGAAATTATATTTGAAGCAGAGGACTGGGAGAAAGGAGCTGAGGCTGCTGGGGAAGCAGGAGCGGAGATTGGAGCTCGGAGGCTTGAGACAGGCGATCGAGAGAGTGGATGATGGAGGGATGTGTCGGAGCGTTGATACTATTGAATTCGAAGCGGTCGGGTCGAACGAAAGAAAAGGTTGGAGCTGACAATGACGATGACATACGCGTCGGAGGTCGGAGGAGTGGAGGTATCAAGCCCTAGTCTCATCACATCTCATGCTTGCGCTCAAACTTCAAGCACACCACCGTCGAGTCTCGACATCCGCGGACGACCCCATCGTCATCGGCAACAGCAGCGAGAAAGAAGACGGAAACGGCTGAAGGGTCGACAGCAAGCTCACGTACGTCAACGCTCAGTGCTCAGAACCAGCCTGAGCTCAGGACTGGGCGGACGGGCGGACACGGACCCATCCAAGCAAGCTGCTCGTCGTCGAGCTCGTACGGCTTCCCGGAGTAGATCCTCAGGCCCAGGGTGGTGGTGTCGGGGGTTTGTTGAGTGCGGAGAATGGGAGTGTGGGCGATGCTGCGATTGGGGTGGCCCATGCGCTTGCGTCGGTGCTTGAGGCTGCGCCATCGTCGATCGCACACTCTCCCGCCACCTCACTCTGCCGCCAGCGCCATGAACCGCGCAGTGGTTGAAGTAGCACGTCCCCAGGTTGTCGGGCGTCACACTCGACACTTCGAGGCTCGAACGACGCCGTCTGATCAGCGTGCTGTCGCCGGTCGGCGTCCGAGTAGTGCATCCCAGGAGGGATCATGGAGGCGTTGCGTCGCCGAGCTTGGGAGTGCGCCTTGGTGAGAGTTTACTGCTGGGGGCCTCGGGTCTTAGGTGAGGTGGGAGGGAGCGAGGGAGGTGGAGGGTGTGGGGCGAAGAGAGGTGGAGGCGCCGGAGGTTGGTGTGGGACGGGCGTAGGCGAGTGCGAGTGCGCGAAGAGCCCTTGCGGCGAGCAGACGCAGACGCGGGAGGGAGAACTGGGAACGGCGTCTGTGGCGAACTGCCATATCGAGCGGACAATGCAGATAAGAAGACGCGTCGCGTCGCGATCGGTCGATTAGACTTCGGTCACCCACCAAGGCAACGTAGAAGAGATGCCCAGATACGAGGCGGCTCCTGCGTGGTCTACTGTCAAATCGTCAACCTTACAAGCTACCCGTCTATACTTACTCTTTTCATTGTTCGTCGTGAAGGAGCTAAACATAGAGTAGTAGGTAACTTCTCAAAGTACAACCCATCCCTCTCCAACGCCGCGGCATCGCATCCCTTCTGCCCACCGTCCCACCCTATCCTAACCCTCCGCCCTGCCATTCCCCTCCCGCCTCCTCCCTGCCTGCGCGCCGCTTCTCAGCCCTGCCCACCCAGCCCGCTCTCCCCACCTCCGCCTCCGCATCAGCGCATCAGCGGAGGCACTAATCACCTCCCGCGGAAGCAATGCGAATTCCCTCCGTCGCCCGATAAGGCTAATGAGGTACCACGTGATACTCTTTTCCGCTCCACGTGACCTCATCTACGTCACGAGTTAGCCGCTTATGGTATGTCACGAGCCATGTGACACCGACGGAGACCGACGGTGGCGGTGAGCGTCGGGCGGACCCCGGGAGTATCCGTGAAGCCCATCAGCGCGAGGCCGTGGGGCGGGAAGGGGCGGTGCTCGGTCCGCGCTGTGATTGGCGGGCTTTTAAGCGTTTACGGTAGGGCGGTAGGGTAACGACATGGTGTCCGAGGTCCGGGTGCCTCGTGGAGGAAGAGTACATTGTTCTGCGTCGGTCCATTGTTCGATGTTATGGGGGGTTACGGCATGGGAAGCACGGAGGCGGCGGGAGCACGCGTTTTGGGTACCGGAGGTGAGTCACACTGAGCCTGGGCGCGTATATATGGGAGCGACGCGGTGTGACGTGGGTCTTCCCTCGCTTTTCCTGTCGACTCGACTCGAGCGCCGCCCCCTCATTAAGTGTGGGCGAGTAATCTGATTCGCGTTCGCGTTCGCTTACCCTTGCAAGTTGGTCCCCGTCCCTTACCTCGCTTGAAGACGAAGCAAGATGTCGTACCCATACGGAGGAGGAGGGCAGTACACCGACCCTCAGCAGGGCCAATCATCGTCCCAGCACCCTTCCCCACACCCTTCCCAACCTCAGCAGCAAGAGTTCAACCCACCAGGCGCGTTCCCTGTCCCTTCCTGGGAGACGCTCGAACACGCACACCAACAAGCACACGAACTGAGCGCGAGCGCGAGCACGCACTCCCCGCTCGAGCACGACTCGGCGACGCCCGTGCCCACGCCGACGTCGACGTCCTTCCAGTTCGAGCATTTAGAGCAGCATATGGAGATGGACGTCGAGCACGCGCACGAGCACGACCCCATGCAAGAGCAAGAGCTAGAGTATGAGCATGAGCAGCTGGACGACCCGCCGCGCGTCGTGCCCAGCCACGTCTCCCCGATCGACAACTCCCCGATCGTGCTCCGCCCGCCGCATGAGCTGCCGCATAACTTGCCGGGTCAGCAGCATCTTCGACCGGCGGCGCACCCGCACCAGTCGCAGTACACACATCAACACCAGCCATATTACCAGCACCAGCACCAGCACCAGCAAAGACCAGGCTCATCTTCGTCCTCCGGCCTCCCACCACTACCCTTCCGCCCACCAAGCGCTGCGCCGAGCCACGCAAGCGCGAGCAGCGGTGCGAGCGGTGCGTCCTCGCGCACCTCCCTTCCCTCCTCACGCCCCTCCTCGTCTCGCCCCTCCTCCTCGCGCCCAGCGACGGCGACAGGCGTCATCCGCACCTCGACGAGCACAACGTCAACTTCGAGGGGCGGCCGCTCGGCGGTGCAGAGCACGCACCCGTATCTCCGGCCGGCGTATTTGGGGATTGGGGGTAGTCCTGATGCGTTGGGTGTGGGCTCGGGGATGGGTGTGGGGATGGGAGCGGGGATGGGTGGAGGGTCGATGGGCATGGGCTCAGGGATGGGTGGAGGCATGAGTATGGGGTCGGGCATGGGGATGAGTATGGGAGGGGTAGGAGCAGGAACAGGAGCGAAGGCGAAGAAGCCGTCCGTACGGTTCTCCAGCGCGACCGTCGCGCCTGGGGCGCATATGGTACCGAGGAAGACGTCGGCTGGGTCGGGCGGGATGCCGTCGCCTGCGGTACCTTCGCCGTCGTCGACGATGAAGGGGATTCTGTATGGCTCCGGGTCTGCAGCCAGGTAAGTGCTCGTTACTGTGGGTGATGGAAGGCTGATCGACGCGTTTCTTCATTGTTCGCAGCTCGCCACAGACGCCCGTGTACCCCCGCGCGTCGGCGTCGGCGTCGCCGCAAGAGCTGCTTGCGCACGCGCACTCGTTGTCGCACACGCCTACGCCTGTCCCACACCAACCCCCTCCTCCTCCCCTTTTCGCCCCTCGCCCCACCACCAGCACCTTCGCCGCACCCTCGCACCTCTCCTACCTCCCGCCCCAAACCCTCACCCAACCACACCCCCAAACGCGTCGGCGCGGCACCTCCACGATCCCCTCCGACATGCACTACTCGGACACGGACAACACCCTTACGGCGTCGCTCGAGCTGCCGGGGGTGACGCCGGACAACCTGCGCGTCACGCTCGGGACGTGTTATTTCAACCATGTGCGGTTCGTGAGTGTGGCGGCGGAGTCGAGGCCGCCGTTTGGGGTGCCGGAGTGGGGGGAGGAGGTGGTGAGGGCGGCGAGGAGGTGGAGCGGGTGGCGGCGGGTGGAGAGGGTGGGATGGCGCAGGCGGGGAAAGGGAGTAGGAGTGGGGTGGTGCAGGAGGGAGGAGTGAGTGAAGGACCAGGCGAAGGTGATGAGGGAGGAGAGCCGAGAGATGGGCCGGAAGGAGAAGCATCGACACCGACACCGACACCGACGACGCAGCCTCAAGCATCGACACAAGCGCAACAGCAAGCACAACCCAGCCAGCCACCGCCCGAGAAGCTGCACGTGAAAGTGGGCAAGGTGAACCCGGACGTGCGGGAGCGGCGGTTCGGGCTGCTGCGGAGGATGATCCAGGTGCCGAGCTACACGACGGTGAGTGCCCGTCCTCCCTCTTGAGCTGTCCACGTTCGTTCGCTGCCCTTCCTCCCCTCCCCCATATTGTTCCTCCCGTTGCGTGATCCCCTTTCCTCTTCCGTGAAGATGTGAGTTTTGATGGGTCCTCGTTTTTCTTTTTTTCCCCGTCTCTTTGCATGCGTGCGTGCCCCTCTCGTCGTCCCTTCCATCCATGCACACCCAAATCCAATATATTTGCTCCCCCTGTCCGATCCAACCTGTCCGATCCAACATGAACATGTGCAACATCGACGTGGGCCTCAACGCTACTATTCTTCCTCAACGTTTCTTCGACTCCGTCCTCAATGCTGTCCGATATCCTACTGTTTCAACTCCTGCAACCATCTCCAACTCTTGCTTTCAACGCCAATCCTCAACGTCCCAAACAACTTCCGACACCACCATAACAGATGGAAGACATCCGCGCGCACTTGAAAGACGGCGTGCTCACCCTAAGGATCTACTGCGGGAAGCCGTATGAGCTCGACGACGAGCAGGACGTCCCCGTCTTGCTTGGATGAGTCCTGTGCGCCCACTGAGCTTTTGATCTGAGCCTTGGGTGCTGAGCTTTCTTGAGGTGTGTGACCGCTGTCGAGTTTCCGTCTTCCTTCTCGCCGCCGTTCCATGTCGACGGCGGGGTGCATGAAGTTTGAGCGCAAGCGCAAGCGTGAGGTGGTGTGATGAGACTCAACTCCGACCTGTTTGTAAGCTCCAACCATCCATCGACCTCTGCTCAGTACTCAGTTGTTGTTCGACTGCGACTGCTTCAAGCTCAAGATCCCTCCACTCAGCTGTTTCCATCTGTCAGCCTCAAGTTTCAAGTTGCCAACCACTCTTCAGTCTTCCCTTTCCGTCTGCCGGCGCTCGTCTGCCTCAAGTCTCCAGTCTGTCACCTTCAAGTCTAGATCTCGCGCCACTATCGCCATCCGTCCTCGTCCTGTAATCCATCCAGCTATCTCAGCATGCTCCTCCCATAACCCGATTGACATCGACATCTGTACATCCCTCCTCAACATCTCTTCAAGTTCGTCCCCTGCACCCTCCAACGATCGCAGCTCGCTCGCTCGCTCCCAACTCGCACCGGCACCTCTCCTCAAAATCCAGCTCCTTCCCGTTGCCAGCCCCAGACCGAACGTACTCCTTTACATTTTTTTCTTGCTCATGAACAGTGTCCAGCTCCGCGCGTATACAACACCCTCGGCTTTCCTCGACCTCTCTTGACTCTGCTTCGTCTTGCATTTATTGACTGTCCCATCCACCCCACCCCATTCTTGCTGCATCATTATCCTGTTTCATCCCATTCTTATTTTCTTGTCGTCTACCCTTCCTCGCCCCTGGTCCTATCTCGCTCTCCTCCCTCTTACTATCTCTAATCCCGCTGCTGTCCTCTCCACTGTTTCCGTTTGCTCTCCCTCCAATCTATCGTCTTGCTCTCGTTTTCACTCTCATCCCCAGTTCTCGTCTATCCACTCCATCCCATCCCATCCTATTTCGTCTCATCCGATCGATCTCATCACGGACTCTGACTTTCTGCATCCCCACATCCCATCCCACCCCATCCCAGTTGTTACATCTGTTATATCATATAACCCCCATTTCGATTTTCGATTTTCGGTTTGCTCATTACATGTTACCCCATCATACCGCGTTTCCTTGGTCCATCTCACATCCCCTAAATCCAAACGTTAACTCTGCATCATACTCTACACATACACACACCCCCTTTTTTTCTATACACGCACGTTCTCATTCTAGTTTCGAGTTCGTCGTCTTCAATCTTGAACAAGCCCATCCCTATCCCCCCCACACCCGTCCATTCCCCCCCCACATTATTCTATTCACCGTTTATTTATTTATCCCCTACCCCTACCCCTACCCCAATGTCGAATTACACATATCCTGCCGCTCGCGCGCACCCTCAAGTACTCTACGTAGAGCAGTACGCTGTAGATAAAGTACCCTAACGCTGTTTTGTAGCTTATATATACGCTCGCAATTTCTTTTTTTTGTTTGTGAAAACGATTGGGATGGTGGGATGGTGGGGAGCGACTTGTTGGGAGGGATGGACGGGGCGGAGACCCTTGAGTTTGAGAACCGGTCTTTTTCGGGGGAGGGGGGGCACGTAGGTATCCGTCTGCTGTCGCCCATATCTAAATACTAAAACGGTGTCCCTTTCCTGGTGGACAACTTCAAAAGTTGACGGAGTCAACGTTTGCTTATCCTTCAACGTTATTATCTCGCTAGATTAGATAAGAAAGCGAACAAAGTGTTGGTTATCCAGGTCACGTGGATAACCAACAGTCTCTTCAGAAAGCGCTGTCCGTTCCGGGCCGTGTCCGTCGATCATCGCTTACACGTCCATCTCGATTCTCGAACGACTGTGCTCGCGAAGAACCTCGACCCATCCACTCGACCAGCGTCCACCTCGAACCACCATGCTCGCAGACAACGTCAAGATGGTCAGCCTCTCGACTGCCAGCCACTGCACACTGTGGGCTGACCAATCCATTGCATAGCGGGCTGCGATGAGATGTATAAATTAGCAGGCAGAGGCCCCAGGTACGTCACCTTCAGCCCGCTCGACTGGCATTCAACATTGACCGACATGTCAGATTGGCAGCAGCACTTAATCAGTCTCGACGACGCCATCGTAGCAGCATTTGAACGCAGAGAACGACAACGGCAGCAAGAGCGCGAGTGAGCTCAAAGCAGAGAGGCACGGCACGAAGACCCGCCTGCTGCTCGCTGACTACCGAACTCTCAGAGCTGCAGTGAAGCTGGCGGTCACACGAGGGAAGACAGCCCAGCTGGCAGCGAGTGAGCACCAGGGTAAGCATTCTATTCCCTTCCTCAGCAGCGTGTTTACTGACGCAGGATTGCGTTGAAGGACCTCCTACCCCACCTGCCACACTCAAACAGATGCAAGCCACACGGAGGAGCCTTGCTCAAAAGGCGCGCAGAGCGAGAGAGCGAGCTGCCCAGGGTCAGCTTCAAGGTATGTCATTCGTATTCCATTACATCGTTCTCTCATCGATACCAATCAGATTCCAACCTGCCCACATCGAATGCTGGGGCACCTCCTCCATCAAATCGAACCCTTGCACAGCGTGCGCGTCGAGAGCGCGAAAGAGCTGCACGAGAGGGCATTCACCAAGGTGGGCTCACATGGTTCTCCCACCTCATTGGTAATAAAACCATGCTCACTCCTTTCGTCTAGACCAGCAAGTGCAGGAGCCAAAGGCACCTCAGCCATCAAACCGAACTCTTGCACAACGTGCGCGGCGGGAGCGGGAACGAGCTGCTCAACACGGAAACGAACAAGGTATGCCAACTGTTACCTTTCTCTTCGATATTGTGCTCTTCCATTTCATTGAGCTGCAATTTACGCATGTTTGACCTTGATGCCTCTCTAATTTTGACGTGTCGCTTGGGCTGTTCAACTGGATCAGCAGCGTGAAGTAGCTCCCTTCTTGGCTCATCGGTAGCGGGCCGCAGTTCTCGAGATTTCCGGCGTTCCGCCACTGCATATGCACGGGCATTGATGTGCCTATGGGTGGTCGTGTAGAGGGAAAGAATGAATGAGGACACATCCGAATCACCGCCTGCTGACGGGTGGGGATGGATTCCGCAATTATGCGGCTCTAACCATGGCTCGCACGATTCAGAAACAGAGGAGCGAGGAAGTGAGTTCTCTAGGAAAGAACAGAGTAGGTGGCCGCGACGTAGACCAACATTTGGTCTGTAAAGACCCGAAAACGGAGGATGGTAGGGCTAAGCCCGGGAATGTATCTCGAGACGATGGCGGGATCGAAAGATGGGGCAACGACGGCCCTGAACAATGGTTGAAATGGGACGAGTGACAGGAGAGGAAGGCGACAAGAGACGAGCATGAGAGACAAGGGCCCCGAGTGAGCAAAAAGAGACGAGACCTGAATGTTATTGCACAAAAACATGAAATACGGGGCTTTCATACTATAAAGAAAAACAAGTCTAAGAAGAAGTCTCTCGCCGAACGGGCTGGGGGAGTAAATAAATAAGTAAGCCCTCCAGGAAAAGCAAATAAGAACAAAAATATTCGAAACAGGAGACAAGGAGACAGGGAGTTTGAAACCCCGGCCCCGTGCAACGCACGGGTATCCCTCTAGTATAAGTAAGTCGGCGATAATAATAATTACTTAAGTACAACTGGGGCAGGCCTTAGTACATAAATGACAGCTAAATTCGCTCCAGTAAAAGCAAAACTTTCTTTTTGTGAAACCTGAAGAGCGTCCAGGTGTGGTTTTTGTCTTTTGAGTCAGGACTCATGATGCCATTGCCACGTTCTGAACAATCCTGCACCGTGTGAGCGCGATGGATCCACAGACTCTGATTATAATAAGTACCTTGTGCGCGTGGGCCCTGTTAAGCAGTGGCTATAGTCGTGTCGGTAAGCTGTTGGTGTTGGTGTTGGTGTACAGTTGACGGGGCGGGATGGGGAGCTTGAGCTCTCCCCATTCCAAAGGTTCGCGGCAAGTCGAGGGCGAGCCAAGGGCGAAGGGCCGATGGAGGAAGCGGTCAGAGGCGAATTCTTCCCCCCGACCACATTGTGCACTGGACCAACAGGCTAGGGAGCTCGAAAGGAGGGCGGGGATCCGGAAAAGAGAAAGCAGGAGCTCACCTGCGGGATGGCGTGGTGTACGTGCGTACGGTCTTAACAGAACGCACGCCGGTGTTGAGATCATAAACTTAGGACTGCAGCACTTTGCTCAGTCTACTAGTACTCTATTATATTAATAATAAGTCGCTGAGGATGTAGCTATGGTTCGGGCGAATTTAAGCGCCCACGCTGAGCCGTGAGCGAGCGAGGGGAAGCTTGAGCGCTTGAGAACCCGTCCTCAGCCTGAGCCTCAGGCCGTGCATTTCTTCTGGCAAGTTATGGGATATTGAGAACGTCTCTGACTCGGAGTCGATGTAGTCAGCTCAGAGCTCAGGTACTCGCAGATTCGGTTTCGTTCCGTGTCTTCGCCCATGATCATGATACCTAACCCTGCTGAACCCTGGTCCCTCCGACACCCTCTGAACGGCTAAAAACAAACAAACCAATCCACACTACTCATATAATTAAGGGCCTACGAACGAACGAACGAACGCGGCGAGGCGTTGAGAAGACTCAGCACTCAGATAGAGGGATTTTGCCAGTTGGGGATTGGGCTGGAAAGCACCGTTTTTGGTAGCGAGCTTCCTGAAATAGGAAATGGAGGAACTTCAGTGTGGCGCGGGTGCGTGCGCAGACATGGTCGTCGACGACGGGGACGACGGCGGGGACGACGCCAGTCTCGAAACCAGTCCTCTTGATGAAGCAATTTTCTCAAGTTGAGAGATGGAGGGAATTACTTACAAAAAAAAAAATGCGCACCTGTAGGCTGGCTGGCTTCGAGTCTAGGACGACGGGGCCGGTGAACGATTTAGAGTAAGATATAATCTGTAGCGGGTTGGTTGTGCGTAATATGAGTATGAGAGCGCCTGGAACCGCCCTTGTAGGTCAGTTGGGCCCCAGACTTGTCATCTTTTGCTTCCAAATGCGTGAGGGAAGACGGAGCTAGACAATGTGGACTCTCCGGAGAAATATACTTCTGACGTGAGGGAAAGGGCCGTTATGTCACAAAATTCTGGATTTGCGATCTCCCTCGAGCTCTCTCTTTTCCGATACCTGATTTCTTTTTCGAGGGGATTATTGCGGGTGGAGATAGCTACCCTGCAATGACGCCAAGTGTACAGAGACGCCGTGTCAGAACATGATCTCCTCCCTCGCCGTACCACATGAATGTGTCGAATTGATATGATATGATATGATACGGTCGCCGCTGGGGTACTTCCATGACGGCAGTCTATACGTTAGAAAGGTTCATTTGTAGGGCTGCCGGTGTTCCGCACTGTTCGAACTCCCTTTCAAAGGTCTGACATGAGAAAGAGACAGATCGCCCCTGGTCATTTCACTTCAAATGGTTGTCGAAGAAGTTTTTTTCAATGTGTGTTGTTGGTGTTTTCGGCTTGGAGGATTGACACGATTGGAACGGGGAAGGGATTCTTCAGTGACAGTTTGGAGTTGAATGACAAGGAAAGTATCTTCGGAGAAATTTACCCCGCAATGCTTCCTCTCAGGCTCACCCAACCCCACCTTCTCTTCCTCTAAAAAAACCCGAACGCACTCACCTCAGTCCCGATATGTTTTCCTGAAAACAATCTGAAGCATCAGGCACGCACCCAGCTTACGCTTCGCGTGGCTTGTTCCGACGCCGCCGGCGACATCGGCTTGTCGGGAAGGAATTACCGAATGTGCAAGGCGGGCCTTCCGTATGTTCCACATGCATCCTAACCTTGTTGCTCCGAGTCTTTCATCTTGACGTCGACCTTCCTGAATCCTCCCCCGCAAGCAAGCGTAGCGGAAATCGTCCTCGCTCGTTAGCGTTATTGGCGATCTACGAAGGCTTCAACGAGCTACTTCACATCGAGCAGAAGCACCTTTGGGATTTGGGCCTTGAAGACTTCTGGCGTTCGTAGGATCAGGAATCAAGATTCAAGACAACTCGCACTTTGGGAATCATCTCTTTATTCCGCCACATCGCGCTGGTGATCTAGGCCTACCGTAAGGGACGTTCGTTTGCTGCCCGACGCCGTAACGTCGAGGACACGGCAGAGAAGTCGGAACACTTGCAGTAGGACGAACTCGGACGGTGGGAGGACCTCGGTGTCGGAAGAACTCAGGAAAAGGAAAAAGGGAATTTGGAAAGGCTTGGTGACGGGCCCTTTGAGGTGCCATCTGCGACCTTGCGCCTTGTGCTGTTCATCAGCTGTTGGTCAACCCGGCGTTGGGAAGGAGGGTCTTGAACGTTTGAACTTGGAGCTTGATTAACTTGACCAGGGACTGGTGAGCGACCCTTTGACGACCGAACGCCGCACCCTCGTGGGCAACGAGCACACCATTGCCGACCGCGTAATAAGGAGTACCATTCGTCGCTGAGCCGAGGTTACGGCTTGCTAACAGCGACCACCGCCCTTGACCGGTGACCGCCAGCAGGTATGTTTTGACTCGACTTGTGGGCTTTTGGTTTTGCTGACGGCCGATCTCGTTGACTCATCTCAGCGAACGGCCTCCTCTGCGGAACATTGTCTACAGGTGTTGCACGACGGACACCACCTGAAACACGAGGATTAGAAGGAGAGATCATCGCACAAGGCAGCATCATCGCAGGAGGGCCCACCAACGACCTCGACTCGCCTTGCAGAGCCCAGCTTCCTAACAGAGACCACGACGGTCTGCCTCTCCCCTTCATCCTTCTTCGGCCTCCTTAATCCCTAAACTATAGCTGTACCCCAGATTTCATCAACATACATCATCCCATTCATCTCCTTACAGCACCGATCCTCTCTCGCCACCCCTGTTGGCGGCAAACTCCTCGGACGGCCCTAATTATACTCTGCAATTACCCAAGCACCGCGCCAATCGAAACTCTTAATCCAGTACCAGTACGATATCTACGCATCCCTTTCAGCAACTGCCGCCATAATCACATACAAGATGTCTTACTCGCCGCCCATCCATCGTCTCTCGTCCTCAAGTACTGGCAGCAGCAGTGCCGGGCCCAGCGGTGCCGCCAGCCGAAAGCACGAGGAGGAGCTGATCAATGCGTACGAGGCGGAGGAGGAGAGAATTATCAATGTTCTTTCGCGGAAGCTTGAGCAGGTGAGTCATGGTTTCGTTCTTGCTCTCTCGATGATACGCTATTCCTGTTCTATATTTACTCCTCCAATTTGTAGCTCCGCGAAGACAAGATCGAGCTTGAAAACGCCCTCGAGGCGGAATCGGAGAACCACGTCAACAGGCTTTCGCGCGAGCTGGGGGCTCTGCGCATCGCACACCAACAACTGCAACAGCAGCTCCTCCAGATGCAGCAACAACAGCAACAGGCCGAGGCGACATCGTCATCGTCATCATCGTCGCAGCGGAACGGGATCGCGATTAACGGGCACTCTCAAGTTGAGGTGGATAGTGTTGGGCCGAGCCCCGCGATGGGCTTGTCTGCCTCCCCAGACACGAGGCTGGGGTACCGTGCGTTCATGGCGTCAGCGGTCGCTGCGGGGCCGTTGGGGATGAACGGGAGCATCGGCCGAGGGACGCTGGGCGAGCCGAGCGCAGAGATGATGCTGGAGGCCATGAGGCGCGAGAACGAGCAGCTCCGGAACCGCCTGGTCGATACGGAGCGCGACTACGTGCGGATCTCGCGGCTGAACGAGATTTATCGCGAGGAGCTGATCGAGCATCGACGCAGGGTGAGTGTCTTGCGTTCTTTGGGGGTACAGAGTGCTTGTGGATATTGAGTTGCTTGAAATTCGTTTGTAGCAAAACCTTCCTGTGGACAACTTGATTGGTCTGGCGTCTGCGGATCCGTTTGCGCTCCCGACGCACCACCGGTCGGCGTCCACGTCGTCATCGATGTCGAGCTCGCCATCGACGAGTGTGTTCCATATCCCGACAAGGCCGTACTCGATACATGGACACAGCAACCTCGCGTCGACGCATAGTGTACCCATTCCCCGCACGGCATCCCAGATTCACCGTCCGACGCAGTTCCAGCTACCGCTACCAGGGGTCGAACATGATATTAGCAGTACGCTGCGCGACAGCGTCTCGAACACACCACTGTCGCCCTCGCCGTCCGATTCCTCCTCAGCTAGCTCGCCGTTCCCGTTCTCACCTTCCCAGTCGGCGAACCCTGCGAGCTTCGTAAGCGTATCGACAAACCTTACCAGTCCACCGTCATCGGTATCTTTCGGCGGCATGGGCCTCGTCGGGGCGTACGCCGTCCCCCAACGCGGGCTCTCCTACCCCTCCGTGCCCCCGCCCTCGCTCTCCAGCAGCTTCGGCAGCCCAACCGTCTCCTTCCACATGCCGCACCGCGAGCGCGACCCGTCCATGAGCCCCGTCGAGCCCCTCAGTCGGCGCAACTCCAACGCGGGCATGGGGTCGGGCTCCGTCGCACGGCGCGGCAGCATCGGCGCGAACGGGCGCGTCGTCGAGACTGGGACTCTGCGGAACGTGAACGCGAGCGCGTCGGGGAGCAGAAGGGCGAGCTTTGACCGTGGCGCGTTGCCGATTGGCGGGCGTGTGGCGGAGACGGGGTCGTTGGTGGGACGGAGGAGCAGGGCAGGCAGTGTGAATAATCAGCAGCAGCAGGGGCAGGGACAGGGTGGCCAGGTACATGGTACGGGGATGTTGCCTGAGACGGTGGTCGAGGCGGAGGGCGATGTGGATGGGATGGAGCTTGGGGTTGTTGCTGATGAGCAGGAGGTTAGGCCTGAGGTGGAGGTTCAGGTTCATGTTCAGGCTGCTGGGACGTCGGCTCCGGGTCCGCTGGTGGCGTCCTTGTCGACGAGCACGATTGTTGGTAATGTCGGAGGCTCGAAGGCGGTTATGGTCAGGGGCAGCAATAGTATCGCAAGTATGGACTTGGATGCTACACCTGCCAAGTCTCGGTGAGGCCGATGGGTTGGTGGTGTTGAGAGAGCGGAAGTTACGGCGTAGAACGATGTTGGGAAACAATTTCGTCCTTCGCCGTTGTATTTGTCCATCGTGCCTTTAATAATCCGTCATTGAATCTGTTTTTCGTTTCTGTCTCTTGCACCTTTCCCTGTTTCATACTCTATACTAAGTCTTACATACATTACACTCATATCACGAGAATCGATAAAATCATCTGCTGGGTCTTCAATATCCAGGAGGGAACAGTCAAGGTGCGGTAAGAACGAAGCAATGTCCCTTGTTGCAACTTTCGGTCATCACAGAATTTAAAGCAGCTTGACCTGTGTAATGATCTCGAAGTTTTGTGAAGCTGGATAAGTAGACCCTGGAACCAAGGCGCCACTTTTCCTACTTTTTGTTAATATGAAAGGGATGTGCCCTGTGACCTTGCACTCCGCGACACGACATATGGAGATAGGAAGTACTTGGAACTTACCTCTTGCGCATTGTGTGTCCTCCATGGCAAGTTTAGTTCGAAAAATCCCAGAAGTTATTGAACAGTTCGCGGTCCGACGGTGGTATGATCACACTTTGTAGACTAATTGCACCGAAGAACCCAAGGAAATTATAGGCTGCCCCTTCCTCGATCGCTATCCTCATCGACGAACACAACCTGAAGCTTTCCTCGCTCCTCAAATCCCTTCCAGACACCTTCACGCACGTACTCTTCCGACAAACTCCTCTGGGAGGCTGCGATACTTGGTGCCTTCAACTTCAGCTCAACCTGCAGGTCTTTGAGAAGGTCTAGAGACGATGAAGTTGGTAGCAGGGGAGATGGATTCCACGAGGAAGAGGAAGAGGATGAGATTAAGGATGCTGCCACCGAGCTAAACGCCTCCTCGATGATCGAAGGCAGCCCAAACCACGTAAACGGCTGCAGGAGCACGTAGTCAGGTATGCCGAAGAATGAGTGCGCGCCGTGCTTTGTGTCAACTGTGAGTGAGATTGACATGCGTTGCAGGGATGGGCGACAGGTTTCTGAATGATCAGTGGGTGAGGAGCAGAGCTCTGCGAAAAGCTTTTGGAAGAACGCCTCGAGCGGCTGTGGGCTGTTCTGGTGAGTTATCAGCAGCCCCTCGAGGTGCAATACCTCGATCTGGGTAAGAGGGGTGAAGTCGATTGAGGCCATGTTCTGCAGAGCTGTCGATTACAAGAATGATATTCAGCCAACAAGTCCTAATTCGAAGAAAGAAAGCGGGACATACCAGTGACAGAATTGGGGATGACAAGCCACGCCTCTTGTACGCTCGAGCCTACGGTACCCATGTACCTCGTCAGAGGGTCGACCATCTCCGGTTCGCAATCAACGTTGAACTTGAATATATGCGCCTTTGGGATGGTGTGTTGCGCGAGAAGCCATTCGAGAAATGCAATAGACGCTCTGCCGTCTCGAGACGTGCCTTGGTTCGCGAAAAAGAGGGAGAGGTTGTGCGTCCGGCGAAGGTCGAGCAGTGGCAAGTGGAATGTTCCTTCTATCTTGGAAACGGAGTGTCCTGTTGTAGCTGGATCTCCTGCGCTAATATGACTTGCAGATACACCGGATACAGAAAGCGAATGTAGACGTGGAAGGGAAGAAAGGTGTTCGAGGAAGGATGAAGGTGAATGAAGGGTAACACGGTCCGCCACCACGGTCATGATGCCTACCACTCCGCCTATTGCACGCCAGAACGTTTCGGGCACGTCGCTCGTTGACAGGCTGGCAAACCGGACCGACGTAAGGCTTCGCAGACGCGTCCGGACGCGCTCAAATTCGACAGTGGTACACGCGTCCGAGTCGATTACTGATGAATTTAGGGAGGCGAGGAAGCCCTGGAGGCGCAGTATGGGGTGGGGAGAATATACGGGGGTGAGGGGACTGCCAAATAGGCTACGGGAGTTGTTGGCGGCACAGGGTGGCGGACGCGTGTTTGTGTTTTGAGGTTCGACGTGACGCACGCCGGTCCCGGACACAACTAGTCGTGAGACCGAAGGGGAGAAACTGCACCATGGTGCGCCGAGAAGCTTGAGGAACGACGTGAGGCGGCTGGGGTGCACGAGCACCTCTGAGAAGAGGTGGTGCCTACAGGCAGATACGAGCCTGGGCGAGGCGAGGCTGCAGCTTAGGAGGGCCGGGCGGTCGTCGTAGAGAAACCCTATGACGGTTTCGAGAGTTTCTTGTGGGAGGGGGACGACCGGGTTCGGCATGGAATGAGGGGAAAAAAGTGGAGGAGACAGCCAATGGTAAGGATCTTTATATGCGAGACACAGGCAGGGTCGGATGAAGCCAAGCAAATGAAATCTAATGAAAATATGGGTTAGAGCAGCCCTGACGGAGGCAAGCTTGCAGCGGACAACACACCACGGGGATTGATCCTGCGACTTCTGAAGATTACGGTTCAATCTTCTGCGTGTAGGACACCACGCGCTGATGAGGGTTTTCTTTGTAGATGAAGCTCAGATGGATGTAATTGCCAAGACAAAGGTGGTGGATTGCGAAGAGGCCAACTGGATGGTTTCAGACAGGAACACGAGATCTGGGACATTGAGGATATTCCGATGTAACGAAAAGAACGCTATAACTTACCTGGTGGCTGAATTCTCTGGGTGGTTGTTGGTGGAAGGTGCCATTCCGGACCTCGAAGCGGTACTTATACGCAACCAAAGTCCATCGACTTCCGAGGGCGCCACCGGGAGCAGATCGAGAAAGAGCCAGAAAGAGGCAAGGTTCAGCTCCCCGCTCAACTCGGACAGTAGGTATTGGTAATCCCTGCGACATCCTTCACCAGCGATGTCCTGCGAAGTATGCTTGGCTGGTGTAACTCAAGCCTCGACGACTGTTATTAGAGTCCACGGGGAACGTCACGATGAGAGGCGAATGGTGTATTTGTTTCTGTCAGACCTAGAACGGAATCGGGAACAACCCGAAAACATCCAGGTCTGGCCCACCATTCGGCAGTTGGCCGCGACTGCCTGAACGTCGTCCTTGAGCTTTATGCTTCAGCTTCAACCTTGAAGTTCTTTTGCTTATCTAGGTCGTCTCCGTGTCCAGCTGCGGTTACCTACTTCATTCGAGAGTCAAATGTGGTGAGAGGAGCACGTCAAAAGGGATTATGGTGGTCGAAGTGAGAGATATTGACGCGTGACGCGTGACGAGACCGCCGACCAACGCCAGTCCAACCCAACCAAAAAGAATGGTTCAATCCAGGATCGAACTGGAGACCTTCTGTGCACTGAATAAGGATCCCAATGTGAGACAGAAATCATAACCACTAGACCATTGAACCGATATGTGTTCGGCTGATGGTGACATCGGATCCTTGAAGCGAATTTTTCGCAAGTCGAGAAATTTATATTCTCGACTATGATGCACATTCAGAGCCCTGCGTTGGTTTAGTAAGAAAAAAATTAAATCTAAACAGATTTTAGACTCCAGAAAGGAAGAGATTTCTGAGCCATGTTCAAGCCGTTCCTTCTTTCCAGAGCATGACTGAAGAGCAGGTGGAAAAATGAAAGGGCTCCCCTCTGTCTCGCCGTGCATATGGACTCAGGTCGTCTCAGGCTCCCACAATGTTACCCTACGGGTAGGAGTCACTAAGTACACTGTTCTTCCAAGTAGCATCCAAAGTCATTACCAAGTTGCAGACCTATGGGCCCGAATTGGCAAAAGAGCTGCCTAAAGCGGAAGGCAATTAAACATCTGTGGCGACCTCCTTGTCGAACAGTACACGAAATGTCAAGAAATACCTAAGGCGCCGGGGCCTCATGTATAGTGTGATGGCAGGAAAGGAAAGGCATCCTCTGCAGCAAATAGTTTGTGTCCACTGAATTTCTATGATCCCTAATAACCGCCGCCCTGCTGCACTCCTATCCCAGCATCGGCCAATAAGACACTCTTCGCAATCCAAACTATAGCGTCCAACGCCTTCTTCTCGAGGCCAAGTTTTGCGTGCGTCAACTGCAACCTAAAATTATCCCCAATAAAAGCGTCCATATCCTCCTTCCTGACCCTCTCGCCCTTCGGGGCCCACACAATCGTGAAGATCCTCTGGTTTCCCACCTCCTGGATCCCCACCTCCACGTTCTTCGCATTGCGTCGACAAAATTCCATGATGCCCTTCCCGGACACCGTCTGCCAGAACGCGACCTTCTGCACGGCCATCCTCCCGATGGAGTTGTCAAACCCCGCTCGCGCGGCAGGGTCGAGCTCCACGCCCGCGTTCTTGAGGGTGTCGTAGGCAGCTTCGAAGGTGGGTTCTTGGACCTTGAGGAAGATGATGTTGGTTTTGACTGGAAGGATGAATGAGGCGAAGTAGGCGGTGGTATTCGTCCAGGTCGTCATGCGGTAGACGACGGAAGAGTCGTGCTTCCACGTCTTATATAACGTGAAGCGGTCCTTGTCGAACATCCAATTGAAACTGTTCATGCTGTATGATGTGGGGGGTAGGTGTGTATGCTCTTCCAGGGCGAAGCGAAGGCTTTTTATAATCTTCACCTGTGAGTAATGGTGTGCTCTGTCAAGCGCCAATTAATACATTCCAGGGCCTCAGAAAGACACATATACCGCTAAGAACTCTGTTTGTTCTAGCCCGAAGATATGCAATTACATGAACAGCAGAAATGATGACATCGATAGTCATTACCCCTGCCCAGACTATTCCGAGCACAGATAAGCGCCCATCTTCCAAGCCGATTCGACGCATTCCGCCGATGAGAGGAGCGTGAAGTCCATAATTCGGCATTGATATCAAGGGGAATAAGCAGCTAAATACAAAATTGATCGAGAGGAATACATGGATAATTGAAGACCCCACAATACGGGAAGAATCTACGACTCCGGGGCCGCCTTCGGCTTCAATAGGCCGAAGAACTTTCCCCTCTTCTCCTTCGCCTCCAGTTTGTCCCTGACCCCCTTCTCGATCTCCTCCTCCGTTATATGTCCTCCTAGAGAGTACCACGAGACAGAGATCATCCCCAGGACAGCAGCCAGTACACATCTATCGCGCCGAAACCAAAAACCTTCTGGTCAGCAAATTCCTCATGAAGTTCCATGTAGATAAACAAACGTACCCTGCCATAGCGCCGATACCCTTCGAATGCCATCCCAGATTCTGCGGGTACGGGCCGAGCGGAAGCCCCGTCAGGTCGGTCGTAGACGCGCGTCCAGCGGCGTTCCCTGAGGTTGGCTTCCCCAACGCCTTGCAGTGGTCGTACATGATCGGCGGGACGTTCGCGGCGTACTGCTGTGCCTCGATCGGTGCCTCGACGAGCTGGACCGCGAGACCGACTTCAAGATGCCATTCAATATGACCTGTGGGGTGGTTGGATAAGTACTGGATGAAAATAGGGAGAGGTTGAAATGTGGGGAAGGATGGGAGGGGACGCACAGTGGAAGAGCCAAACACCTGGGTTGTCGGCGACGACACGCAGCGTTGCAGAGTGCATTGAGGGGATTTGGACGGTGTCGCGCCGGATGGGGTTTGCCTGTCCTTCGACGAGAGGCGGGTTGAGGACCGGGTCGTCCGAGGTGTAGTCCTCCGACCGTCCAACGATCATGACCTTATGTCCGTGCAAATGGCTATCCAAAGTCAACGCCAGTTTCTTTTGAAGCGGCACAATAATAACACACTTACAAGGGGTGCTTCCCCGCATCCCCATTCTTGACTACCAAATCCACCACATCGCCATACTCAATCACAAAGCTCAACGGGCCATACGCCCTCTCCACCGTTGCGTTCGGCCCCAACGACAACGCGGAGAAAATGGCGGGGGTGAGCGGGGAGTTGTATGTGACCATGTTGAACATCGCGTGGTTGGTCCCTTCGTCCATCGTGTCGAAGCTGACCTCTAGCTCGATGGTCTTGGTCACAGCCGGCTGGGGCACGACGATCGTCGGCACCAGTGCAGTGTCGTTCACATCGTGGTAGGCGTCGACGCCGACGGGGCCGAGGTCGATTAGCGGCGCGGAGGCGTTGTAGGTAATTGACGAAGTGACGTCTGCGGAGGAAAGATTTGTATGGGGGTTTGGCTAAAATTATGTTCGACTTACTCGGGTTCAGCGCGGGAGGTACGGCATCGAACATGTCGATATCCATGTTCGCATGGATGGCCCAGTTGGCTGAGGTGTCGTTGCGGGCAGTGACGAGGACCGAGTAGCGCTGGGCAACGGTAATGCTGATCAAGTCAATAGGCGACTCTTGGACGTCTGTCTGGCAGAAGAAATCGTTAGCCCTTCGGTTGGTGGAATAAATTGAGAGAAAATACCCCGTCGACTTCAATGATACGCATTTCGTGTCCGTCGATCCAGAAGAAGAACATTGCGAAGGCTGACGTGTTGACAATGCGTAAGCGATACGTTTTCCCGGGCTCAAAAGGCAGGGTGGCGTTCTCGTTGAAGCCTACAGCAGAAGTCACTGGCGAAGGACTTGTCCCAGCTTTAGGACCGAGATACGAGGCATTTTGGGCGAAGTAAATGAGGGCAGAGTCTGGATAGGGATACAGGGTTAACACGAAGGTTGCGGCAAATAAACAGCTACGCGGGATACCTGGCACGGGCTCGGCACCCCCGGGATTGGCGATGCTGATGAATTGCTTGAGGAGGACGCTGTGCGCGTCATGGTACCAGTCTCCGAGAACGACGGTAAATGCTTCGTCATAGGAGTGGACTTCTGTCAGAGGATGAATGACGAATGGGGCTCGTAGGCCATCGACATATTGGCCCTAAATTTAGGAAGCATGGATAACCTTACGAAGGTAGATGACATCCCATAACTTACAGACGCATGGGCATGGACCCAGTATGTACCCCACTGGTCCGAAGTGTTGATCGGGACGACGTCATCGAACTGGGCACCAGGCGGAATCCCACTGCAAAACGGGGCATGAGAAGCGAACATAACGGGGGATTCGAGCTACTCACCATTCGGTGACCCCTTGGGCGCCGTCCATCCATGAGGTCCTGTTAAAGAACATGCCATGGTGGTGGAGCGTCGTCGCCTGCTCCAAGGAGTTGGTTACATGGACGACCAGCGAGTCGATCTGGTTGACATCGACTGGCGGCGGTCTGACGACGATGAGTCAATACAAATCTCAGTGTATGCGCACTTTCTCCGACTTACGGCCAAGTGTTATTGACGCCTATGACCTGACGTTCAAAAAGGCCGTCCGGGCTGGCATTTTCGACGTAGGTGATGTTCCACCACAACTCTTTGACGCCCGCGAGCACTGGTGAGACTACGGAGGACAGGAGTATCGAAGCAACGGCAGACCTCATCCTGAAGGACGGGTGATGGTGTGGATCTGGACAAGAGGCTACTTCAGAAATATGGGATCCTGAGCCTTAAGAAGGGGATCTAAAGGGCTCATTTCCAAAGGTACGGTTGGGGGTCGAGGAACAAAAATAGAACAGACGCATGAGGCTGCCGGAAGAATTAATGTAATCTGATAAGGAATACTATAGCTCCAGTCGTTGTAGCACTCACGCTGAAATGCCGCAAAATCTAGTGAGAAGGACGACGGTGTCCAAGCTGGCAATGTTCCTTCGGCCATGAATGATTCATCCGGTCGTGGCTGGAACGGAGCTCGAGAGCCAGCATCGTAGAAAATTGGATGGCCTTTTCAAATAAAGTTGCCGAATGGATACTAGTGCGGGCGACGTGGCGGGCGATATCTCGCCAGGGCGGCACCATTCGGAACGCTATTAAAGGCATCATTGAAGCATTGAAGACGCTGGCTGGAACCGCGGTTGGAGCATACAGCTATAGAATCGCGGCTTCCAGAGCACGTTGGACCGCGTCGAAGTCCGTATGTTGTGAGGCAGGACAACATTTCGTGGGATCTTCCTCCTATCGCGAGGAATATTTATGGACGCGACTTATCAGATGACGCAGATCTTATCAGATTCCGACCCCAGCCGAGATGATTATCTGATAGGATCCATGCTTCCCTGGACGAGTGCCACCCAACTACCCGTCGCCGAACAAGCCGTCTAACTGCCATCGCATTTATGCAGATCCAGCTCAGAAGGGATCTGCAAAAATCCCTTCTCGAGTCCCCATTCCCCCCCCCAACTCCCCCAACGCACCAGGGATGGCCAAAAATCTCTTCTCCGTGCCCATTTTCTTCATCGTCTTCCGCGAGACTCTCGAGGCAGCCATTATCGTCTCAGTGCTCCTCGGTCTCGCCGAGCAAATCGTGCACAGTGAACATGGGTCTGCCACGACAACGACCACTAGGGACTCAGACGACAAAGCCAGCACCCAGGGCTCAGCTGAGGCCGTCGACGACGCAGTCCAGAGGCGCCGCCTCATTCGTAAACTACGCATTCAGGTAAATACTTCATACGGCAATTAGTGCCGCTTGGAGACTGACGCTCTTGCCCAGATTTTCTTGGGAGCAGGTCTTGGCCTCTTCATCGCATTGGCAGTTGGAGCGGCGTCGGTGATGGCGACTGCGAATCTCGAGGCGGTGCTGATAGACACCTAGATTTATAGCTATATGGTTCACGAAGGCTTCAGACCTTTGGTCCAAGTCTGAGGAATTATGGGAAGGTGGGTAGGCACGTTCTTTCTTGTCTAAAGGCGACCTAAGACAAGTTCTTCTCTAGGGATTTTTGAGCTCATCGCATGCATTGTCATCTTCATTATGGGCATTACGATGTTGAAGATGGACAGGGGTACTATTCCAGCTTCGAGCACTCTCTTGTGAACGAAATCTGACAATAATTCCTTTAGCCAAGGCCAAATGGCGTATCAAGCTCCAACGCGCCTTCGACGGCAAACGTACGTAACTACAATCTCTTACCACTCGACCTTCCGACCCTAACGATGCATTGAAATCCAGGCGTCGACGGCAAAGCCGAAACTGGCAAATGGGTTCTCTTCTTCCTTCCCTTCATTACCGTCCTCCGAGAAGGTACGCGCACCGGCGGACCCAGCCTTAGAGTATGCGACGATAGCCAGAAATTTAACTCCTTGGCAACAGGCCTCGAAGCAATAGTCTTCGTCGGTGGCGTCTCCCTCGGCCAACCCGCGACCGCAATCCCCATCGCCGCAATCGTCGGCATCCTCTGCGGTCTCGTCTGCGGGTTCATCATCTACGAATTTGCCAGCAGGACCAGTAAGCCCTTCCATTTGATCAAGCTATCACGCTACTTCCTCACCAACACTCGTCCTCTCTTGCATTTGCTACGTTTAGCGCTCACCATATTCATGGTCGCAATGACCAACTTCCTCCTCCTCATCGGGGCGGGGCTGTTCAGCAAGGCCGTCGGCGCTTTCGAGAAGCACGGGTTCAACAAACTCCTCGGGGCCGATGTGGACGACGCACAGGGCGACGGCCCCGGGTCGTACCGCGTGCAGGGCAATGTGTGGCACCTCAACTGCTGCAACCCGGAGAACAAGCTCGATAGCCAGGGATGGACGATATTTAACGCAATCTTTGGGTGGACAAATAGTGCGACGAGTAAGTGCTAATTTTGCAGCTCGTCGTTGGTGTGATCAGCATGCTGATTTGTGTGCTATCGTGAATGACAATAGTTGGTACGGTGCTTTCCTATGTGTTCTACTGGCTCGCGGTCATCGTCGTGCTCGTCTACATGAAATTTACCGAAGTGAGTCCGCCAGAATTAGGCACTCTTATAATCGCATATACTCACCATCCTCCTTTATGAAAGGGTCGCACCAAACTCCTCGGACGCGAGTCCGAAGCCGGGACCCGCAGGCGACGCGCGCGTGCAAAAAAAGAAGAGCAGGTGCCCACGGATAACGGAGACGACACCAAGGCTAGAGAGCCACAGGAGAACGAGGAAGTTTCTACGCTGCCTCGTTAAGCTGGTTTCTTGGAGCCAAACCAGACTAATGGTTTATAATCGAAGTATTCGTCCATATGCTTTTCACTCCCTGTACTCTTATGCTCCTAGACCCTGAAAATACAGATTCCTGCCTTTCGCCATCTCGCTCCATATGAAAAGGAGGGTGTTCCCCTTCCTTCTGCCCACCCGCGGGGGCATGAGTAAAGAATTCGAAGTTTAGATATAGAGTATACAAGCTTCCACATTCAACCTTCTGCGTTGGGTTACTTGCGCACTCGTTGCATCCAGCAGCAGCACATACACATATGCACAACCTGGCACTCGCAGTCAATTCTTAGAGCGATATGTACTGTTTTAATTTTAGCCCGCGCCAATCATGAGCGTTACGGTTTCAGCCCTACGCACGCTTGAACCCAGTTATTCTCGTGTGATTTAAATAGCGTTGCTGTGGAGAGATGGGAACATGTGAGCGCGATAAACTACCTGTATACCTTCCGAACACGCCGTTCAAGCTTATTACGCCCAAGGCTCGCCTGATAACCACCGAACAGGATAGTACGTTGTTCGGTTGGCGGTGTGTAGCTCTGATAACACTCATTTCACACCTGGAATGGCTAAAACACTTGAGATTTTTAATTGGTCTCGCATAATCATGAGCACCAAGGCAGACTTTTGCTCGTTTTCGGCCTAGTTCTACTCCCTATTTTCCTGGCGGAGAGACACGGTATCTGAACCGGGGAGGGGGGCCTTCCCGACTCGGAGGATGGGGAATGAAAGACGTTGACAGAGGGCACGAGGCCTATCAGATAAGACAAGGTCTCAGAAACCGCTAGGCTGCGATGCCATTCGGATGGCATACCGAGAAGCTAAAATCTATCTTTACATGACCGGGTGGCGATGTAGCCGGCAGACAGAAGCCCTCACGTCGAAGTATGCGGCATGAAATCTCCTGTGAGAAACAACATGTTCTTAGTCAAACAATGGGTCGGCAGTATTCGGACTTCGTATTCCAAAACAAATAACTCTCTTCTTCTGGCAGTACATGTGCTCAAAGTACTATCAAGTTGCGACCGTGCAGTCTGATCGCCCGCAAATTGCCGGGTAGCTGAGGCTGGCACCGCCGCCACTCTTTCTATTTTCGGAAATCAGCGCTCATAAACACAGAACACCACAACGGCCCTCTATATTTTAGCAATGAAGAGGTTGCCGAGCATCTCTCGTGCGGTAATTCGAACCGTGTTGTAGAGCGTTGGGAAATCCAGAGTGGATGTGAAGGTGTCAAGGAAGCCGAAGGGGAGCATGAGAGGGATCCAGCCTAAAACGGTGTGGGTCGGAGGTTAGAGTTGATGAATGACGCCAAAAGAGGAGCATACCTCGAGCGTATTCAAGCGCGAAACACCCTTCATGCATTTTGTACTGCTTCACAACACCTCTCTGCATGAGGTTCACCGTCCCAGGCGTATATCGCTCCATCTCCAAACTTCCCGGCCTGAGTGCCCACTCCTCCCCAACGAGAATATAGAAGTAATCATCTGCTGTGTGCAGGCCCGAGTGCCCTTCCGTGCCCAGGGGCGTGCCGAAGATGATGAGGTACTCGGTGATGCTAGCGTGGATGATGTACATGGCGCCCATGGCGCCGCCGGCGTTGTTGAACACCCACTCCTTGTCGGTGTTGAGCAGGATTTGGGTGGCGGGGTAGGTCTCGGTGAGGTTCGTGACGATGTGGGTAATCATGCCTCGTGGGTTGTTTGGGTAGGTGGAGACCGCGGACTGGGCGAGCTCGTGGAGGAGCTCTGGGTCGAAGACGTACCAGCGGTGCTGAATAAAATATAGATAAATGTGGGCTGAAAAAAATGAGTGTGGCGCACCTTGATATGGTCTAGCCAGCGTAAGGTCGCAATAGCCACAACGAGAATGAATAGCCGCCTCCCCCATGTGATGAACCAATATCCGAATAGTTGGGTTTCATGCAGAGCAGATGAGTGCTTTGTAGACATTTTCAACGAGGTGTACTTCCACTCCTTGGGTAGGAGGCTGAAAGTCGGGGAATCGACAGACTACTTGATTGTAAGAAGGTGTGAGAATCATTTAAATGTCGTATCCTTGTCGCGATCGTACGACAAATTTCTTCCGTCCGATATGAAGCCTCTGCTCGGTGATTCCGGATTACCAATAGACTCAACAACCGGCATAGCAGAAAATCCAAAATGAGGCCATTTTGTTCAACATCACTTGGTTTCAACGAAACTCTTGGCAAACGTTATTTAATCAACCATGTATTCTTCGCAGCAGAATAAGCCTGTATTTTCTTATTTTCTTCGAGACTAATATTGAATTGTGAGCTTCCTGCTCCCGCAGTAGGCCTGGAAGATGGGCGCTTATTTGCAGTTACTAAAGTCTGGGCAGGGGCGGGCTAGGCGGAAACATCTACGGAAAGATAATAAACTGGAAATACTGGAATCATGGCAACCACGATGGCAACAATGGCAAGTATGTAGAAGTGAGCAGTGAGCTTCGTCAATGTAGTCACTATTACCAACGGATGAAGCGCTGATGACTGAATCGGAGCACAGCCAGCGGTACGGACAATCGATCGCCGAGGGCATAGGAATATTAGTGTGAACTAGCGAGCAATGGCTTAGAATGACGAAGCACGGGCAAACCTGTTCAAGGGCCAGGGGGTACAGAAACGAGGTCAAGGGATGTCTGTCTATCGCCACTATTCCTGCAGTGTATGCAATCCTTCATCTGCTAATACAAGATTCTTAACAGAGTGATATGGATTCTTTGACGAATGGTAAGACGCAGGATTTACTCAAACTTGACTCGGAAGGAGGCTAAAAGCTTAAGGTCGCGATTATCCCTCCAATCCCATACACACCTACACCTTCTGATCTTACAGTATGAGCAGCTTCAACCGGATGTTCGACAAGGACCGTTTCACGTTGTACAAGATGTGGAATCATGATTCCTCCATCGTGTACCGCGTGACGACATGGATAAGCGCCACTACTTATTGCACCTCCTTCGTCCTCCTGGTCAAAATCAACAAAATATTTCTCAAGATCCGAGAGCCAACATTAGAGGCAGCCTGCGACGCCCACAAGAATACAGAGGTGGAGCTCGACCCCGCCGCGCGGGCGGGATTTGACAACTCTATCAAGCGAAAGGCCATCCAGAAGGCCGCGTTCTGGCAGGCGGTGTCAGGGAAGGACACTAGAGAGTTCTGTCGTAAGGCCGAGAACTTGGAGGTGGGTGTCCAGGAGGTGGGAAATCGGAGGATATTCACGATCGTGGCGCCGAACGGTGAGGCGGTCAAGAAAGAGGACATGGATGACTTTATTCTCGATAATTAATGGGTTGCAGCTGGGACAAGCAAAACTTGGGCTGGAGAAGTCGTCGGGTGCGGCGAATTCGGCTTGTGAAGAATGTTTTTTGGAGGATGCAGGAACAGGGACGCAGCAGGACAACTCAGAGCCCTAATGCAATGGAGGCTGAGATTAGGATGATGGACAGGACTGACGGGCTTTACTGGACAGACTGTCATCGAAATGCAAGTCATCGCTTCCACATGGAAATGAGGACTTCGTTCAATAGTGGCACCAGGAGTTAGGTATACTGCCACAGGATCATCCTCACCTCGCCCGATTTTGTGAGCTGGGGAAATTGCTACACTGGTTTTGTTTCAAATTGAAATTGAGTGTTGACGCGGACGCGCGGCGCCAGCGCATCGTGGGACGATGTGTCGGAGTTTTAAATATTTTCGTGCATATAAACCCAGCTCGTCCCGACTTCGAACGTCTTCAACGACGTTTTGCCCCCCTTCCAGCAGCCTACTTGAGCGTGGTCGGGGCTTCCTTATATCGACGTCGGAGAGCGACTTTGTCGGGCTTCCCTTTCGCTAGCAACACTAGTCTCGTTTCAAGGCGATGATGGATTTCTAGATAGTAGGGCGAGCTACATTTTCCATCGAACAATGATTTCCTCTGAGCAAGTTCAAAAACGCTCGATTGTCCGAGGAGGTATAATGAGAACTGATAAGGAGGAAAACCGTGAGGAGTGTGCACTTGAGAGCGGCCATATGGGTTTGGAGGTTATAAGAGGTGACAGGATGCTCATGTACATTCAGATGAAACAATTATATATGGCCTTATGGTCTAGTAGCATGATTCTTCCTTTGGGAGCTTCTCCAGAAGCCGCAACTGGAAGAGGTCCTGGGTTCAATTCCCAGTGAGGCCCTTTTGCTTCCTTTTGTGTTTCTTCCATTACACTACATGACCCTCTTTTTGCAAAAAAGAGGCAAGTTTATTGAATTTGTGGAGCAAAAGCCTTAGTTGGCTTCAGATTCTTCCTGATTTTCTGACTTTTTATGACAAACTTCTGTGTTGAGAGCTTTAGGTCCCTAAGGTCATTGTGAATATTTATCTATAGGTTCAGTGGTCTAGTGGTTATGATTTCTGTCTCACACTTGTTGTAGCACACAGAAGGTCCCCGGTTCGATCCCGGGCTGAACCAGTTTTTGTTGTGCCTGACAGACCTTTTGGGCTGCATTCTTTTCTTCAACACAATACGACGTCATGTACCCATTTATCGCCCCTTTGAATACACATTAGATAAGGCCCAAAAGAGTACTACTGTTACACTGTAAAATGCAGGTAGACGTCATGGTAGTAGTACGATCGATTAGCTGAGAGAGAAAGGCGACGGACGGTTCAGGGTATACTAGTGGGGAATGGGCATAAAAAGGTCTTTTGAGGGTGTGCCTTCTCTCTCTCGTCGTAGCTCTAGTGTTGAGTGACCGTTGGAAACCCAAGCAGAGTACTTGTTGGGGAGGGAAATGAAAGATGGCTGACTCCAATACAACGGCCCTCATTTCGATTACGGAGTCCTACGAGCGCGGCGTTATCCGCACATCGGTCAACGATGAGTCGGGAACTGGCGAATGACTGTGGCTCCTTGACCCTGCGCTCCTAGGAGAGTGTATCGGGCGGGGCGGGGATCGGTGTTTCGATTTGCCTTTGCGCAGCGGTGCCCGTTCATCTTGACCATCCGTGTCATGGTCGTACTCCTCCCACTCGTCCGCCTCGCGTACCTGGCCGAGCTCTGAACCGCCACTCGTTGTCCGCATGTGCCCCATCGCCCTTGGGACAGGCCGATCCCGGTCGGCGAGGTTGACCCCGGTGTTGTCCTCGTCCTCGAAGGCGTTGAAGAGGGTGTGGGACTGAGACCGGTAGAGCGAACTTTGCCGTCCGTGTCCTGCTCGCCCCCCAGGGCGGCCGATCCCATTCATGTGCACGTCAATCCCGCCTCGGTCGCCAACACCGTTCCACCCGTCGAGCGACATGCGGCCCTGTAGGCTTAGGCGTGGGTTCATGAGCCCGCCTTCGAGTGCCCCGTGGCCGTGGTCGAGTGGTGGTTCAGGCGTCCGCGAGAGGTTGAGGATGTGCACGCCAAGGAAGGTCACAACGAACCCGACCAGTAGTGATAGAGTGTTGGCACCGTCGGTTGTATTGAAGCCTTGGAAGAGGATGAGGGAGGCGACGATCGTTGCTGACGAGAAGCCGACATAATAGAGGGGGTTGACACTGCGGACGAACGTTATTTATACTTAGAGCACTCGACTTCGCAGCGGACTTACACGTTAGTCGAGAACGTGTCCAGGGCTTTGTTGAAGTAGTTCATCTGGACGAGGATGCATAATGCAACGAAAATGCCGAACACGTAGGTGCTGGGATGCGTGAACTGGTTGTTGCCCTCGAAGGTGAGCTTGACCGCGACACCGAAGCCCTTGATGGCCATAACGCTGACGGAACCGACGAGAGAGCAGATAGATATATAGACAATAGGGTTCGTTCGGCCGTGCTTGGGTGCAATGATGTAGATGAGGACGAGGGATACGACGAGGACGGTAAAACAGTAGAGAAGAAACCCTGGGGAGAGTAAAGTGTTAGATTTCATCGAGTCTCTCGCCTGCCTCAGGCGCAGTAGCGTTGGTCCAGTTGTGTGTCACGGAACCCGACAAACCACCCACGTCCCTTCAGAGCGGGCAGCACATGACAAATATCCTCCACCGACCGCAAGAAGTAAATGAGCAAGGATAACACACCTGGCTGGATGGCATACTCCAGAATCTGATCAACGGTTGAAATGGGCTTGTCCTCCGGGGCGTGTAACACAATGATGAGCGAGCCAAGCAGACACAGCGTGCATCCCAGTCGGCCAAGGTGTCCAAGTTCTTCGTGTAGGAGGAGAGAGGCGAGGATAGCGCTAGAAATGAATGAGAAAGCAACATGGAAGATAGGTGGTCGGTGCCCACCCAATGATGACGCTGAGGGCCCCGAGCGGCGTTACGAGGATGGGAGGGGCGAAGGTGTAGGCTGCAAAGTTGGCAACTGAAAAGCAAATGCTTGAGAAACCTTACTCCACGCGAATCAAGGACTTAGCGTACTTTCGCCAATGACAACTGGATGTACGCCGTGAGACAAGACTCGAAGAGGCAGAGAAAGTTAAACACGCACGGGTCGACATGCCAAACCACCATAGAGGATTCCGGAGATATGAGAGGTTATCCGACGCCTGTGTTCCGTACGCAGAGCCACCAGCATCGTTCAAGCCCTGCGCGCTGAGGTTTAGCTCACGACTCGTGTCCAGAACTTGTAGGCTACCTTTTTTGTTAGGATGAAGCTGGAGCCGATAGCGACGGAGCCTGCCACTGCTAGGAGTAGGCCAATGTATTTATCTTCCATACAGGTCGTCCGGGGTCGTTAGAAGGAAAGGAGGGGACTCGTAAAAAATAAAAAGGTGGTTGCGGAATGAGATCTTGCGACTCGGACAATGCTTCCCTAACCTTGCAGGCACAGCATATCACGTGATGTCTCCGAAATCAGCACTCGCCGCCGGACGGCGCTCAAATTTGACTCAATGCTCGCTGCTCCGGAGTCTGAAGCAAACTCATCAAGCGTCAGACCTCATACCCCTATACATTACAAATTGCAGTAATTCTGAAGAAGGAATAATCCAGAACAAGCAACCCTGGAAGCAGTGGTTGAAACGTTGGCAGCAGACACGATCAGTAGCCCCTGGGCGTCTGGCACGAACCAGAGAATCTTTCTTACTTATGAAGTTGGGCCGATGAATGGATATGTTCGACGCGTTGGAAAAAGGGGGGTGAGTCAGTGCGAACAGCCTGGCATTCCTTCCTTTTTGCCTTTGACCGTGTCAGGCCACAGATTTTTCTTTATTCAGGACCCGGTTGGCCTCCCCAGTCTATAGTCGAGCAAGACACCATTTGGTTGTAGAATTACCTCTCCAGCGTGTCGTCAAAACCCTGGCCTCTTTTCGCTAGCAGGCTAGGGCCAGCGCCGTTGTTGGACAACGATCAATGAAGGATGCACCTGGACCGCAGGGCTGCAGAGGATTCTGACTTTGGGGAAAAGCTTCGTACCCGCGGCTGGGGACGGAATACTGTGCTTCAAAGTGTGTGCTTTTCCTTGGTTGGGAATGAGCGATCACACTAACAAATTTTATCTAAAGCCTGCCACCCCGCCGAGGTCCCGGCTTACTCGCGTTCTACTTTCCCCCTCGGCAATGGGTAAAATTCAAGGAAACTTCAATGCGGAGTGGAAATGAGCTTGCCACCCTGAAGCCAACGGCCGACCTCCCCAATGCTCGAAAGCCAAACCAGGGCAGAACGTCATGACCGGAGGAAACATCTCGGCCTGTATTGTCACAGCCAGGTGGCGACGACGGCATTGAAAGAGCCTCTATAGGTAGAGGAAAACCTCAGCAAAGCATGGCTTTCCATCGGCATTGGGTCGAGCTAAAAAAACAGGACGACTATGGCGCCGAGACCGACGTCGCATTGTACCGTCAATGCGCTGAACGTACGCGATATGTCCCAGTTTGGCAGTGTCCTTGCTACACAAACCGCCTCTATGTTCTATGCTATCGCCATCGCAGCGACCTCAAGTCGTTGACTGGTCAGCTCGGAGATGCCCTTCAACTCAGTGAAGAAAGGGCAACTCTGGATAATTTAACTACTCATGGCCGCGGCTCAAACCTCACGCACGATTAAATACGACAAGGGAGCGCATACGAAGGCTTTGTAATCGGTCGAGGTCTGCTGAACAAGCTGCAGAAGCCCCGAACATCATGGAGGTTCCGGTACTCCAATTATCACTGCGCATCATTTGACTTGCCCCGAAGTCCTCGATTTTCCTATAGCTTGGTCTGAGCATCCGAAAACTCGCCGCAAGACAATTTATTTTGACTCCTCTGTCGCTTATAGACGACTTGTAGCTCGACAATCGATATTACCAAGGCAAAGTGGGTTCACTGAGAGTTGTCTCATTGCCGACTAAAATTAGAGAACGAATATGCCCAACACCCTAATAATACACGCGATCGAGAACATAGGGTTCACACTCGCCTTCGCAGACGGGTTCTGCGAGGTGTTACTACCTGACTTCCTGAAGCTAGATAACCCTTGATCGCCACAATCGCGGTGTTCTTAATCATAAAGGTTGCTGCGTTCAAAGTCCCCCTCCGAACACCTTAGACCTGCTCAGCTGACCTGACCCATTATTTTCAGAATCCCACTTGTCATTAGTCTGAACAACAAAAGGCCGACTTACGCGTAGATTCCATTGAGTGTCGCGTAACGCGATATGCCTCTCCCTCCCCAGTCGCATTGCTTAGGATAGGCCAAGATTATAAACGACATGCCGCCCCGAGTCTGTCAGGCAAAATGGCGTACCTTTCTCCCCGTTTTCTAGTGTTGGTATACCTTTTGGCAGTGTGCAGCACGGTCTGCGGCGCCATCGACACGCCCTCGGGGCTCCGAGCAAGACAGATCAGTCCCGGCCAGCTCTCTGCCACCTATGACTATATCGTCGTCGGGGGCGGCCAGAGCGGCCTCGTCGTCGCAAACAGGCTGAGCGAGAACTCAAAGAGTACGCGTTTGCACCCTTTTCCAGGGCCCAGGGCGCTCATTTGTATCTGATATAAGGATCCGTTTTGGTGGTGGAATACGGTTACTTCGACGACAACCCTGCGCAGGTGGAGCTCTCGAGCGCGGGTGTCTGGCCGCAGCACAACCTCTTCAACGTCTCCTCTGTTCCGCAGCCTGGAATGAACAACCATCCGGGGCTTGCCTTTGCTGCTGTTGTTGTCGGTGGAGGATCTACGATAAATGGGATGTTGTTTGACCGCGGAGCAGCGGAGGACTATGATATTTGGGAAAGGCCGCATAACCCTGGGTGGGGTTGGAAGGGGTTGCTTCCGTACTTCAAGCTTCAAGAAGGTATGTACCCTGCCTTGCTGGGTATGGATACCGATGGTCACATAACTTCGGTTCATTAGAGTACAACGTTCACCCCAGCGAGACCTGAGCTTTCTCGTGAGTTCAACATTACTTGGGACATTGAACGGGCGTACGACAACGACCCCATCCAAGCCAACTTCCCCGACTGGCAGTGGCCAGGAATCAGTGAGTTCTTTCTGCCACCAAATCCAACCTTCTTTCTACTTAACGACGTTCGGCAGAAATCCAGTGGAAAGCCTGGAAAGAGCTCGGTATGCCGACCAACATCGAAGGTGCTGCCGCCAACGCCTGGGGAGCGTACTGGAACCCTTCCGCCACCGACAATCAATACCGGCGCTCGTACTCCCGCACAGGCTACTGGGAGCCTTCCGCCACGCGTCGCAACCTCCATCTCTTAACCGTCCACTGTGTCAACGGGGTCCTATTTAATGAACAGAAGAGGGCTACTGCAGTCACGATCCAGGAGCGGAACACTCCGAACGGTGCCACGACGATCACGGTCAAGGCTACAAGGGAGATTGTACTTTGTGCGGGCTGGCTGCATACCCCGCATATCCGATTGCAAAGGAGTGGGCTGGGACCCCGTGGTCTCCTTGAGGAAGCAGGAGTCAAGGTTGTCGTTGATCTTCCGGGTGTGGGATCGAATCTCCAAGATCATCCCGTTTATTTCATTGGTTTTGAATGTTAGTCATTTCTCGATGATTGCTTTGTGCACCTAGCCGACTGAAAATATTGAATCCACCAGACCAAACAGACGTGTTCCCAAATCCTGCAATAACGCTACATTCCAGGCGTGGGCTGATGAGCAATGGCAACAAAGGAAAGGCAAGCGCCCTCAACTAATATTCTTCCTCTTGTTCACGTCTCATTACGCCTGAATTAGGCCCACGGTCAATGTGAGTCGGCAACGCGCTCGTCACTGCCCCTCTGCCCCTCCTGGCTCCGAACTACCGCGCCATCTTGCGCAAAGGCCGTACCCAAAATGCAACTGCCTACCTTCCTTCAACGTACACTGCCCAACAAGTTAAGAGCTTCGTCGCCCAGCGCGATATCCTGCTTTCCTCCTTCACGCGCATCAACAATGGTGTGATGGAGATCCCATTCCTAGGCGCTGGTGGCACGCTCAGACGCGGTACCGTCCTGCTGAGCACGACGGACCAGAGCCTGTCATCGATTTCAACGCAAACACCAACCCCGTTGATGAAGGCATATGGATCGCGACGATGAAATATTACCGCAGGTGGATGGCGGCAAAGGCGATGAAGCAACTCACGCCAGTTGAAACGTTTCCCGGCGTGAGTGTGGTCACGGATAAGCAGATTGCTGAGGCTATTAGGTTCTCAGTTGCAGCCGAAGCAGGCCACTCGTGCTGCACAGCCGCAATGGCGCCGAGGGAGCTTTCTGGGGTTGTTTCGCCTGAGTTGACAGTGTATGGTGTCACTGGGTTGAGCGTTGCTGACCTCTCCATGGTGCCAATCATCCCTGCTACGCACACTTGCGCTACTGTCTACGCTATCGCGGAAAAGGTAAACCGTTCCAACCTTCTTGGGATTTATTTGTTTATGTACTCCAGGCTGCCGACCTCATTAAGGTGCGTCATGATTCTAGAATCGAATATGGCAAGTAGTATACGAGCAGGAATCTGCTTTCTTTATGGGGGAAAGGCAGCATCATTAAACCCTTTTGCACAACTTCACCGCAAGTCGGGTTGGGAATCTGCAACCTTTAAATTTTATTGATATTGATGTATGAAGGGGACCCTAATTCTGAGGTTTCGTTGAGCCGCAAATGAAGGTAAGAGAGGCAAGAACGCACATATCAATAGCATCGACCCTCCAATCGACCGATGTGAATGGGATCAACATAAAGCACTAACTTGAACGAGTCTATGGACGTTGTACTAACTTTCTATAATGAGTCAGGGGATATCTAGAATGGTATGGTGGAGAGCGCGACTGAAACTGGGCAGGATTATAACTTGAATGAAAGGTTGCAAAAAGTCTAATAAATTCCGGTAGATACTGCTTCGACCTCTTCACTCGTTCTTGCTCAGCCCTTGAAGTTGAACATAATCATAATAATCGCCGCGTTTGGCTAGTAGTTGGTCGTGGGTTCCGAATTCACTGACGCATCCATCTTTGATGAAGTAGCTGTGAAATACATTAGCTCAGGCACAAGTTGGCAATGATGTAGAAACTTACATTCGATCCGCATTTTGGATTGTTGACAGCCGATGGGCAATGGCAATGGTCGTCCTGCCTCTAGCCGCTTGATCAAGTGCGGCTTGCACGACCCTCTCGGAGTTGGAGTCAAGAGCAGACGTGGCCTGAGCAGCGATAATCAGCGCCTCCACTTTATGCCCAAGTAAGATCACGTACCTCGTCGAGTAGGAGGATCTTAGGGTTTCTAAGAAGAGCACGAGCAATGGCAATGCGTTCTTTTTTGGACCCTTGAATGCGGACTTCACAAAGGAACATATTGGTTTGACTCACGTTTCTGACCACCCGATAATTGTGAGCTCTTGCCTCCAATCTCGGTATCGAACCCTTGAGGCAATCCTTGAATGAAGTCGAGGATATTGGCATTGCGGCAAGCATCTTCGATTTCTTCTTGCGTGACCGCGGACTCTGGTTTAATAGCGCCCAACAAGATATTGAACCGAACTGTCCCAGAATACAGCGTAGGTTCCTGAGATACCAATGCCAGCTGTTTGCGATACTCTTTCAAGTTTAGTTCCGTAATACGTTCGCCGTCGAGCTATAAGGACCAGATATGTAAAGCGTCACTTGGTAAAGTGTGAAACGACATACGTAGACCTCTCCAACCAGCGGGTCGTAGAAGCGCTCAATCAGTTGGATGCTGTGGGACAAGAGGTCAGCATCAAACCACTATTAACGGGAAGAATGACTATTCACGATGTGCTCTTACCAGACCCACTGGCACCGACCAAAGCAACATAAGTACCTGGTTCTACCTCAAACGAAAGATTGCGCAGCACACGGACACCTGGTCTCGTAGGGTACCTGAAATGGATTTTCTCAAACTTGATATGTCCTTTGACAGCCTTCCTCTCGATTGCCTTGCCTTCCGTTGAATCTGCATCAATTTCCGGCATCGAGTCGAGCAGCTTTATTATCTCCGAACCTGCACTCTTTGCAGAGGAGACATCAGGAACGAATGAGAACACATTGCCAACTTGAATGGCGCCAAATGTAGTGCCCTAGCGAATGGGAAAGTTTCAGTAAGAGAAAAGTACAAAAGATGAAGAATGATACGATACACACCATTAGACCGACAAAGAATTGAAACGATGATACCTCTTGTTTGGACACAAGGATCGAGCCGTACCAGAAGATCAAAGATATGACGAAGAAGCCTGCAGCTTGCGAGAAAGAGTAGAGTAGGTTGCTCCAGAGAGCGGTCTTCTTTGACTTGCGCAGGGGTTCTTCTAAACTCTCGCTGTATAGCCTCACACACTCGTCCTCCCTAATGAGCGAAGCTACAGTGCGGATGGAGCCAGCAGCCTCGCAAGCCATCTGGGCAGATTCTTCGTGCGCTTTCTTGTTTGCTTCGTCTTTGAGAACGACTACACGCTACAATGGGAGTGAAAGGCTCGTCGTCATACTTGAAGTACGAGGCGAATGAAAAGAAATACCCACGAGACGAATGTAACCAGCCGAGACAAGAAGCGGAGTGCAGGCTAAGTTTGACATGGATCAGGCTCGGTCTCAGAAAGCTACCACCGACAGTGAACTTACCGATACCAACGAGACCCACTTTCCAGACAAAAATAAGGCCGAGTATAGAACCGCCAATAAGGGTCGCAACAGACTGTACGATAGCACCGAGGGTTATACCAGCGAGACCGTTGACCTTCTGGGGGTTGTCACCAAGCTGAGAAGTCAAAGAACCAGTCTAAATATGACAAGAATATAGGTGCCCAGCTTGAAGACAATTTTTTGGGAAAGTACTCACGCTATTCTTGTCTTTATCGAAGAACTCGACTAGACGTGCATCCACCCATCAATGGAATACCTGAAAGCAATGAAAAAGTACTCACTATCTTGCCTCAAGATAGCCTTGAAGCTCAAAGACCTCAACCGCGTCGCAGTAGCCGAGAACAAAAGATTTTGGAATCCAATCGCGATCGCGGAAATAATGGCAATGATGAAGAGCCACAATGCATTTCTGTCACCCTGGTGGCGACGTTCAGAAGCTTCGAGGGCAGAAAAGCCTTCAATGCCCTTCGCAAATACGACGCCGAAGGCGGGATAAACCATTCCACTCACTATTCGAATAACCGGCCTATCGTTAGTATACATCAAGTTGAAGACAAGCAAAGACGACGAACTGCAAGAGAAGATCGAGGCAAAGAGATAGTTTTTCCACTGGTCGTGCATAAGACCGCCCATACGCCGGAACAAGTAGAACAGGCTATACGACTCTCCGCTGCCTACAGCAGGATCGCGCCGCTGAGCCAAGATCTCGCTCGCAAGCGATTGCCGAGTGTTCTTGCGGCCAAGGGGAACTTCTTCGCGAGCGGCTTTCTCGATATCCTCTGAAGCTTCTGACCCAGAGCTGTCGAAGTCGAGATGCGAATCAGTGTGGTCGCGGAGCTTCTGGGCGGCTACAAGGGCAGCATAGGCACCGTCAGCTTCCAGGGCTGGTTGTGTGTGCCTTTCTCCAAAACAAGACCATCGCCCATGACGTAGATGACATCGGCGTCCTTGACGGTCGAGAGTCGATGCGCGATAGTAATGGTGGTGCACCCTTCATCGAGTTAGAGGTTAGTATTGTTGTAAGTCTGGGCGAACGGAATTTGAACTCGTCACACACCAGCAGCAGCCTTGTCCAAAGCATCTTGAACAATACCCTCAGATTGCGTGTCGAGAGCGCTCGTCGCTTCGTCCAGAAGCAAGATTCGTGGGTCCGAAACAATAGCACGGGCAATAGCCACACGCTGCTTCTGGCCGCCAGAGAGCAAGAACCCGCGCTCGCCGACCATCGTATCGTACCCAAGGGGCAGTTTGGTGATGAAACCATCCGCATTTGCCTTCAGGCAAGCCGCCTTGATCAGCTTGTCTTTCTCCTCCTGGGGGGCGTTCTCCCATTGTGTGCCGATCAAACCGTGCGCAACGTTGCCTCTGATCGTGGTGGCGAAGAGGACGGGCTCCTGCGAGACGAGACCAATTTGCGAGCGCAGCCATTTGAGGTTGAGATCCTTGATGTTGATGCCGTCGAATTTGACGACGCCTTCAGTAGGATCGTAGAAGCGCTCGACTAGAGATATGAGGGTCGACTTTCCGGAGCCCGAAGCACCGACGAGCGCAGCCGTCTTGCCAGCCGAGAAGGTGATATCTATGCCTTTCACGACTTGAATGGTCGGGCGAGAAGGGTACGCGAACTTGACGCCTTCGATAGTGATTTCACCTTCGACCTTCGTTGGCTTCAAGCCGTCGGGATTGGCGGAGTCTATGCCAGGAATGCGATCGATGGTGTCGTAAAGTTTGGCAGCAGCGCCACGGCCATGGGTTATAGCTACAAAAATCAAACAGTTAATGCACGACGGGATAAGCTGAATCGAAATATTCACCTTGCATCTCAGGCGCGAGGAGGGAAAGGGAGAATGAACCAATTAAAACCGCCAACACAACGGCGACGATAGTCCCAGCGTCGGCTACATCAAATAGATGAGGTGACATTGTCTCTGTATATAAACTGAAACGCACCATTTCCTGCATTGATAAGTGTCGTACCAAAAGCAAAAGCTATAGAAATTGTTAGAGGACTAATTGGGAACCAATACAGACACTCACAAAGAGCGTAGGCGGAATAATCCACAAAGAAGAAGAGGGCAAGCCCTCCTCCCTCCCACAGAGACGACTTCAGACCAACTCGGAGTGCCTTATCGATGTGGCCATCATACAACTTCGACAAGGTCTTCTGGATCCCAAACGCCTGGGCAGTTCGAATGGTCGAAATGACTTCCTCAGCGAGACTCCCGCCTTGTGCTTCAGGGATTTCCTACACCGGCATTCGTGATTAATCGCAGTGCACAAGATCGAGAACGAAGGCGTACTGCATGTATATCGCCATGAAGTAGTCCATGGCTGCACCTGTGAGAGCGATGCACGGGATGATTGCAGACATCGCGAGCGTCAAGCGCCATGATTTCACGAAGGCGAGGACGAAGCTAGAAATAAATGCGCTGAGGAAGTTGATGACGAGGGCAACCTTCTCCGACATGCCTTGTTGCACCAGATCTGGAATGGGAAAAAATGGGAAATAAGAACGCAGTAGCCAGGGGGAGGGAGGAATGGAACCGACGGGTGTCCATCTGGATTCGGGTAGCCACTTCACCAGCGCCAACGTTGTCGAAGAACGCGATGTCCTGGCGAAGGACTGCTCTGAGATAATTTTCACGTATGCGCTTTGCGTTGACCTCTGCCGTGTAGACCCAGGTGTACATGTAGACGAACGTGCAGGCAAACATGCCAATGCCTGAAATACAATCGCATATAACCCTTTCTGGTGCAAGGGAAGAGTGAAGGCCGGAGACGTACCGAGGTAGACTAGGTAGCTAGCCGTCTGACTGGATGTACGTCGGAATTCCGCTGCAGCTTGGGGGATGTTGGCGATAGCATCTCGATCCCCAGTCTTAGCTGACGAGACCGCCTGCGAGAAATTGACAAATTCCTGGGTGAGGTCAGCAAACATTAGGGACATTAGAGGCTGAGAAAATTATAAGACAAGGATCAGAGGATAGGAAGCAAAACATACTAGAGCTGCACCTGCAGCCGCCGCCGCTATGAGCCCAACAAAATCAAGGAAGAGTTCAAACTTGGTGGAGTACCTTTCGACAAAGAACGTCAGGGTTGGATCATATAGGTATGGAGAACTGTCTGTACACACCGAAAGAGCTCCGAAAACGAGACTGGCGGGACTTCTTGTTGAATAGGCTTGACTTCCGTAGATGCATCGCCATTTTCTTGACCGACTTTCTCGCCCTGATGTTTGTGGGTCCTTTTGCGAGAGAAAAGGCGCCATGAACCCTCCGCGACGATGGTGGACTTTTCGTCCGCACTGCTGGCTGGTCGGTCGACCATAGGTTGAAATAGTGGATGTGCCGGGGAGATTGAATTCAACTTAGAGTAGGCCTATGCCTAATATTATCTAGCCAGTGTTGCGTCAATAGCATGACAAGATGCGGCACAAATTCTATATCTGGTAGTGGTCAAACACATTAATCTGCCAAGGACGAAAAAAGTGCCGACAGGTTAGCGGGTTACTTCAAGACCTTAACAATACTCGGCACACCACAATAATGACGTTATTTTTGCCTGAAGGCTGGGAGGGCCCAAACGGGGGTAGCCGGATACTACGTAGGCAAACGACAAATGACAAGATGCGGCCCAGTAAGAATAAGTGCTGGTTGATCTGTTAGTTGAATGACGAAAAGCGAGCTAGAAAATCCACTCACCTGGGTAACTTCTCCGCGTAAACAGAGGTGGCTGGTAAGGGACCGTGGGGGAACGCTGGAGATTGGCGGCACCGCGGGATCTAGCTGGAGTCGGTCAAGTTGTTATTGGCTGACCTTTGTTCGAGGGGTTTCGTTCACTTCGGCGCTTCAGCACACTCTCTGCCTTGACGCTGGCAAGCTTCTCCCACCCTAAATTCTTCGCCGTGTTCGTCATTCCAGTCCGCGGCCCTTCATGAAGCCCGATTAAGAGACGGCTTCGTGGATTGATGCATACCCTCTATAATTTTATTGAGTCCAAATACAACGCACTGATATCTCGACTCAACTACTGGCGTTGCCTACTACTTGCATGGTCTGATTGGTTCATCCCTGCCAAATACACATCCCAATCCTCCAAACCAGGAGTCGGGTAAGACGACTGGGTGTTTGTGCTTGAAAGTTGATCGTGTTGCGCAAACTCATCTATACCGCCGGCATCCATGGCCAGAGGTACCTGGTATTGATCGTTTGGACTACCAGGGTATGCAAAGGTGAAGGAGAATAGTGAGGAAAGAGTAGGCGAGAGGGGTTGGGCAATGTCCATGGACAATCGGCGTAATAGTGATGTGGTATCAAGGCGGTCAAACGAAGTCGTAGGCGCCTGAAGGGCGGTAGAATTGAAATATTGTTGGTCCAGGCTTGTGCCAATGCCTTCAGACACAGCGAAGGCGGGAATCGAGTCGGTTGGAGATTCATTATCGCGGAACATGTTGGTACGATCACCCATTGACGAGAGCTCTTCTAACACATCCCTAATTCCACACAAAACATCAACACGTAGCTGCAGTAGGGCACACAAAATTCGACGTACCAAAATCTCCCGGCAAGAGTCCACCGCTTCTCGCTCGCTTTCAACGTCTGCAAGCAATGCTCTACAAGAATCATATCATCTGCATCCCGCGAGGCCAGCGGCCTACCACCACCAGTTCCTTCTCGTACCCACGAGCTGAATAATAGCACCACACCCGACGTAAACGTAGCCAACTGGATGACTGGGGGCGGGGCGATCCCATTTCGCTGCCGTTGCATGTCGACGATACGTACACACGCACGAGCAGCATTGGTGCATATAGTGAGGGATGGAAAGGGGACGACAGAGGGTTTTCTCGGAGACGCGATGAACAGGCGATGGGTGAGGATTTGAATGTGGTAATACAATACATGGAGCATAGCGGAGATGTTGAAGTGTTGCATGTTTTGGCGATTTGGATCCCACCGCACTTGAAGGGACATAGATTAGAAATGAACACAAGGAGACGGGGAACGTACGATGCTCTGGCACAGAATCTAGCCATTTGTTTAGACTTGAGTCAAGCTCCATCACAATACGTGGCTTCCATTCATGGACTGAGAGCGGGTTGTACCACTCGTCACCTTTGGGTGGCGCGTACTAGAGGCCAGTATATGTTATAGCAATCTAGTCTTTAAAAGAGGCTACGCACGAATCCTCGGATACAACAGTTCAAGATGTACATGAGTTTTAGCAGCATGTGGAATCCGCTCATTGTGGAAGGCTTGTCCGCAGGCTGTTTGAACCTTTTTTGTGGGTCGGGATGTTCCCAGTATTCGTCGTCACAGTCTATGGGGAGATCAAGGTCGAAGCTGAACGGGTAGGTTGCCTCAATGAGTGTCAGCATTCAATATATAATACTCACTCTTCATCTTGAATGGCGCCTGGACGACCTAGTGCCGTACTAACGACTCTGTCGATGCAGATGAGGACCCTGGTGCAAGCCTTCAGGATTTCATGGTGCTCAAAAAAAAAAAAAGGAGTTACATACCAAAACGCCCGCTTCCAAAGTTCATCTTCTGCCGACGGCGTACGACTTCGTAGCCTGTGTATACCGACGTCCTGTGCCGACCGGAGGACAACACCCACCATGGCCCATACGCTTTGCGGTGCAGAAGAGCTCTGCAGAAATAACAGGGTCAACTGCAAGACGAGTCAGCATACGACCCGGAAAGAGGTATTAGAGAAGTGAAGAGAGACCCACACAGTGCAACTGTAGGTCATAAAGCGACGGTAGAGAAAGGTACGAAATTGTTCCCGTCTCCACTTGGTTGTACCATTTCCACCCTGCTGACTGATACGAATCCGAGCCGTTGAAGAGTACCCGCGGATCGTTCGAAAATCGGGCACCTATGGCAAACGGATCGTTCGAAAATCGGGCACCTATGGCACAAACGAGAAGGTACACTGCTCCAAAACTGGCATTAGAATACTGAAGGTTGTCGCGGAGTGCTCTCTCGAAAGACGGTCGATGGAGCAGAGGGAAGTGGAGGTTGATATGCTCGAAGTACAGATTGAGGAGCTCCTTTGAGAGTTCTGGCTCAGGAAATGTATACTGGTTGTGCTGTACAGGTTCCAACGCCCTTTCCCACTAAAATGTATGCATCAGCCCGCTGAGAATGCCTAGTGACTAATGGACAACCCACCGTCCGAAGTGCCCAAAACTCTTCGCGCCTGTGGTGTAACACGGGACGCTGGATACTACTCTCATTGTCTACCCAGCTTTTCTTCGTGAAGATGGCCTCACGAATGAGAACTTCACTGCTCGACTTGCCGAAGAACCGATTCGAGTCGAGGCTGCTGTCTATGAAAGGTGCATTCGGGCTTTCCTCATCGGACTGCGAGGTGGGCTCAGCGTCGTTCGCGGCGCGGATGGCGTTGGCGAAACTCTCTAGAGCATCAAGTCCTTGTGCATAGTCGATGGTACCCAAAATGGAAGAGGGCGGCTGCTCAGGAACATCGTCGAAAGCCACGCCGCTTTTCATGATGGTGCTGATCCAGTCTTGGTATGTTTTCTCGTTGGGACATAGCTGGGGACTCCAAAGTGTCACCCAGGGCAGTCGTGGTCGAAGCAGTTCAACGCACCTTCCGGAGGAGGAGGTCTAAGTCCGTTATTCTATCCTCAAGACTGGCGATATATTTCTTCGACGAACTTCGCCTCTATATGGAGAATTCGTCTACTAAGCGACTTGGTTCAACAAAGAGCAGACTGACGGGTGGTGCTTCAATGTACGTGCAGTCAATTTTTGCTCTGATGCAGTTCGCACATTGAGTAGTTGGGAGCTCTGGTCCTTTGCCTGATGAAGAAGAGCATGAGCTTCATGCTAAGCAAAGTGTTGGAATCACCCGACATCGTGCTGTGGTAGTTCAGTTGCCATTATTTAAGAGAGACTGAACGTTCAGCAACTCGAACTACCGAGGCACACCTTTCTTCTTCCGACACGCGTCGCATGCGCGCTTTGATCTCTCTTGCTTGCGAGTTTCCTGGACGTGACTGGATTGCTCGTCTTCGCTGGAACACATGTGCGTCACGGTGGAAGTTGGGAAAGAACAAGTGTACACACCTATGTAGTCCTCAGTAAGTATAAGTAGTTGAGGGCTTATCTAATACAGGGGATTAGCGAGCGATCTACGGTTCCGCAGCATTCGAGCCAAGTCCTGACATCATAGAAAAGTGAGTAACATCGAGGTGAGTTCTTGCGTGTTGAATAAGTCGCTGCTGGAAGCGAGGGCTCGCGCCATACTGCAATACCAGGCCAGTTCGCTAATTCATGCCAAAATAGAATTAAGTATGGTTATTAGAGCATGGCAGAGAGCAGACCAATATGGGAGAGGGCTTACATCGGCCCGGAGGCCGAGTGTCTTTGTACTTACAAACTTGAAGCTTCTCGTAGGAGTCTCAAGCCAAAATATAGGTAATAATCTACGGGATTATGTATTGAGCTTGGCGTGTGCCACCTGTAGCATGCTCTCAGCTTGTCTACTTCACAGTTATACACCTGAATCATCCACTCCAGGAGAACGACCTGGGGAAGGCCAAAGGTTAATCCAACAAAGAGCGCGGAGACACTTATAGTGCGCCTGGTGGCGAGTTCAACCAGGTATGGGGTCCACTCGAAAGTTGGTAATGATACCCAGACTGGGTTGTATTTCCCGTATCAGACGTATCAGGAATTGGTGCTGCGCCATAATGATTCTGACTGGCAGGGTGGTCGAAGGTGAAAGAAAAGAGGGAAGAAAAGGTGGGCGAGAGTGGTAGGGTAGTTTCCTCGGCGCATGGACGGAATAGGGAGGCGGTGTCGAGGTGGTTTGCCCAATGTCCTCAGCCACAGAGGTAGCAGGGATGGAGCTGGTCGTTGGTCGAGGAGGCTCGTCGTGGCTAGGATTGACAAAAAAATCGGGCAGTTCACCCACGGATGAGAGCTCGTCCAACATGTCCCTGATGGCACGCCGACGCCTCAACACATTGTCGCACAAGGAGAAGTGAAATTCAACATACCAGAACCTAGCAGCTTGACACCACCGTTCCTCGCTCGCCTTTAGTGCCTCCAAGCAATGTTCTACAAGTGTCATATCGTCTTCGTCTTGCAGAGTCGCTGCGGTGCCACCCCTGGCGCCTTTCTGCACCCACGAACTGAACAACAGGACCACGCCCGACGTAAACGTGGCTAGCTGGATAATTGGTGGCGGGCCGTAATCGTTGCGCTTCCACTGAACATCCACGATTCTGGCACACGCACGCGCAGCATTGGTGCATATAGTGAGGGATGGGAAAGGCACGACGGAAGTCTTTCTTGGAGAGATGAATAGGCGGTGGGTGAGGATTTGGATGTGGTGGTATAACGTGTAGAGCATGGCGGGTATATTGAAGTGTTGGATGTTTTGACGGTTTGGATCCCACCGCACTTAAGATTAGGCGGTTCAGAAACCTCGATGAAGGAGAAACAAGCGGGACGCACGATGCTCTGAGACAGATTCGAGCCATTTGTTGAGGGTTGAATCGAGCTCCATTACGATACACGACTTCCACTCATGTACAGGCAGCGGGCCATACCACTCATCTCCTTTCGGTGGTGTGTACTAGAGGCAAGAATAAGTCTCAGAAACCTAGAAGAGACAGAGAGACTGCGTACAAATCCTGGTACACAATAATTCAAGATGTACACAAGCTTCAGCAGCATGAGGAATCCGATCATCATGGTAGGCTTGTTTGGAGGCTGTTTGAACCTTTTTCGAGGGTCGGGATGCTCTCAGTATTTATCATCGCAGTTGATGGATAGGTCGAGGTCAAAGCTAAATGAGCATGTCAGCTCAATGACGATCAGAATTCGATCAAGAGGGCTTACTCTTTATCTTGAATGGCACAAGGACGCCCCACCGACGTGCTGACGATTCTATCGACACAGATGAGGACCTTTGCGGAATTTTTCAGCAGCAATCAAGGAAGTTTCAAAAGACAGGACATACCAAAACGCCCGCTTCCAGAGTTCATCTTCGGCTGACGGCGTACGACTTCGCAGTCGATGCACGCCAATGTCCTGTGCGGGCCGCAGGACGATACCGACCATTCCCCATACAGCCTGCGGTGCGGAAGAGCTTTGCAGGAACAGCAGAGTTAACTACATGAGAAGGGTCAGCACAACGACCAGAAGACTGCATCACTTTGGCGAAAAGGAGACCCACACAGTGTAGCTGCAGGTCATAGAGCGACGGCAGTGAAAGGTATGAGATTGTTCCCGTCCCCACTTGGTTGAACCACTTCCACCCCGCTGAATGATGAATCGAAACCGTTATAGAGGACCCGTGGATCATTCGAAAACCGAGAACCGATGGCGCATATGAGGAGATAAACTGCTCCGAAACTGGGGTTGGAGTACTGAAGATTGTCACGGAGCGATCGCTCAAAGGATGGTTGATGGAGGAGAGGGAAGTGAAGATTGACGTGCTCAAAGTACAGATCTAGGAGCTCTTTTGAGAGGTCGGGTTCAGGGAATGTGTAATGGTTCCGCTGCACGTATTCTAGTGCCCGTTCCTACTGTAATGTATGCGTCAGTGAATAATTTCCGAGTAGCCACGGGGAGAACACCGGCCGAAGGGTCCAAAACTCTTCCTGTCGATGGCTCAGCACAGGTCGTTCGACACCCCTCTCGTCGTCAATCCATCTTTTCTTGGTGTCACGGATGAGCACCTCGCTGCTGGATTTACCGAAAAACCGATTCGAGTCGAGGCTGCTACTGACGACGGGTGCGCTGGGGCTTTCGTCGTCTGACTGCGAGCAAGGATCAATATCATTTCCGGCACGGATTGCGCGGGCGAACCCCTCGAGAGCCTCGAGTCCTTGCGCGTAGTCGACGGGAATCGAAAGGGAAGAAAGAGCCGTGCTGCGTGGCTTTTGGTGGTGATCGGGAACTTCGTCGAAGACAGAGTCGCCTTTGATGATGGTGTCAATCCAGTCTTTGTATATCTTCTTGTCGAGACATAGCTGGGGACTCCACAGTGTCACCTAAGGAAGTCGAAGAAGAAACACGTCGTCGACACACCTGTCGAAAGAGCTGGTCGAGGTCCGTTATCCTATCTTCGAGAGTTGTGATATACTTTTTCTAAGTGCTGGGTCTCTGCATGCAAAAATCGTCACGGAGGACTCATTTCACGAAGGACAAACTGACCGGAGGGGGTTCAATGTAAGTGCAGCTGATCTTTGCTCTGAGGCAGTTGGCACATTGATCGGTTGGGACATCAGGACCCTTGCCTGGTGGGGACCAGCGAGAGCTTCACGCAAAGTAAAGTATTTACATCGAGCTGTAATTGTTTGAACAGTGGAGAAAGACTGAATATCTAACAATTTGAACTGCCAAGGCAAACCTTTCTTCTTCCGACACGCGTCGCATGCGCGTTTTGCTTACTGGTTTCCTGGGCATGACTGGATTGCTCCTCTTCACTGGCGGACATGTGTGTGGAAGTTGGAAATGAACAAGGAAAATGTCCCACCTACATATTCGTTTTGTAGAGGCTTACTAATACAAGCGATCTACAATTGCGCAGCATCGTGGCCTAGTTCTGATATACCAGTCATAGGGAATCGGAACAGAAGGCGGCTCACACAAGGGACAGGGAGCAAGAGGACGATGTCCTCGTGAATTGGAACATCCTAATACGTAAATCGGGCTTGGGACGATCTCCCTGTTTGGTCGTTCTGCCGCACGCTGCCTAAATGGTATTACGTACTATACGATGAGGAGCACCAAAAATAAAACACAGAAAAATCTATGTCTCGACAAAATCACAACAAAATCATTGGCGTTGCCTGCTAGTGCTATTGGCAGAAGCCTCGGGTCCTGACCGACTAGAATCTCCCAGGTAAATATCCCACTCAGCCAGACCTGCTGTCGCATTCGAACAAGAAGAAGTATTCGAATGGTGACCTTGGTGGCTGAACAGAGTCGTATTATTTGTATGCGGGGCTCGTGGAGCTGTGCCTTTACCCTGGCTGCTGGGATACGCGGACGTAAAGGGAAATAGCGAAGAAAGAATGGGTGAGAGGGGTTGCTGAGCTGTTTCCATCGCCAACCGTTGAAACAGTGATATATCGCCGTGGTTAGACGAAGGGCCCGCCATTTCAAGAGCCGGATAATCGAAAGTCGCTGAATACAGACTAGGATCGATGCCGTTGCCCATGCAGCTCCGGCTAGAATAGCCACCTTTGTTGCATAAATGACGAGTAGAATCAGCCATCGAAGAGAGCTCATCCAGGATACCCCTGATTCGGTTGAATGTGATCAGTAATGTAGGACCACGGCAGGCGAGAGTTAACTGACAAGAATTCCCCGGCCGTAAGCCACCGCTCTTCACTTTCCTTCAGCATTTCCAAACATTTCTCCACAAGTTCCAGATCGTCTGCGTCTTGCTGCGGCGCTGATCTACTGTCACCAATACCTTTCCGTATCCATATGCCGAACAATAGCACAAGGGTAGAGGTGAAGGCAGACACCTGAATAACTGAGGGTGGTCCCAGTCCACTCCGGAGCCGCTGCACGTCCACAATGCGTGCACATGCGCGAGCCGCATTGGTGCATATGGTGAGAGATGGAAAAGGTAGTGGCGAGAGATTTTTGGGAGAGGAGATAAACGGACGGTGGGTGAGGATTTGGACATAGTAGTACAAAGTGTATAGGAGGGCAGAAATGTTGAAGTCATCTATATTTGCGCGATTTGGATCCCAACGCACTGGCTACGAATCAGAAACCCCAACGAGCATGCAGGAAAGAATAAATTAATAACATACAATGCTCTGGCACAGAATCCAGCCATTTATTCAGGCTCGAATCGAGCTCCACCAACACGCGTGGCTTCCACTCCTGGACTGTCAGTGGATGATACCATACATCGCCTTTCGGCGGTGCGTACTGTAAAGAGGGATATATCATACTTATCACCGACAAGGATCCGAACGGGGTAACGTACAAGTCCTCGAATGCAACAATTCAAGATGTACATCAACTTCAGTAGATGAATGAATCCACTCATCGTGGAGGGTTTGTCTGGTGGCTGCCTGAACCGTTTCTCTGGGTCTGCATGTTCCCAATATTCATCGTCGCAATCGATGGGCAGGTCAAGGTCAAGCCTGAGTGAAGGCGTCACATCTGCAACAATTAGCATTCGATTGGGGGACATACTCTTCATCTTGTATGGCGCAAGGGCGACCAACACACGTACTAACAAACCGGTCAATAAAGATGAGCACCCTTTTGTGCGTCATCAGTCAAAGGAATAGTAAAAAACGCTACCACACACCAAAAGACCCGTTTCCAGAGCTCGTCTTCCGCCGAGGGTGTACGGCTGCGTTGCCTGTGCACGCCGATATCCTGTGCTGACCGCAGAGAAACGCCCACCATTGTCCAGATGCTCTGCGGCGAAGACGAGCTCTGTAAAAACAGCACCGCCAACTGTAACGAGGTTAGCATCCAAAAACTAGCCAGCCACATCAGGAAGGAAACCTACACAATGCAACTGTAGGTCATACACAGAGGCCAAAGAAAGATAAGTAGCCCTTCCCGTCTCCACCTGGTTAAACCATTTCCAACCTGCCGAGTGGTAGGAGTCGGAGCCATCGAAGAGCACTCGCGGGTCGTTCGAAAAAAGTGCGCCTACGGAGCACACCAGAAGGTACACTGCTCCGAACCTGTCGTTGGAGTGGTGAAGATTGTCGCGAAGCGATCGTTCAAAAGAGGGGCGATGGAGTAGAGGGAAATGGAGGTTGACATGTTTGGAATAAAGGCCGAGGAGGTCTTTTGCTAGGTCAGATTCAGGAAACGTGAAGTCGCAACGCTCTGTTGTGATCTTTTCCCACTGGAAGGCGGGAGGTGAGAGAGAAAACAAAGGAATTATTATCTTAACGTACTGGTCGAGGCGTCCAAAACTCTTCGCGTCTATTGCGCAGCACAGGTCCCTCGGGGCTACTCTGGCCTTCAACCCAGGTTCTTTTGGTGAATATTGCTTCGCGAATAAGCACTTCACTACTCGACCTTCCAAAAAACCGATTCGAGTCAGAGCTAGTAACAACTCCAGGCGTACTGGGCTTTTCATCGTCCGACTGAGAAAAGGGATCATCGTCATTGGCCGCTCGGATGGCGTTGGCGAATCCCTCGAGGGCTCCGACTCCGAATAGAATGTCACTACGAGATGGTGCATCTGAGACTAAACATGCGCCGGAGATGGCAGAGTCACTTTTCATAGCAGCGCTGATCCAGTCTTTGTATATCTTTTCGTCAGGACATAGCTGGGGGCTCCCGGGTGTCAACCAAGGACGCGGTGGTTGAAACGAGTGGATTCACCTTTCGCAAGAGCTGGTCCAGGTCCGTTATTCTATCTTCAAGACTCGCAATATACTTCTTGGAAAGGTTTCGTCTCTATATGCGCGGTTCAACCATTGTACAGCGTACAACCTGATGAAGAGCAGACTGACAGGTGGCGGTTCGATGTATGTGCAATTGATTTTGGCCCTTATGCAATTTGCACATTGACCAGATGAGGGCTCCGGGCCCTTACCTGGTGGCCAAGACTGTGAGCTTCACCCTAAGGAAATGGTCGAAATCATCCCACATCGAGCTGTGATGGTTCACGTTCAACGTTCAACGTTCAATGCTCAACATTTGAGAAAGACTGCACCTTTCTTTTTTCGACACACGTCACATGCATGCTTTGATCTCTCTTGCCTTCGACGTCCCTGAATGTGACTGGGTTGTTCGTCTTCACTGGAGGACATATGGTGTGGAGGTTGGGAAAGAATCTTAAAAGAAGGAGCAGCTGTCTCATTGCCTTTTCGGTAAGGGTTTTGCATGACACGCGATCTACTACCCGAACGAATTCAAGTTTCCACAGCATAAGTGGTTCTGAAACTCCTATGTCATACAGAAAATACTACAGGACGTAAGTGCAAACGATGTTGTTTAGGCTCCTCCAGAAGCACCGGCCAAGGTAGAGGATTATAGAAATACACCTACTGCCGTCTTACATCATCGTCGACTCGACATCCAACAACTCAAACGTTGATGAGAGGTGTGATAGGGGCAAGCGGGATGTTGAGGCCGTGTCGAGCCTTGATGAGGTCTGCAGCCTGCAAAATTGAAAATATATGAGCAGTGAAAACCAAGGTCCAAAAATAGGCCTCATGCAATATCTCACCTTTTCAGCGATAGCGTAGACGGTGGCGCAGGTATGAGTAGCAGGTATGACCGGAACAATAGAAAGATCGGCGATGCTCAGGCCAGTGACGCCGTACACTGTCAAGTCCGGGGAGACGACGCCTGAAAATTCCCTCGGGGCCATAGCAGCCGTGCAGCACGAGTGTCCCGCCCCAGCGCCCATCGATCCCTTCAGCGAGGCAGCAAGCTGTTCATCGGTGGCCACACCCGTGCCAGGGTTGGTCTCCACTGGAGTAAGCTGTTTCATTGCCTCCGTCGCCATCCACTTCCGAACATACTTGATCGTGGCGACCATGATGTCCGAGTCGACAGGATTAATATTCGCATTAAAGTCGATGATGGGCTCTGCGTAAATGTCAGTGGTGTTGAGCAGGACGGTGCCGCGACTGAGGGGCTTCATGAAAACGAGAGAAGCGCCAGCCCTGCCTGAGAAGGGTATCTCGACGACGCCGTTGTTTATCTTGCCGAAGGAGGCCAGGAGGATGTTACGTTGTGCGATGAAGCCTTCAACCTGCTGCGCGGAGTAGGTCTTGGGTAAATATTCAGCTACATTTTGGGTCCGCCCTTTCCTGAGGATCGTACGGTAGTTGGGGTCTAAGATAGGAAGTGGGGCGGTGACCAGCGCGTTGCCTACTCCAACCGACCTGGGACCTGGAATTCGAGGAATGTAAGAAAATAAATGATAGAAAATGACCAATTACTCGCCCTTTCGCTGCTGCCATTGCTCGTCAGCCCAAGTTCGGAATGTTGCGTTGAGGAACATAGAGGTAGGGTTTGGGAAAACATCTGTTTGATCTATGAAATTGTACATCCATCAGCCATGCACAAGAAGATTCCCCACAAGACCTACGTTGATATCCAATTCCATAAACCGGATGGTCTTGAAGGTTAGACCCAACCCCGGGAAGATCAACGAGGGTCTCAACGCCGGCTTCTTCGAGCAAAGCCTTGGGGCCCACTCCACTTCGTTGCAGGATATGCGGCGTATGTAACCAACCAGCGCACAGGATAATTTCTCGAGTAGCCTTGACCGTAATCTTGGGGGTATCGTTCTCAGAGCCGCGCTCTTGGATCGTCACAGCAGTGGCCCTCTTGTTTGAGTCGAAGAGGACTTCATTGACTCTGTGTGTGGTTAGCAGCTTGAGGTTCTCGCGATCCGCTGCTGGTTCCCAGTATCCACTTCGCGAATACGAGCGGCGGTACTGCGGATCAGTGGCGGAGGGCGTCCAATAAGCGCCCCACGCGTCTCCGGCAGCGCCTTCAACGTTGACAGGCATACCGAGTTCCTTCCAGGCCTCCCACTGGATCTCTGTCATCGAAGAAATAGGTTAAGACTTGCGGCAGCTGCTAAGAAGGCACTCACTAATTCCTGGCCATTGCCAGTCAGGGAAGTTGGCATGGATCGGACCATTGCCGTACGCTCGCTCGATGTCCCAAGTTATGTTAAACTCTTCAGCAAGCTCAGGGCGAGGCGGAGTGAAGGTCGTACTCTACACCACATTATTAACATAATCATTCGTGATAAAAAGGCAGCGTATATACCTTCTTGAAGTAAGGAAGGAGGCCTTTCCATCCCCAGCCAGGATTGCGGAGCCTCTCCCAGATATCGTAGTCTTCTGCTGCACCACGGTCGAAAAGCATGCCATTGATGGTGGACCCACCACCAACGACAGCGGCAGCGTATACGGCTCCTAATCTGTTGTTCAAACCAGGCTGTGGGACAGAGGAGACGTTAAAAAGTTTTCTTTGTGGCCAGGCGCCGGCGCTTGAGGGCTCCACTTGGCCAGAATTGTCGTCGAAGTGACCATATTCGACGACCAAGACGGACCCTAAAGGCAGACAGAAAAGAATGGTTAGGTTTCCCGATGCATGCTAAGAATAAACGAGCAGACACGCACTTTCGGAAATTTCACTCAGCCTATTCGCGACGACGAGGCCGCTCTGACCACCTCCGACAACGATGTAGTCGTAGGTGTCTGAGAGCTGCCTTGCGCTGATTTGGCGAGCTTTCAACTCAGAAAGGGTATGGACATAGCCATAGGTTGCGCCCAACGCTGCTAGTAAACGAGTTACAAGCTGAACCATTGAGTTTCCCGGGTCAATTGGAGAAGCAGTACGTCGCGAGCGTACTTATAGGTTTTGTCCATCCAAACCGACCAAAGACGGACATGTTTTTTGGGCCCGATGATTTTGAATAGAAGAATCCAATGTTTGCCCTCGCCGTTATGGACGCAGCACCGTCGTGTCCTGCAAAACGTTATGGAAGGTCAGCTGAACAGCAAAAAAGACAGAGGAAATCGCTTATTAACCTCATGATCAGCGATAAAACCGTAATTTAGGCGACCGACCCCTAGATTAATTGCCCAGCCCCAGGCATTTGTGCAAGACTTCGACAACTGATCAGTAACACTGGCTTCCTCGAGTGCTTAAAGCACCTCTAACCTGTTCTTGGTCCTCGTAGGCTAATGTTTGCTCCACGACACATTTATCCAATCGGGATTTTCATCGGCTTTTCATCCGCCAAGACAGTGTCCTCCCGCTGCCGCCGCCGCAAGATGGGGGATCAGTGGAGGTGTGCACGACTTTTGACTCTGTCAGAGTGAAGCGCTACATGGGCGGTAGAATAAGGAAGAAGGCTCTGTGACCAAAAATAGAGGAGCGAGCGCCGCATCGTCCAACCATAACCTTCGCGGCACCGCAGGCTGAGCCTTCGGGGAACGTGGTTTCGAGAGGCGGAGAATCCAAGTGTTCTCCAAAGCGCGACATTCAGCCGGGATAGGTTCTTCGGCCAGAAGTCTTTCGAGTCGTCGACATGGTGGTTCTGAAAAAGAGCGCTTCGTTCGTGCAAGATTACATAAAGCGGCAAAGTCCGCCCGGCCCGCCAATTCCGCCAGAAAAATGGAGCCAGTGTGATTCTCTGCACAAAAACAAACTATAGGAGTTGGACTCGTCTTTCAGATTTACGCTCCACCTTACTTTTGCTTAATTTATTCGTCTTTCGCTTCCCAAGCCGCATCCCATCCAAGCGCACTGCGATCCCACTCGCCCGGATCCTGACCAACCCCCACCCATCCCATATAATCCATCATAACTCCAGCAGCACGCACGAACAGGGTCCCATCCACCGCAGCCATATTCTTATGTGTCTCCTTTCCGTCTGCCGATCTGAAGGCCCCAGGCACCCCTCCAGGCGCAGTGGTTCCGTACATCTTCGTGCCATGTATGAGCGTGCGCATTGCCTTCAGGACATGCGAGTCCGGGTGGTACCGCACACCCTCCTCCACGGCTGGCCAGGGATTGTAGTAGACGTCGCTCCCCGGGTTTCCGAGGGCGCTTGAGGACGGTTCATGGAGAGGCACTGGCGGTCGCGGGACGTCGGTGTATGACATGACAAGCGTGGGGTCGATCCTGGGCCGCCCTCGCGATAGCGTGATCAGGATGATGACAGGGATGTACGTGCGCAGGAGGGCAGCCTTGTGCTTTGGCTTGCTGAGCACACCCGCCAACGGGCGCACGAACAACGAAGACGTGACTAGGTGCATGAGGAAGAAGTCCAGGCGGGGGTTCTGCTCCGGGCGCCCGGTCGCGGACATCAGGAGGACAGTCGTCCAGATGATTTCTTCAACTTTGGCGTTGATCTCTGGATCTGTAATGGCGTCGCTGATGTGGTACAGAGCGCACAGTCGAACAATCTCTTCAGCCCGGCCATCCGCGAGGGCACCACGAATACGTGCACTGATCAAGGCATTCGGGTCGTAAGGCAAGGGAGGTGCGAGTATGTCCGAGTCGTAGACGCGCCTAAGGAGTTCGAGAAGGCTGATGATTTCGGAAGGGCGCGAAGTATCAATGTTGCCGTAGAAAATGGTTCCATTTAACGGCGTGTGTACAGCGACTTGTGCGATACCTTTGGTGGAGTTAGCGGAGCGGCTTCAAGGAAATGGTGGGGTGCTTACCAGTGGCAATGAGAGTATCATTCCCGAACTCTGCTCCATACTACGCCAAATTCAAGCTTATCAGTAAGCAGCCCCCGCCGTTTGGCTTCGTAAGCTTACACCAATTTGAATGAATGGATGCAGGCTGGAAGTAGCCATATGTCAGGTAAGAGAAACACGGCGAAGAGCGAGAGGACACATACGCCCCACTGACGACGCGAGTCAGCATGTCGACTCCTTTCTTGTTCACCTCTTCTTCGAAGACATATTTCTCAAGCGTCCCAGTGACTCCCAAGGCCTTTATCTCTTCTGAGAAGAAATCGACAAAAGAATTGTAAGCACTGTGCATACGCCTGTCAGCGAAGCTCATATTGAACTCAGTTGACTGAAATACATACTTGTGGTTTCCCAGATACTGAATCCAATTATCCTTGTCCACGACAATGCTTCTGTCTTTCTCCTCCAGAATACGCGGTCGCTGGTCTTTCGCCTCGTTGTCGTATATCTTCTGCAAGTGCCCCTCTGGCGCGCCGAGGTCATAAGCCACAAGCAGACTGTCTCCATTAGCCTCACCCGAGATCAGAGAACAAGAGAAAAACTCACTGGTGGCTCAAATGGTTGTGAAATCCCGTCGGATTAATGAAGCAGTGGTGCCCTTCAGCATCTTTCAAGAGTAGCTCTTCCGTCTTTTTCTTCGACGCGTAGGTTATTCCTGGGGCATAAACCTGGCCGCTGCACGTAATTTGGCAGGAAATCCTCGACATGGTGGTTGTGAGAAAACGAGGGACACGGAACATGGGTGTAGAGGGTTCATATGGGCTATTCGTAGCGCTATTCTCTGACCTGGTGGAGGTCAAGTGATGAGTGGTATGACGAAATGGGTGGTTGACGTTAGTCAGCTACAGTGATGCGGCTATTTGACTTGCAATTCGACGACAGGGATTGGTCCGAGTTAATGAGAGGATAGGATTGATGGAAGAGAATATACAGTAATCTACATCGAGGAGGAGTATATGCCTTTGAGTATGCCTAAAAATACAGTATGATGGAGACGGAAAAACCGTGAGTATAGAATCGTCGGTCCATGAGAGCTCAGGCACTAGGGAAAGGGAAATTTCCGCTGAACGTAAACCCGCTCGCGCGGTCATTGGCGGCACTGGCATCGGTCGTGGTGGGTTCTGGGGCGAAGGTCAAGGGGATGATAGTTGAGGGAGGCGCACTGGAAGTGGCAAAGGACACGGATGAGGATGCAGCGACTTCAGATGCAACTGTCGCGGCAGAGGACGCGCTTGCGGTGGGGGTGGCGCTGATGACCGTAATAGGAGTGGGGGTGGCAGATGTCGACAAAGAGCAGTCGCCCGCGGCAGTCACGGTGACAGTGGAAGTCGAGACGACGGTGACGGTGACGATGCCGTCCGTGCCGATAACCACAGTGGGAGTGACAACACCGTCGGTGGCGGAGGTGGTGGCAGTAGGTGAGGTCGGGGTCGAGACGGAAGCAGACGTGATGGCTGGGAGGGAAGAAGTGGAGACGGAGGATGAGGATGAGGGAATGGTGGTGGCGGAGACCGACTCAGAGGTCGTGGTTGTAAAGAATTGACGTTTGGCGTAGTTCAGCACGTTGGGGGAAGCCGACTCAGCAGCCACGACGGTAGCAGTAACAGTAACGGTCGTAAATGCGCCACTGGCACCATCGTCGTCGCAGTCATCCGAATTAGTGCCGTCTTGATCGCCGTCCGTGGTGGGGGTAGAAGTGCCGGTGCTGGTGGTGTCCGTGGTATTGTCATTTCCAGTGGTTCCTCCTGTGACCCCAGCGGCTTCGAAGCGTCGCAGGGAGTCCTCTTGAGTGTCGCAAACGATAGTCGTGCCTGCGCGATTGACGAGAGGGAGAGCGTAGCACCTCAATCCACCGGCGCAAGTGGTAAGCTGCCACTTCCCAAAGGCGCATTGCGCGAACTGGCCATCGATACAGGCCATTTCCCCGTCTAAAAACATTCGTTAAAGAGGACATCAAGACTTATACGAATAAGCACGCACTGTCGCAAGCATCCCCTTCGCTCAACTGCTTGAATTTGGCATTAAGCTTCTGTGCATCAAGAGCATTTTGCTTGACCGAGAAAGAGCCGGACGTAGCTGCAGGAGCGGCAGTGGCTGGGGCAGAAGCCGTTGTCGAAACGGTGTCGTCGTGACCTTCGTGGCGAAGCTGGAATGTTGGCGCGGACCTGACCGGAGCCGCAAGGACTGAGAAAGCTGCGAGAAGAACAACGAGAGTGCTGGCTTTGAAAGACATATTGGATTTTCTATGAGGGTTTCTTAAAGTTGTTGGGACACAACGTTTGAAAGATTGTCGTAGAAGGTCGTCGCAAAGGCACCTGGCCGGAAGATAAGTGGAAGGAAAGAGAGGAAGAAAATGGACAAGACAGCCGAGAATGAGGATGATGTTCGTCCATGGCTAGGGTTTATATGGTGCGCAGGACGTGTGGCCGAGAACAATGCAAGCTTTTTGTGGTTGTTGCCGCGAATCGCAACGCCATTGTCTCTCGTTGAAACTCCGATGTCGTGTCCAAATAAGGAAGCTCATGAGCACGCCCAAACAAACAACCGTGGCGCACCACCAAACAAAGCACCGTCTGGAAGTCGGAGACGCGGGAGCCCTCTGTAACCTTGTTTGTTGTTGATGAATAAATCATCTTCGGTCAGTGGCGGTCTCACGTCAGAGGTTTTCATTCAAACAATGAGCGCTCGAGCGCTCAGCACAAATTGGAGCTTCAAGTAAGTATAAGTAATGGGGTTCATCGACATCCAGCAGTGCAAGGTAGTGCAACTGAGTTATGAAGTAGTTCTGGGTCAAAGTGACCACGGGAGGTCATCCACAGCGTGGAGTAGGCTTCTAAAACAAATCTCCTATGTTACAATAAGGATGATAATGTGAAATGGATGTTAATCAACTTGAAGCAGCCTAATTTCGCGATACCTCTAGGACAGTCCAGCTCGTGCTCGTTCCACCCTTCTTTGGTTCTTTTCCGTGATCGATTTATCAATCGAATCGGGACCTCCCGAAGAGGGCAGTCGCTCAGCTGCTTCAACTGCGCCGGTTGCAAGATATAATGCGCGCTGGAATTGCTTCAACAACAGAGCCATCTCCGCAGCATTCCCAAGGCAAAGGACGACCTCTCGGCGCATGCCCGCGACGTTGTTCCTGTACAACCCGTCGGTGGCGCGGTCGAACGCGACCAAGGCAGCAGCCAGCTCAGCCGCGGTGAAGTACGCGATGCACGCATAGTCCATCTCCTGCTTCTCGCGGAAACGCTTGTGGCCTTCCTCTCGTCGTGCAGTGACGCGCTTTGTTGCTGTCGCGAGAAACTGTTGTATGCCTTCTGGGCTTGTCATGCATTTGAATTCAGCCAACGTTGCGCGCGAATAAACGCCTTTCGGCGGCTTCGCGAGCTTGGAGATTTTCTGAAGGGCGTTCCGCTCAGCAAGCAGTGTCAAAAGGCGTGTATGAGCTGTGGGTCCAAGGACGGGCTCGTCTGCAACCTGAAGAGGTGGCTCGACTTCATCTTGTGTAAACACCGAATAGAGCGGCTTGCGGAAGAGCTCGAGAGCATTTTCGATATAAGTATATGTGTCTGCTTCTGAGGAAATCTGATGCATTTTCTTCACTGGCCGGACCGCTGCGTTACTGATGCGGAGAAGCATCAGAAGATCGCCTTCAGAAAGGCCGCAATTAGGAAGATGAGTGATAGTTGCGATAAGTCTGAGCATGCAGATACGGCATGAGCCTAAGCCACAATCAGCGCCTATTCTCCTTATATGATAGTGACCGACCTCGATATTCGAATATCTGCAAGAGCGTTTCGCGACTAACATCAGCTTGCGCGTGGTAGTCCTGCTTGACTCGTGCCACCATCCTGGTTTGATTGGTCTCCATCAGACTTACGAAGAGGGTCCCAGAACTCACTGTTTAAGACTCTGCCACCTCTCGTCTTCAATCATCTCCCAAACGTTGGCTATCAGCTGGATCCAATTAGGGCGCGATGTAAGCAAGTTCAAGCTATCAAGCAGTCCCTTCCACTCGTCCTCTCCGACCTTCTTGACCGATGTCTCATAATCGTGCGCAATAACTCCCGGAATGACGAGCTGGGGTAGGCGGAACAACATCGTAATAGCCTCGCAAAGGATCGAGTCGACCGCAGACTCGGGGTACCACGCTGGGCGAGGAACTGCCGCTGCCCGGAACAGCAGGTCAATAAGTGCCGGGTTATGCTTCAGCACCTCGTAGCAGAACCCCTGATTTGGCGGGGGCACGCGCAGGACGAGCCCTTGGACCGTCCACGCCGCGTTCTCCTGGGACATGGCGTAGTACCGTGGGGCGTACCTCGCCGCCTTCTCCCTTGGGGCACCGAATTTGCCAAAGCACAAAAAGCTTTGCCAGGTGGTCGACGGGTCGCCCATCTGCTGCGCGCCGAGGGAGTGCCCAGCGAGGATCCACTCGCACATACGGACCATGACGTCTGAGGTCTGGGAGCGCGTGATTAGCTCGCCGAGGAAGCTCTCGGAGGCGAAGCTGCGCAGGAGGTTGACGGCGCATTGGCGATGGATGATCAAAGGGTGGTTTTGAACTTTCTGCAACGGTGCATTCAGTGTGCAAGCCGATCGATATCCTTCGCTGCACTCACATCGAGACAGATTTCTAGAGCCTTGTGTTCTAACAACTGCTTCAGCAGCTCCCGACGTTGATCTGACCGCCCTGTCCTCATCAAGTGCCACATCGAGTCCAGCGCAAAATACGCAGAAAGCCCATGCCATTTGTCCGTGCGCGGGTCTTGCGTGATCTCCATCATCGTCTTGACGATCCCGCCCTCGAATGCAGCCTCTTCGAACGAGTCAAACCCCATATGGCCTTCGGGACGCTCGTCGTTCGACATGTAATCACGGATGGCGACCTGCACGAAGATCGGGAATCAGTTTTTGGCTCGCGAAAAAAAAGGAAGATGCACAGACAGTGAAATGGTAAAGAGCCATCTCGTCCAGCTCAGGATCGACAAGTTGCTCGAAGACCTTGGGGAGAACATCGTAGAACTGGTGCGACGGAACCCCTAAAACCTGTTGGACGTTGTCGGCTCTGAGCCTCATCACTCGAATCTTAGTCTGCTGAAGTCAGAAAAGAGAGACAGACTTAAGGCCATGCTGTACAGTACCTTCAGCTCTTGAACGTGGCAGGTTGAGAAACCCGCAGGGTCATCTTCGGTCCTAGCATGGAGTGCGGAAGGAAGGTTGTTCCCATCAGGGGCTCTTCCGTTCATGGGCAAGAATTGATTATATACATCATGCAATCTAGAAATACAGTAGGTTCATATTACGGACGATGTTGAAGTCCGTAGTCTACTATCCACTACGTATACGTGACCGTTGAATCTTCTTTTGTAAAACCAGCAACCGCAAACGCGAAAACAAATCGTCAGCACCAAGGAATGAATGTGTAAAAGATACATTCCGCGTCATGAAAAAGCAGGCCCTTTACTCGTGGAAGCCCTCAGGCTTCTGCAGGGTAGACACATCGACACCAGGGAGCGGCCACTTCGATGCGAAAGCGCGAACCTCGTCACGGAGCTGCTTGACGAGCAGGTGTCCCTCCTTGCCCTCCGCGGGAGTCGTGGCGACGCGGACAAAGTCCTTCAGGAGCTTCGAACCGGCCTCTTTCTGGAGCAGCAGCGAGAGCTGGACGGCGCGGTGCAGAAAGTCAGCGACAACCTTGATATCCTCCTCCTTCATGTCCCGCGACGTCAGGGCGGAGGTGCCGAGGCGGATACCACCGGGAACTTGGGCAGAGGCGTCGCCAGACACTGCGTTCTCTGCAGGTACGGTTATTACTCGGAGTCAAGCAGAAGGAAGAAACGAAATAGAGGACATACTGTTGATGGTAATACCCATGAGATCACAGACCTTCTCGACCTTACTGCCGGTTAGACCGATAGGACGGAGGTCCCAGAGGACGAGGTGGTTGTCGGTGCCGTTGGTTTGGAGCTTGTATCCATGGCTGACGAGAGCCTCTGCGAGAGTACGGGCGTTGGCGATGACTTGCTTCGCATATGCCTTGAACTCTGGCTGAGCGACTTGCTTGAGGGCGGTGGCGATGGCAGCAATGGTCTGGAAAAAGATCAATCATTATACACGTATACGCATTCGAAGGTGACCTACGTTGTTGTGAGGACCACCCTGGCAAGCAGGGAAGACGGCATCATTTACGCGTTTCTCGAGATCGGGCGAGTTCGCAAGGTCTTTCCTGAAGAAAATGAGACCAGCGCGCGGGCCGCGGAGGGTCTTGTGACTGTCGAGCGGCGTTAAGCAAGGCATTCCCCAAAAGTGAGTGAACCTACGTGGTGGTGGTGACAACGTCGCAGTACTCGAAGGGGTTGTTCAGCTCCTGCGCAGCAATGAGACCGCTGGTGTGCGCAATGTCAGCCATGAGCCAGGCACCCTCGCGCTCAGCAATCTTCTTCAGCTCAGCGTATTCCCAGTCACGGGGGTAGGCGGAAGCGCCGCAGATGATAAGACGAGGCTTGAAAATCTTAGCCTGCGAAGACAGGCCAGCGTAGTCAATCAGGTTGGTATCGGGGGTGATAGCGTAGGGGAAGGACTGGAAGTAGATCGAAGACGCGGTCATTTTCTTCTTCGCGGTCTGTAGTGGACCGTGTAAGAACTCCGTATGAAGGACGCGAATGCTGGACGCACATAATATCCATGGGTAAGGTGTCCACCGTCCGGAAGACCGAGACCCATGAGGCGGTCATTGGGTTGGATAAGGGCAGTCAGAGCAGCGAAGCTAAGGGAAAACAGGGGTGAGTCATAACATCGGAACTTGAGATCAAGGTCGCGTACTTGGCCGTCTGTGAAGGAAAGGCAGTGTCAATGTCGAAAACCTTTAGACACACTGTGGAGGGCGACTTACACTACCAGAGTAAGGCTGGACGTTAACGCCCCACTTCGCAGGGTCAAGGTGGAACGCCTCGAGAGCACGCTTGCGACACAGAATTTCCAGCTCATCAATGTACTCGTTACCACCGTAGTACCGAGCATTTGGAAGACCTTCGGAGTACTTGTTGGTCAGGATAGAGCCGTTCGCCTCCATGGTGGCCTGACTGGTCAAGTTCTAGAGCAAAGACGTTGGACATCGTCGAATCCGGCTTATGACGAGGGCTACGTACCTCCGAAGCAATCAGCTCAAGCCCCGTAAACTGCCTCCATGTCTCCTTATCGATTATGTTCTTCACCTCTGGATCGATCTCTGTCAGAGGCTTGTACAGGACTTTATTCTGCAGCCGTTGAGGTGAATCCTGGACGGGTCAGAGGTTGCGGTGTTTCACGTACGAAGTCAGGGGTAATTGCGGTGGCCATCGTCCTGGGCGATAGTCGATAGGGCACTGAGGAGCGAAGGGAGATGGAGGAACGGAGGGCAGGTCTGTTCAGCAATCGCAACATCGCCATTGCCTCTCAAAGACAAATTTTCGATGCGTCCCGGCTAAAACCGAGGTCTATCGGATCGCAGGGTCGCCGCTCGGCCGTAACTTTTCGGGTCATTTATGTCAGGACTCCATGCTCGTCCTCAGCACCAAAACTGTTCTCAAAGTTGATAAAATATGCAAAATTTATATACCGAGAAGGTGTAGTGCAGTAGTCATTGATCAGATTTATTTTACAATAATCTACCGGACAAGCCATTAATTTTCAGTGTATTGATCCGAGTCATCTACCCCCAGTCTGAGCAAAACCAATTCACCGCTGTCCTTTGGACCAATTTCCTGAGTTCGAGCGAGGAATAAAAAGGAGTTTTAAATTTTATAAGAGAAATAGAAGCTGCTGCCGGGGATGGGAGCTGTCATATTTATACATCGATGCCCCAAATTGCTGATCCCCTTGAAAACGAGCCTCGTAAAATGAGGCGAATGGATTCAGAGAAAAAGTTCAGTCTGTGGAAATTGCCTCATATGTGCCCAACCAGTAGTTCAAATTTCGGGACATTGAGAGAGAGGGCCCAATTTCTCTCAGCAGTCGTTCTATTTTTAGATAAGCGCCCGTAGCTTCATCTCTGTACGTTGCTTAGCCACAGTCCGGCTTAGGGTGTCGACTGGAGCCTCCTCGCTCAGGGGCGCGAAAGATCTTATATTTTAGGGCTATGATTGTTTTGGCTTTTTTGTGTGGAGTGAGGGACATGAACACCAGGCGTATTTGGTGTAGCCGACGTCATCTCTTGTGTTCTCCATAGACAAGCGCCCGCCCCTAACAATCGCCGATCTCCTCGTGTAACCGATTATCCACTGACCATCTGTGACCGTTGATGTCACTCCGTCGAAATAAGGAGTGCACGGCCCTGTCCTGTGGATTCAGCGGCGAGGCCTGCAAAAAACAGGCCCGAGATTTCGTGGGCTGACGCACCCCAGAGATTAAGTAGTCTCCAGTAAACCGACGTCAGAGTCTTATCAACAACGCGTCAGAGTCTTATCAACAACGTGGGACAGGATGTCTCAGGCCGCGAGGCTATAAGCGGCCTATGACGTTATGAGACCCTGACTCCCTACTCCGTCGAGCTCCGTCGATGGCCGCGTTTATAACGAGGCTATGAAGTCGCTGAACGTACTCTTGCTTCCTTTTCATCGCCGCCACCTCCAATTCCTTTATTTTGCTGCTACAAAACACCATTGACTATGTCCGACGAAACTGTGATTCGAGAGGTGCGCCGATCCTTATAGGCATCAAATCGAGGATACATGCTAAGCTCACGGAAAATTGCCGCCGTGTTATATTAGGTTACGCCAGGTATATGGACCTTCTCGAAGTAAGTACGAATTTCAGGAACTGTGTGTCTATAACTTCGTGATCAGCTTATGCGACGGGATGTTGCAGGCCTTTCGCTCGATTTGGCTTCTGGCCCATCGGGGGGAGATCAACAGCAGTTCAGCTCCGAGACGGAGGCGTTTGGCTCTTGGCCTCGACGCCCCTTACAGCTGAAACGAAGGCAAAGCTCGATGAATTGGGACCCGTAAAGTATTTTTTTCCTAGATCTTGTGGAAGAACAAGAAAGTGCCTGACGGTCTGAAACACAGATATATCATTGGCGCTGATGCTGTACATCATCTCTTTCTGGGTATGCTGTCTCTCTGATTTTGAAGCTTCCTTGTGATTAACTGACTTGTTTTTCTGCTAGGGGACTACAAGAACACATACCCAAGTGCCAAACTGATCGCACCAGTTGACACTATTGCGAGGCATGGGGATGGCACCCTTCAATTTGATGGAGGTAATGTTACACATTATCTCAGGAGCAGAACAATTTATTAAACTTTCTGAACAAACCCTCAACAAAGCTTGGGGACGTGATTCTCCGGAGACAAAGTACGGCTTTGAGGAAGAGGTGAGCTTAATTATCAGAGGCAGTGTTTAGTTACTTATAACGGTATTTCGGTACCGCGGCCCAGATTGACCACTGGTATGTGTCCGAGAGCTTGTGACCTAAAACTAGGTTCAATTTTGACTCTTTACTTGAAGCTACTTTACGGGATTCAAGAACAAGGATGTTGCCTTCTTTCACCGATCCTCTAAGTCCCTCATCGAAGCCGATTTGCTTCTCAACCTGCCTGCCAAAGAACAGGTAACACTTTTGAATTTAAATCCATTGAATGTCAATAATCAATTTAACTCTTGACAGTATTCAAAGTCCAACGAGGTCACATCTACCCTGCTACTCAGATTCGGAGAATTTGGGCCGTTCTCCTGGCTCCACCGCAAATTCACAGGAGGTCTGGCTGTGGACCAAGAGTTAGTAACTTTGCTCAACTTAACTTTCCCCCTCTAACCATATTTGACAGCGCCATGCGACGGGATGCCAAGATCGTCTCTGGATGGGATTTTAATCGAATCATACCATGCCATGGAGTGAGTGTCTGTCTAGTAAATAGTTTATTATTTATCAGATTAATAAACCACTTAGGACATTATCGAGGGAGATGGGAAAAGGGCTTGGAACGACCTGTACAAGGAGTTCCTTGAGTGACGGGTTCTGTTACTGGCAATGACTCTGTATGCAACTAATTATTAAATGGACTCCGAGCAACCCAATTGCCCCTGACAGCGGAGCCGAAATGTTGCTGATCTCACGCGACCATTTAGATGTCGAAGCTGCGGGCAATCCCAGTGTAAATCTTGGTCTTCGACGCAACAAGAAGTTGCGTTTGAGGATACCTTTTTTGGTGCCCTTAATTCGCCCACACCTGCTCCGTGATAGAGCACACAGCGACCGTGCCTCCTTTGCAGAAGGTATTGCCTCGAAAAGATCGCCTCCCAACCTTCACCGTGTGTTTTGTGTGCGAGGGTACGCTAAATGGGGAACAAGCCGGCCCGTTCATAGGGAGCACAAGAAAGCCTCGAGGCAGCCTTGCGCTCGGCAAACAGCCATCTCGATGCTGTTTCTTAGATTGCCTTTCTCCCAGCATTGCCACACTTAGAAACATGATTTAGAACACGACAAAACCATGAGGCTCCATACTTAACAGCGCGGCCCTCATCTCCCTGCCATTCCCCCCTTGCTCTCACTATCTAACCGCATCAATTACGCCTCCACACTGACCACTGCAATCGTGTTCCACGATGCCCATCTGTCCCCAGTGCGACAATAGGACTTTTTCGAACAAAGAAGCACTCCTCCAGCACATGAGGAGTTCGAGTGCATGGCATCCTTTCTGTTCGCAGTGCGATCGAAGATTCGTTAGCCAGACGGCTTTTGACGCGGTGAGCATCCTCAGTAGCCTTTAGAGGACTTCACTAATAAAAATTTCCAGCATATGGCGGCTAAACACCCGCCCACCTTCGACTGCACGACGTGTAATAAAAGCTTCCATGCACAGTTCGCGCTGGAGGACCATTATCGCGGCTCTCAGGCCCACCCAAATTGCGTCCGCTGCGGAAGGGGATTTTTCGACGAACCCGCACGCGAAGAGGTTTGTTTCCATTGCTCTTCTAATTTCTGTTGTCCTTCACGGACCAATGTTCTTTATGCAGCACCTCCAAACTGCCCACCCCAAATCTCCTTGTCCCCCATGCGGCGGAATCATTATCTACGATGACGCATTAGATCAGCATTACTTGACTCCCAAAATCACCCTTCTTGCTCGAGATGCTCCCGGGGATTCAGAGACGAAAATTCGTATCGAGAGGTAAGGTACGATAGGACAGCTATTTTTTCAATCTGACTGTCTTCCCTTCTCAGCACATCCCGGCGAGTCATCCCGACTTGCACTGCGCAGCATGTGGGCTCGCTTTTGAGACACCAGAGATGGCACAAAAACATTTTTCTAGCTCACCGACGCACCCGAAATGCGATAAGTGCGGCGTCGGGTGTCTGGACGATGCTGCTCTAGAATTGGTTTGTTGAATCGTCTCAAATCATTCCGTGTGGGCGATACTAACGAGCTTTAAGCACATCGAAATGGTGCATGCACCCACTCCAACCGTCGTTGGAGTTCGACCAGTGGCGGTCGCGCCAAGCGCTGGCTCCAGTGCCCTCAGTGCTCACGAAGACACCAAGATCGAAAAGCCGAAGCCTCAAGAGGAGCCGCTGTATAGCACGGGCTTCACTCCCCTCAGTCCGAAAAGCTTTCCGCAGGTGAGCCCCAGAACTTGGGTAATTTATCTCGCTCTCGAACTAATGTCGAAACCCTCCCAGCGGCTGCTAATTGGGGAACGAAGGATGGATTCCCCCGACATCCAACTCGAGGCGAATTTCATGTCACCTCTGAATGCCGTCCAACCACTGTTCAGTCCAACAAGCCTCCCTCGACCTGGTGGAATTATCGAGGAGTTGTGGAGCTCGAGAGAAGTAAAATCGGGCTTCCACTCAAACTTGATATCTACTTAACTCGTTTGTCAGAACTCCAATGTCCAGGTTCGTACACCTCGCGCACCAGACACTGGAAAATCTCCCGAGTGTCCGTCCTCATTTGCGGCTGCTGTTTCGGCGCGACCGTCCTCGTGGGCTTCTCCGACGAGCTCCTCTCAGAGCCCTCCTCGCCATTCCGTGGGTGCACTTAATAATTCTCGGACTCTTCAATTAATGCCGCCTTATATTTGAACTATTAGATCGCTGCCAGCGTTCCCCTTCCCTCTCCGCCATCCCTAGGAAGTCCCAGCTGGCTCGATGACAACTCCTCTAGGAGCCAGGGCTCTACAGCTTCGAGATTCTCTCCACCTTCAAGTTCGCGATATTACGAAGTGCCCCGGCGACCATACGTCTCTCCCTCCCATCCTTCCGCCAGCAGTTCCGTCGCCAGCCTTATCGAGTCCTCACGCTACTCGATCCCCGCCACGCGAGCCTACGACACCGTGCGCCAGTTCTCCCCACCCCGCATCTCGCCGCCGCACGCGTCGTCTGATTGGCACCCGCGCCTGTACCCAGGCAGCGTGCGCGCCGGGCGCACAGCCAGCCTCACCCGACCCGGCGTCGCCTCTGGGTCGCAGATGGGGTTTGGGAGTTACTCCCACAACCACTTGACATCTACGTTCTCTTTCGGGAGCGGGAGCATCACAGAGACCTCCCCGATCTCTGCGTTTGGGCGCTCGGAAGCGTCAGGGTCTAGTGGCGGTGGTGCGGGTGCTATGGGCGAGCAGGTAGATTGGCGCTCGCTGATGGGGAGCCGCGACTCGCGCGCGAGCTTGTTCTCAGAGAGCCAGCTGACGCCTAGGGCTGAGCTACCATTCTCTCGCCCTGAGCTGGTTCCCTCAACTTCACAGGCGCATTTGCTGCAGGGACAGGTGTTGACGCCCATCTCACCATCTTTGGCCACTATTTCGTCTCCGGCCTCTAGCGCGCTGGAGCACTCTCCCGGCTCTGCACATCCAGAGGTATGCGCTTTATCTTCAGCTTTTAAATATTCTCGAATAACGCTTTTTTAGCCGGAAACGAGGCCAACGACTGCATCGTCCTCGCAAGCGTCACCGCAACAAAAGATAACCTACACCGCTCCTAGCGAGTGCGCATGCTCTCCGTCAGTCGCGTCGCCCATGGGACTTGGGGTCCTCCCATCTATCTCTCCCCTCGCCTCGACTCCAATAGATATTTCTGTGTTCGACTATCCAGAGGCGCGCCAGCCTCTCCCTGACTCACCGCCACCAACCCAGACGGTGTCCCCGGTGACGGTGATCGAAGAGATTGCAGCCCTTCCTTGTCCTAGCGAAGAGCCGTCATCAAACCCCACTACCCCCCAAAAATGCATCCAGACATCGCCACTATCTTCACCACTTCCTACGTCTGTCGCACCTTTACCGACGTCGAATCCGAACCCTCTTCATTGCCGCGGGTGTTTGGCGGATGAGTGCGATGACATTACGGCCACCATGTGTGGCCATATATTTTGCAATCGGTGCGTCCTCTGTCTGCCCGAAGTTCTTCACTGCTCATGTTTCCTTATTCTTAGGTGCATCACCGACGCAGTTATCAAAACATCTCGGTGCCCTGTCTGCATGACACCGACTCTCCTCTACTGCCTCTTCCGCTTAGACCTGGCGGCTTGATGCTTGGACACACTAGTATACTCTTGATCACCAATTTTCTAACCACATCCACCTAGCTCTTGGACTCCTCGAGGTAGAATTTGCCAATCAATCCAAAATGTAGAAAAGGAAATGTAAAACAGCATGAAACATTTCTTGAATTTTGTTCTCGCCACCCTGAAAAGGCCATCATGTTTTTGGGCGCTTGTTTTCCCGTGTGGCATCTGTGTCAGGGCACGCGTGGTGCTATGCGTCATGCATTTGCCAGAAACAGTGCGTCACGCTTCGAGGTGAGGCTGGAACAGGCTACGAAAGGATACATTCCAGGTTGACGACAGCTCATAATAAGTTACGAATACAGGAAGAATAAACCAACAGGAAGGAGGGTCAAGCCATGTACGTCAACAGCCGCGAGGAAGGGGTCAGGTAAACTGTTCGTTATTCGCAGCTTTTTTAAGAATGTCCTGCCAGGTGACGGCAAGTGTCGATAACGTCTTGCTTCTTGCTAGAAAACACACGCATGAGGCGTGTTAACCAACATCCATGCAGCGCGAAGACCAGGGTACTCACCAAACACCGATAGCACATCCTTCAGTAAATCACGTTTCGACAGGCCAATGACAGTATAATTCCACGTGTCTTCCTTTCCAGGTCGCCTGACGGAAAACAAAATAAGAAACTGACTGTCTGAGAACATGATATGACAACGTACCAGTACACGGGCCCAAAAAGCTCCTTGATCAATTCCTCTGCCTTCCCTCTAAAACCCTCGTCCGCGATCTTCTTGGCATACACGAGCAGCGCATGTTTATACTCAGCCGGGCTGTCCAACACCTTCGTCGAGATCATCCTAGTTTCTAGATGACCCAATGTCAACGCGGAGCTCCACCAGCTCGGTCGGGGTTTCTCCGCGGCGCTCTCGTCAGGTGCTCCAGCTATGCTGCTCTCAATGGACGACATGATGCCACGGTTGGCAATGCTTGAGTTGCCCCGCTGCCTGCCCTGCCAGAAGTCCGAACCCTCAGCCCACCAGCGGTCTGCGAGCTTAGTCCACGTGCAGAGGCCTGCATCGTACGAATATACCACCCCATTCGAGCAATTGAGAATTGGCGTTCCATTCTCACGTACGCCAGCCGACACGAGGGAGACGTTTGGCGACATTCCATACAGTCCGAGAATAGAGACTGGTGTAAAGTTAGCTGTTTGCTTTTTGATATTCCTGTCGAGGCGTTATTCAATAATGGCTTGAATGAAGGCTAATGAGAAACTTACCAGCAATAAAGCTGCCCGCTGACTGTGATTGCGAGTAGTGCATTTTTGGATCCCTCCATGATGGAAACAGGGCTCCCAAGACTCAGCGTCGGCATTGTTCTATTCTGCGTGAGATTTCATCACACCCAAAGACGTCGAGACCCACCTTCGTCCAGTCACTGAATAGACATTTACCGTCCCATCTTGCATAGCTACGGCTGAGAAACCAGTCGTAGCCTTCAAGGCCAGCACAGGAGACGGCAAATAATCAAGCCATTCCGTCGACTTTCCGCTGATAAATGCGACCTCCGTCGTTCCTATCTCTTGGTCAGCACCTGAGATCAGGAAGAAATGACAACGCGGCATACCAGCTTCCTCGATGTTTTTGGCTTCAAGGAAATCTCCAGTACCCTCCACTTCAGAGGTCAAGTATGTCAAAAGTGGCAGAGGTGGCAACACTGATCTTGACCCACTTGCCCACACAGGTGTAAGGCTCTCTCGCGGAGGCGGGACCAGCCCACCAGCCCAGCTCGAGATAGCTTTTGGCACATGGGTCTCTATCGGTCTATCTCCTCCCAGCGTGCGAGGCTTGATATTCCTCTCGTCCGCTGCTTCACCCAGCATCGATGCCTTCCGCTTGCCCTTCGTTGACACGGGCGCGTTCTGCGTCGCAGTGTCAAATGCACTGATGGGCCCAATGTCCATGTCCATAGGCTGGCCAAGATCGGCATGTCGCGACCAACTGTCGGGTGGTGCGTCAATGAAGGGCTGTTCGGATGGAGGTGGGAAGGAGGCTGAGAAGGTCGTGCTGATGGGAGATGGAATAGCGTGGGAGGGAGGTTTGATTTCGTGTGCTTGGTTGAATTGAGCACGCTTTGAGATTGGGACGCCGTTGATAGGCCCATGACTAGACGGCGCTGGTGGAAGAGGTAGCGGCCCACTCACCCTCGCGGACGGGACGGCGGACGAATTCGGTGCTGAGACGAGGCCAAGGCGCTTCTTGGGTGCTCGTTTCGCGACAAGAATGTTGACCTTCTCTGGCCCATTGCTTCCTGAATCAAAGTCGCTTCCTTGTTGCATCTGGACGGGGGCCATGCTTGCAAGGACTTGGTTCGAGATATGAGAATACCCTTCTGGTAATGGAGGTGGGGTAAAGCCGAATTTCGCAAGGTATTGTTCTTGGTCGACATGTGACGCAATGCCCTCGAGTTCCTGGGAATCGAACTGGAAAGCTGCAATCGTGCCGTCGGAGGATGCAGCATACAACGTCAGTCCGTCCCATGACCAGCTCAAATCCATAATATGCCGTTCGAAGACCTCTTTGCAGACAATCAAAGGCCGAGCGGATTTGGTTTGCCAAACAGACACGGATCGGTCATCAGCACCAAGGGCAACAACGGAACAGATATTCGATGTCGAGATTGGCGCGGCCGGATTTCGCAGGAAGATATGTGGGTTGTAACATGCAACCTCGACTGTGTTCTCGTGTCCAACGAGACTGATTTCAGATGTCCAAGTATTGCGCGTAATAACAGCAGCAATAAAGACATATCCCTTGTTGTTTGTTGCATTCGAGGCCGTTATGTGTGCACCATCGGGAGACCAGCTGCCAACAAGGTCAGCAAGGACTTAAACGACATCTGACTAAACGACGAACCTCAGCCTCCTGAAGAATGTGCTGCCCGGTGAATCCTCGAACGGCTTGCTCACTTCAGCCTCCAGAGACCAGTCCGTTGTCTTCCATATCTTCACGGTCCTGTCATCCGACTGAGTGGCAAGGAACTCTCCGACGGGGTCCCAACACACACCCTTGACGAAGCCTTGGTGTTGGTCGATTCTTCTTAGGCGTTCTGAGAAAGGATGAGTGGTTTGATTGCACAGGCATGTTGGGCCGCTCACCAAGCGTGAAGCCACACCAAATCATAACCGCTGAATCTAGTCCCACCGACGCGAGATAACGGTCTCCCGGAGACCAAGCAACGTCAGTAACATCTGCTGCAGCATAAGAAAAGGATGAACAGAACAAAATTGTACAAACCACTGTCATGACCTGGCAGCCTCTTCAAGGGCTTCCAGCCTTCAACATTCACCTCATCTGAGCCCCAGACCTTCCCGCGAGCGTTCCTATACCATCTTGAGATGCCGTGGACACAAAGCCAGAGTATCACTCACGGATCGTGGTCCCAAATCATCACAGTCTCGTCATCGCTGCCACTTGCCAGCCACTTCCCGGAATGCGCCCACCGTACAGTTAGAACCGGGCCCGTATGCATCGTCAGTGTACACAGCGACTTAGGCGGGTTGCCGGACAGCTCAGAGGCTTGGTTGAGGATTGGTTTCGTGCTCCATATTCGAATCTTCGCGTCGAGACCTCCGGTGGCAATTCGTGAGCCATCTGGGTGGACGTGAACAGAGAAAATGGAGAGTCTTTTCGTGCCCTGGTCTGACTTCGCTGAATCCTTGTGCACGACCCATGCTGGTTTGGTGAACTTCATCCTAGTCGGCGATACGACGCGCTTGAGTTAATAAAACCGGCGGGGTGTCTTCCAGCTAGAGGGGTGGACGGTGAAATAGGAACTAGGTAGCCGAAGATGAGGGTTTGTACGAAGGCCGTTCGACATGACGAAAAGACATCAAACTCGTTTTGGTCCGTTTGCACCAGTCACCACAATTCTTTCTTCTACCACCACCACCATTTTCCACAGATCTGGCATCCACTTGGCCCAACTACGTCTTCAATGCTGTTGGTGGGAAGGACTCATGACGAAGTGTTGCTACCTGACAGACAGCGAGAAGCGCTCTTTTCTCCCATCGTTTTTGCTCAAAATACTAAGCATTTCCCGACCCACCATTCGCAAACCAGAATTGTCGTAAGTGGTAAGTGTCTTGTAGAGCACCAGCCGGGACCGGCCAACGGCTTATACCGGTCTGCGCGAACGTCTGCATTGACTTCAGTGCGACGATCTCGCCATATCATCAAGAATCGCGCATTCGGCCAATGGTCTTCCCTGCATTTCTCCCAGGATGAATTCCAGCCCTTCGTGTTCGTTCAGGAGACATTTATACAGAAAAGTTGCAACAACGACTGGGGTTTATATTCTCATGGCCTATCTCTTTTCTCGACGCCACGGCCTTCACGTCTCACACTGTCAGCCCTCTCATTGCTCTGAAAAGCCTTGTAATTTCTTCATCCCCACTGAGATAATCTTCTGTGTGGAGTTGCACCCAATCCGGCGAGGCTCTTTGGATATGGGAATCTTGCACCATTTCCATGAGTTGCGCAATCCTTCGAACGGACTACACCATGCCCTCTGTCCGCATAATCTTCCTTAGGATGTTCTGGCCGACGGCAAATTTCTCCCAAGCAAATGTCTATCGCAGAAAAGTTTATCAAGATAAAGGTGTGCAAGGAGCAGGAGATGGTGTGCTTCTCAGTCCGCTCTCAGCCAAGCTCAACTGGGTGCCTTAGGACACGCCTTAAAATCCGTGTACTGCCCCCGCAAACAGTCAGGACGGCAAGACCTGCTCATTTTCGCCCCTTCAGACGACCCTCATCATGAGCGCCACCCTTCCGAAGAACGACAAGGCCTCCTTCTCTTCCTCCAATGACTCCACAGGCAAGAAATCACCGGACATCGACACCAAGTCGGTCGGCGACGACCTGAACGACGCGGAGCCTGAGCCATTCAAACTCTACAACTTTATATTTCGCCGATACCTCTACAAACCAAAGGACCTGGACGCCACGGCTACTCGTCGGTCGGTGTACGACGACCCCGATCTCGCGCCTCACTACTGGCCGAAGGCGGAGTACGAGAACATACACCGTTTCGATCCAAAGATTCGTTGGACTTGGAGGGAAGAAAGGGTAAGTCTCATATCTTCCCTTTGGTTTCGCTAATTCACTCATTGTGTTGCATCTTGCAGGCTCTGGTCAGGAAGATCGACTGGAAAGTCATGCTCTGGGCTGCAATCTCCTTCTCTGCGCTCAACCTGGATCGCGGCAATCTCAGTCAAGCCAACACCGACAACTTCCTGCCTGACTTGGGAATGACCACTAATGACTACAATCTCGGTAACACTGTCTTCCGTCTCGCGTTCTTGTCGGCCGAGCTTCCGTCACAGCTCATCTCGAAACGAGTCGGTTTCCATTTTCTCCGTTGAATATGATACTCAAGATTGATGTCCAGCTTGGTCCTGATCGCTGGATTCCAATCCAGATGTGTGGGTGGTCTCTGTTGACCATGTGTCAGTTTTGGATTACCGGAAAGCCCACTTTCTTGCTTTGTCGCGCTCTTCTTGGGTGAGTAATAATTTCTTCTTCTATTGCGATTAGCATCCTAAATTTCAACTTCCGATTAGTTTAATGCAAGGGGGTTTCATTCCGGATCTCATTCTCTACCTCTCCTGTAAGCCTACGGTCCTAGACGTGACGTCTCCTGCACTAACCACAACATTACGAACAGACTTCTATACGAAGCACGAACTTCCCTTCCGCCTCGCCCTCTTCTGGATGTCCGCCGATGTTTGCAGCATATTTGGTAGCTTCCTCGCTGTTGGCGTCCTCCGTATGCGTGGAATTCAAGGAAAGTCCGGGTGGCGGTGGTTGTTCCTGATCGAGTAAGCCTGTTCGAATTCTAGCATACAATCATCTCTGATAATCCCTTTCTCTCCAGAGGCTTGCTGACATTGCTTATCGGCATTGCGACGTTCTTCAAAATGCCGCCGTCACCCACGCAAACAAAGACCTGGTTCCGGCCTAAAGGGTGGTTTACGGAGCGAGAAGAAGTCATCGCGACGAGTCGTATCTTGCGCGACGACCCCACTAAGGTGTTCCTTCCATGTCCAGCTAATAGAATTTCCGAGGATTGACTGCTCAACAGGGCGACATGCACAATCGCGAAGCCCTTACACTGAAGAGGCTCTGGCAATCCCTCTGTGACTACGATCTATGGCCGCTCTACACCATAGGTCTCCTCTTTGGGATCCCGGCTAGCCCTCCTGCTGCATATCTGACACTCTCTCTGCGAAACCTTGGGTTTAGTACCATCCACACGAACTTGCTCACTATCCCCTCAACTGTCGGAAGCATGATCACAATGACCATTATTACGCTTGTTTCGGAGAATCTCAACGACAGAGCTTTCGTCTCGATGTCTGAAGATGTCTGGCTGTTGCCGTTCCTCATTGCGTTGCGTACGCTACCTTCGGACGTCAATCCATGGTTATTTTATGTAAGTGCTATTATTGACTGTCAACTTCAGCCCAGCTAACATTCATTTCAGGGATTGTCGTCTGTACTGCTGATGTATCCATACTCCCATCCAATCCAAGTTGGATGGTGCTCGCGCAACGCTGGCGCTGTCGCTAGTCGGACCGTCAACGCGTCTTTGTACAACATGTTCGTCCAGACGTCCTCGATAATCTCCGCCAATATCTATCGCAGAGATGATGCCCCAATGTGTACGTCTTCGGGCCAATCTCTATTTGTTTGAGTGCTGATGACTTCGGTTTTCTCTAGATCGACGAGGAAATAGCTACCTCATTGGCATTTGCCTATTCAACGTCGCGATCCTGTATCCTGGAACGAAGGCATACTACCTTTGGCGCAACAAGCAGAGGGCGAGGAAATGGGATGCTATGACTTCCGAGGTGCGCTGGCTTTGCACCCTATCTCACCGTCGCTTTCTCACCTATCGACTGGTATTCTAGGAAAAGAGCATATACCTCGCGACCACAAAGGATCTCGGTAACAGGCGTCTTGATTTCCGATTTGCCCATTAGTATTTCTTGTATTCCATTGGTCTGTATTTATAGACCTTTGTTGTTGATGAACCTTCGGACGGTGGTGACCGCGAAACGACTTCCTGTATTACCTCCATGTCATGATAGATTCCCCGATCCTCTTTTCTACGCAGTAAATAAAGTTCTTTTGCCGCGATATCAAGCTCTGTTTGACGATCTTCCTCTCTGCGTGGCTGGAAAATTCTTCCCCAAGAGACAAAACCTGAGAACCATTGTGCATGTGTCTTGTCACCTATTGAACAACAGCTGTTGATAGGAATAGGCCACCAATTCAAAGAAGATAAGTGCGATTCAAACTTACAATCTATCAAGAAACCCGGCGCATATCTCTGGACTCGGGACCGCAGACGTCCATACTTTCGCCTTGTTCGATGGCAATCATAGGCGAACTTCAGGGGGCAAATTCCACTCCAATGACTCGGAATAGTCGCAGATAAATCCCGATAATGCCTGGAACAATCTTATCGGCCTCTAAAGAGCACAGCCATTGTTCTTGTTGGTCAGATGTTGTGTGTATGTGGCATTTGGATGATCTTAAGGGTGGTCAATGCGTAGTGAGCGGACTTTCAAAGGCAGGTTTGGTTTCGTCGCGTACTAAATTGCCCCTTCTTTCCTCTTCACTACACCTCTGGCTCCTCACACGATGGCAGAAAAAACCACAGGTTATCGGCTTGAGTATGCAGCATCTGGAAGGGCTAAATGCAAAGGTCTGCCTATTTTATTTCCATGTTGCTGGGTGTGCTAGACGCTGACAATCTTGGCTGAACTCATGTTGGTTTCATGCGGTTGCTTGACTTTCAGGCCCCAAACCATGTAGCGGTAAGTGCGGGTAGACGATGTCCATCTGACCCGAAATTCTGAACACGGGTTTTCCAGGTACTCCGATTGGCAAAGGCGAGCTACGGTTCGGAACCCTGGTCGACATGAAGGGCATGACCTCTTTGTGAGCGCCTACTCTAAAATTCTGTCATCACTTTCGAGGCACTTATTATGTATCCCTTAACAGCACATGGCGACATTGGGGTTGCGTCACCAAAAAGATCCTCGAGAATGTCAAGAAAAACTTCGAGGAGGCCTCCGAGCTCGATGGGTTCGACGAACTCAACGCCGAGGACAAGGCGCGCGTGATCAAAGCGTGGCAGGAAGGCCATGTCGCTGACGAAGACATCCCTGAGAGTGCTAGGAAGCCCGCTGCAGAGGACAGCGCTGAAGAAGAAAAGCCCAAGAAGAAGAGGGCCCCCGCAAAGAAGAAGAAAGATGCAGAGGAAGACGGGTCGGACGCAGAGGTCGAGCCACCCAAGAAGAAAGCACCAGCGAAGAAGGCAGCTGCTGAACCTAAGGAAAAGGCTGCTCCCAAGAAACGCGCCTCGAAGAAAAAGAAGGAGGTTTGTCCCTTCTTTAACCTCGTCTTGCTTATCCTGATGTCGCACTCCAGGAATCAGACGAGGAGGCTGAAGACTTTACCAAGGAGCTCGATGATGTTCCAGTCGGCTCAGACGAAGACGACGAAGAAGAGGAGCCTAAACCCAAGAAGAAGGCGCCCGCAAAGAAACCCGCTGCTGAGAAGAAGAAGGCTGAATCGAAGGCCAAGGCCGCTCCCAAGAAGAAAGCTGCACCGAAGAAGGACGATGACGCTGAGATGGCCGACGGCGCTGGCGAAGACGAAGGCAGCAGCAGGAAGCGCAAGGTCGGTGACCTCAGCGTGTTAAGCTATAGACGAACATCTGGCTGACGGTTCTTTAGCGTGCCCCGACCAAGACGGCGGAAAAGCCTGCCTCAAAGAAAGTTAAACCTGCCTCGAAGGCGAAGAAGAGCAAGGAGGTCGTCGAGGAGGACGAGGAAGCGGATGAGTAATCTCCGTCCATCCCATTGTCTGCAAAGAGCCCCTTAATTTTTCCGTGACATTTGTCGCGTCCAAGTCCATATCCCTCCTCTCTCGAACTTAATACAACAGGCATCTGCCCCTCAGACTTTCACGGTCGTTTGAACCCTTTCGATAGTCCACTCATGCTTGTTGGTCGTCGTCGTAGCTTTCTCTCCATTGGTGTGTGGTCGTTGTTGTCGTTGCATGTACCATTACAGTATTTAATGTCGTTTGCTTGTTTTCCCACTTCAGAACCGCCCGCCTGAACACCTCTTTGCACGGAAAGTTAACTCAGGTCGCTGCAGTATTATAGCAGTACGAAACAAGCCTCAGTGGAACAAGGTCATCCTCGTCTTTGACCTTTGAAGAAATGACAGCTCTTTTAAGTTCTGCACCTTTCATGCGCCGCACGTATTAGGTTACGGGACTCACTCCGGCATTGTCATTGGCTCATTTTTTTTCAACACATGACGGAGGTTTTCACGATAGAGGGGTTTAGTAGTATCTTAGCAGAAAATCAGGGGTCGACGTTAATTATGAGTATGATACAACAACACAATGCAACTAGTTGCTACAAACGAAAGTCCTGGTCGTTGGGTCCGTGAATGTCTAGTAGTAGCCTCCGTACCCAGATGAGCCTCCAGTGGCAGCACTAGGCGAGGTGTTAATAGGCGTAGCAGCGGAGGTGACGCCAGAGGCCGCACTCGTCCCACTGAGGTCCGTCGCAACAATACGAGTGAAAGCAGAAACGCTGATCGTGGACTCGGCTGGATCAGTGGCTGATACAGAGCTTGCCGCAGAGTATGTGGAGCTGGACGGGAGCAAGGTCGCACTTGCTGATTTGAAGATAGCAGAGAGTGAGCTGGTGAACTCTTCTGGGGAAAGGGTGGTGGTGGTCGCGGACGTGCCGTTGACGGTGACGAAGACGGTGACGGTGACGGCGTCGGGGCCTGAGGCCTGTGTTGCCCTACTGATGGGGGTAGAGGTGATGGTACTTGGCGGTGCTTGACTCGAGGCGCTGCTAGACGCAGTTATAGAGGCGAAGGCAGATATAGATGTGCTTGTGACGGCGGAAGTCGCTTCTTGGGAGCTAACGCTGCCTGAAGCAGTGGCGGAGGCGCCTGCGCTGGTGCTCGTGTCGCTAGTGTCTGTGAAGATATCCGAACCGGTCATACCGCCTTTGACACCGGCAAGCTCCATAATGGAGAGAGCACTTCTCCGGCTCGTGCAGCCCAGGGCCTACGGCCACAAGTCAGCAATGTGAGGGGATTCTCGATGGAGGTGGACTTACCGTTCCAACAGCATTTGAACTGGGGAGAGCAAAGCACTGCACAGAGTCAGGGCAAACAGTGGACTTGGTGTCCCATTTGCTATCAACGCAGTCCGCGATAGCGTTGTCGACACAAGCAATGGCGCCGGCTATGATCTCATGAGAAAAGGGGAGAATGACGAGGACTAAACGACCCACTTTTACATGCATCAGAGGGTTTAATGGACTGGAATTCGACGTTAAGCTTCTGGGCGTCGAGTGCATTCTGGCGGAGGGTGGTGGAGTTGACAATTGGGATGGCTCGAACAAAGGTTGCAGTGGAGGCGAAAAGAGCGAAAGCGACTGAGATCGTGAGCTGCATGAGGACACAAAGAATCTTGGGGGACTTTAGGAGTACTAAAATTGCCGAGATCGAGTCGCAGGTGTCAATAAAATAATAGCAATCGTACAATGAGCACCGGGCTCGAGGACGTCGTAAAATATGAAGGGAAAAAGGAGTGAAGAGGAGTGATGAGCTTGAAGGGCGTTGAGGGGGTCCTTATGCATTCGACGCCACGTATTTATTGCGAGAACAGTAATGGAGCGACAGATACCGTTGCTCGACAGAACAATGGTGGGTTCGTCTTGACTTCGTTCTCATTGTTGTGGTTCCAGAATAGTAAGGCAGTCCTACGGTCGGGCCGATCTTTGGATGGCGTGGGAGAACCCTCGGTCTTGTCCGAGAGTGCAGGACACACTAAACGCTACCCGTCGCCGTCCGCACCATCGCCTCTCGACACCGACACGCAAAATGGTGAGCACCCTTTCGCCTTGTAACGCGCTCGTACACGACCTCCCTCAATATGGATCCCAATTGCATGCTGGATTACGGTGGATTTGAGCTGGATGCAAGGGTCGAGATTTGGATGTCGTATTTGCGGTCTGAGGGTACCGTGCTGGATTGACGCTGATCTGCTCTCCCTTTTCCCATCGCTTTTCAGACCAAGAAAAGAAGAAACGGCGGCCGCAACAAGAAAGGCCGTGGCCATGTTACCTTCATGCGGTGCTCCAACTGCTCGCGTTGCGTTGGAAAGGACAAGGCTATCAAGCGCTTCACAGTGAGGAATATGGTTGAGAGTGCTGCTGTGCGGGATATCAGCGAGGCTAGTGTGTACCCTGGTGTGTGTTCCTCGTCTATCGCCTTTCTTCTCGGGACTTATCTGTCTTCAAGAATATGTCATCCCGAAGTTATACATCAAAATCGCGTATTGCGTTTCGTGCGCCATCCACTCCCATGGTCAGAGGCTCGTCCCACTTTCTCCACGTCGTCTAACATTTCGACTAGTTGTCCGTGTCCGGTCCCGTGAGGGCCGACGCAACCGTGCGCCTCCCCCACGTGTCCGATGGAAAGATGGGAAGAAGGTCAACCCCGCTGTTGCAGCTGCTGAGGACGCAAAAGCTGCGGCCGCCAAAGTCTGAAACTACGCATTCGCTACTGCCCTTCTTTCTCCTGCAATAACATGTTTTGCAAGTGGTTGTTTGGAGTGAATTTGAAGTTTGTCATGAGAGCTCCAAAACCCTTTGATGGTCTGCGTCATCCTGTTGGCCGTTTCTTGCCACAAGGAGGTGATTAGGGGGAGTCAGAGTGCGCGATTCGGGGACGGTTCTGGAAAACGATTTTGACCAGAATTGTTTGTCCCAGTGGTGGCTTGACCCTATTGGCACGGTCAATCCCGACTGACTTATTCGCGGTTGGTTCGTTTTGACCGCTGTCAGACCAAGGGTCAAGACGGTCAAGAAGTCATGAACCTGTGACATCACAGCCGCTTGATAGTTCGAGGGGGAGGAAAGAACTTAGAACAGCAAAGAGGCTCAGAGGGAATATGTAGATTGCAGGTAGAAAAATAATACACTTGTTTCTTCCCCGTACAACAACAATGCCCAAACAGTCACCATACTGGAAACATTTCATCTCCTCCAACCCACTGACCCTCTTCAAGGGGGATAAATTTCATCAAAACATGTATTGCATTTACTGTGTTGATCAGCAAGCCCATGTCCTGCAGGAGTTGGATGAGTTGCATCGCCAAAACAGCGAGGAATTATGCCATTGAAATTTATCCCTTTTGCAGATGGCAGGTATGTTATCTCTTTCTTCCATCCTAGGTGATTAAAATTGAGATGCACCCTTAGCAATTGACCATTTGGAGCTGACATGCACAAAATCTGAGCACTTTCTGGCGCACATCAAGACCTGCAAAGCAATTCTGGCAGATACACAGCTTCAAGTCCTTTCTGCAAAAAACTCAATGCAAGCGGCAGCCAAACCAACAAGAAAGCAGACGTACCGTCATACCAAATCATACCACCCTTTAGTTCCACTTCTATCAGCCAGATACATGTATCAAACACTGGGTTTAACCAGTGTGAACTCAGAGCATCAGCAAAACCTGATTTTTCCATGGGTGCTACATGGTGCTACACAGTGCTCCATAGGTTGATGTAATTGCTATGCAGAAGAGAACCCTTACTATGGCTCTATGGAGTGCTGTGTAGCACCGTGCAGCTCTGCATAGATGCCCAATTTCGATGTTTTTGGCCTCAAAAAATCAGGGTTTGCTGATGAGATCAGGACTGGGATTAAGCAGTTGGGTTTTCCGAGGCTGCTGGGATGAGTTTGCCAGGGATGCTGGGGCTATAGAGATTTATTTTGGGGTGGGAGGGGGTAAATAAATGACCAAACAACCCTCCTGGAGGTGGGGTGGGGGTAGGGTAGGCCTGTAGGGGGCAGGAGGGGTGGGAAAGCATGACAGGGGCTAGTGGGATGGCAGGGTGGGTTCTGGGTGCAGTGGGGGCCTAAAAATGGGTTGGGCAGGGCTATATATGCATGCTAATAATTGTCATGGCCCCCATGGGATGTGGGATGGGCTGGGGGAGCCAAAAACACAAAAAATCCAGAGTCTTTTGCATTTTTAATACAAAACAATTGAATATCAAATTTAAAACTTGATATTTTGCTGTGAAACTTTGCAGACCTTTGTATCCATAGTGGAGGGTGCTTCATGAATATTTTGAGCATTTATTATGAACTATGGGGTGTGCCACATAGCCAGGAATAGTGTGCGCAGCGGGGTTTGATGCGCTTTGCCAAATTTAGCAATATTGTGATGCCTGCACATCCGTGCATAATTCCGGCTCCCCCTCGCATTATTTTGCTTAGATTTGGCTGAGCGAAATGTTGGGTACATTGATACCTTCCTGTAGACCCTTCGATCGCATGAAACAGGTGAGATATGATGAACGTGATTTTGGCTACTACAATGCATGGTGCACCCATGCATCCTCGGGCATGTTTAGGCCCATTTAAGTCAGTCAAAATTTATGGAATACATGTCTGAAAGTAATAGTACCATTGATAATGCCAGGGGGTGTCTGGGTGTAGTATATCTGAGGGGGTATAGGTACACCAGGAGACCCACTCTGGGTACCCCACTAAAGATATGCAAAAGGGTACTCAAATGACAGTAAGAGCATCAACTTCCTGTTGCAACTTTGTGTTGCATATGGTGCTGTGGGAGTTCATTTTGCATATCTTTCCACTTACTGCTCGGAATCTCATCAAGTCTTTTGCAGTCCCTTCTGAATGTTAATAGGTCCTCATATACAAAGTTTGGTAATTTTTGAACAAGTCTGAGGTACCCATTTTAATTATTTTCATGTTTTTTGTGCATTTTCAGCTCTTTCTTTAATACCAGCTCACACAGGCATCAGAGCCTCATCTGTCACTACTGAAATATTTCTAAGAAGATTATCCGGACCCAAACAAACACTCAAATGGGTGCGATATATGGATTTGGTAGGCATATAGATAGATACTGATGTGGGGACTACCTCCTCCTTCTCCCCTTAATAACTTTACACAAAAGCATCTTCTTGCCCTTGCAAGTACCTCGTTCTGTTTCTATACATTTATCGTCATTTATCATAATTTTACATGGGCCAATATCTCCCATCCTGGATGTCAATAGAATATCTTAGCTCGTGGGAAATGGGTCAATAACTCAACTTCCAAGCAATATAAAATTATGATAAAATATGTTAAATTCATGAATAAATATGTACTATCCATGTACCAACTTTCAGACATTCAGAGGTATGTTTAGTGGGGTATCCAGAGTGGGTCTCCTGGTGTACCTATACCCCCCTCAGATATACTACACCCAGACACCCCCTGGCATTATCAATGGTACTATTACTTTCAGACATGTATTCCATAAATTTTGACTGACTTAAATGGGCCTAAACATGCCCGAGGATGCATGGGTGCACCATGCATTGTAGTAGCCAAAATCACGTTCATCATATCTCACCTGTTTCATGCGATCGAAGGGTCTACAGGAAGGTATCAATGTACCCAACATTTCGCTCAGCCAAATCTAAGCAAAATAATGCGAGGGGGAGCCGGAATTATGCACGGATGTGCAGGCATCACAATATTGCTAAATTTGGCAAAGCGCATCAAACCCTGCTGCGCACACTATTCCTGGCTATGTGGCACACCCCATAGTTCATAATAAATGCTCAAAATATTCATGAAGCACCCTCCACTATGGATACAAAGGTCTGCAAAGTTTCACAGCGAAATATCAAGTTTTAAATTTGATATTCAATTGTTTTGTATTAAAAATGCAAAAGACTCTGGATTTTTTGTGTTTTTGGCTCCCCCAGCCCATCCCACATCCCATGGGGGCCATGACAATTATTAGCATGCATATATAGCCCTGCCCAACCCATTTTTAGGCCCCCACTGCACCCAGAACCCACCCTGCCATCCCACTAGCCCCTGTCATGCTTTCCCACCCCTCCTGCCCCCTACAGGCCTACCCTACCCCCACCCCACCTCCAGGAGGGTTGTTTGGTCATTTATTTACCCCCTCCCACCCCAAAATAAATCTCTATAGCCCCAGCATCCCTGGCAAACTCATCCCAGCAGCCTCGGAAAACCCAACTGCTTAATCCCAGTCCTGATCTCTGAGTTCACACTGGTTAAACCCAGTGTTTGATACATGTATCTGGCTGATAGAAGTGATGACCTGGCAGTTGAATATATCAGTACAAAACTGAAACAGTTATAAAACTTATCTTATTTCACTCCTAGACTATAACATAGGAATATAGATGCTGTTCAGACAAAGAGGGGAATGCAACAATGAGGGGAGGAAGAAAGAGACAGATGGAAAATGAGTCCACCTATGAGCCTTATTCCCACATGTGACACCACTATACAGCAGACAGGCTGTTCACTTCAAGTTGAATATCTCAAAAACTGCTATAGCTATGCTCCTGAAAATTTGTACACTGGTACTTATAGTTTGAGTAAACATCTCTGCAACTTTTCAAAATTTTAGGGCAGATAATAAAGGAGAAATAGCCTGTGCGCTTTTTGAAAAACCCGCATCTCCATATCTCGGTCAATACTTGTTGCAATAACATCTCGCTTTGCATACATTATCAGAAGTATGTAGTCTAGTTGCTTTTAAATTTTCAAGGCAGTAGCTTTAGCGGTTCCTGAGCTATTTAGCTCCCACCTCTGATATGAGCAACCAGCAGAGAAGCTGTTCCCCTCAAGTTAAATATCTCAAAAACTGCTATAGCTATGCTTCTAAAAATTTGCACACCTATTTCCTAAATATACAGGACCAGCTTTGTGGAGTTTCAGAAATTTAGGGTGAATAATGAAGGAGAAATAGCCTGTGCACTTTTTGAAAAACCTGCATCTCCATATCTTGGTCAATACTCATTGCAATAACATTTCGCTTTACAGACATTGTCAACAATATGTAATCTAGTCACCTGTAAATTTTCAATGCAGTAGCTGTAGCAGTTCCTGAGATATTTAGCTTCTACCTCTGGTATGAGCGTCCAGCCTGTCTGAGTTTGAAATGACTTAGAGCTTGAAAACAGTGCACTCATTTACAGTGTTGGTGCAATATCTCAGCAACCACTGAAGCTATGATGCTAAAATTTGGTGGGCATGTACATATAGTATCCTTGTTAATGGATCTCGACTTGTGTGGTTTCATCTTTTTTATTTGTTGAGATATTCAAATGCGGGTTTTCACAAATGTGCAACCATTATATCTCAATGGATTTTGCACCTAAAACCACAAAAATTTTAGATTGTGTACGCATACTATACACATAGCGATGTACAGAAACTGAGAGGAATTAAGTGAGCAGTTGTTGAGATATTTCATCTTTACTCTTGAAAAAAGCAGCCAGTACAAGGTATTTCACATTTTTCTCTTGGTGCAGCCCAAATATTTTATATAACTGCAATTCTGTGATATTAATGCAGTATCCATCCAATCACCCTTTGTGTCTGAGAAGAAAAATAGCACAGGAAGGCCCAGTTTGAACTGGGAACCACAAAGAAGATACTACATTGTAAATCTGACCTGTACAAACCACTAGAGTATTAAATATACTGCAATGAATACTTTCATGTACTCATATGGCTTTAATTCTTTTCTCTGCTCTCCTTAGAGTGGTTTGGATAGCTTGGAGTCACATCAGATCACATTGGATCAGTGTTTGGCGATTAATCAACACTTTCCATAAAGGGATTTTTCCTGATGAGCATTAGTCATTGTTGAGAAAAATGCAAAACAAAGTTGATTCCTACAGTCATGGGATCTGTTATTTGAAGAAATATCAATAGCCTCTAGCAATTGTCTAATGCTTGATATAAAGAGACTTTGACAAAATTTTGCCAAAGTTCAACTCACAACATGTGACTCTGTGATGCCATCAGCACCTTTGATGGACTTACTGCATTTGCATCACACCAATGCTGGGCATAGCAGTCATATATTTACTATTTGTTTGTATTTGAGGCCAGAATATCAAAGTTTCAGAGGCTGAGCATGAAGAAAAAGGTGAATTCAGATTCACATGACCTGTTGATCTACTTGGCATCAGTCACATATCACAGTCCATAACACCCCTCTACGTCATTTTTAGAGGACAATTGCCTCTGTTTTATAGGGCTGGGGAACTGCCCTCCCTGATGCATCGTCAGTTTTGGGCAACTGCCCAGCTTCATACATATCACTGACAGCACTGGCTGTCTTAGTACTGTACCATTTTGTTCACTCTGTCCGTCACACATCACAGACCTGCTGGTAGGTTTTGACTTTAAGCCCCATGCACGTGATGTCTAAAATGGGATTTCATTATGTAAACCATTATCTAATCGACCAAATGAGCAGAGTTTGTGGACTGTTCAATTCCACATAAAGCCACCCATCTCTTGCTCCCAACCGCCATCATCATTAATGACACCCCCTCCTCCACTTAGCACCCTTTCTCTTTCCCTCTCCTCCTTCTCCTCTTTTCACTCCATGTAACCCTCCTTGTTGTTGACCATGCCCCTCTCCTTCCAACACCACATCCACAATATGGAAGCGCACACATGTGCACCAATTCACCAGAAGCACAGCAAGAAGTGGCATGGTGGGCATGTGGGCACAGTAGGCTATAGCAGTAGTTAGGCACTGGAGGTGTTGGAGCTGAGGGCAGTAAACATGGTGGCTATGTGGTGAGTTGAATGTAGGCTTCTCCCTCCCTGCTGCATTGGCCATGCTCAGGTCTCATGTCTCCAAGACCAAGACCATGCCCACTGCCTCTGGTTCAACCATTGCCCACTCTTACAATCTCATGCTCTTCTTCCTGCCTGCCAAATTATATACAAATCTTGTACTATTATGTAAATGATAATGAATCACACTTTCAATCACTCCACTCCAACACCTGCATGAATGAGGAACCTCTGTCAGTGTATGAATGATGTTTATTGGGCTGCTATATTGATGTTTACTGAGGATATGCAGACTTAGTGCATAGTTTCTTCAGATTACTGATGGTGGCATGAGTGGCTCTCAGCCAAACAAGCCAGTTTGTGAACTTGCCTTCATGTCAGCAAACCACCTTCCTAGTTTGTATGTTTATATAAGTGTCACCAAATCAGGACATCACATGCAAATGCCATTGCGTGTGCAGTGCGCCTACTAGTAGCTGTCAAGCAGGCAAACTGCCAACACATCATGGTCTTTACTGACTCTATGGGCTTGGCCCATAAAGCAGTGGACCCATCTGTACATTCTGGTCAGGGTTTTAGTCTGTCAGTTTGCTGCACTCTCCAAGGGTGGTTTGAAGCGGATGATCTCTGCTGCATCACCTTCGCCTACATCCCATCTGCTTTGTGCTAGGACATTCATGGCGAGGTGCACAAATATGTCACTGAGCTGAAGGTCAGAGTTGGGTGTCACAAGACAGACAATTCTATAGATGTGCTTTACTCCCAAGCTGCACACTCAGTCCTGGACTTGTGGAGTTCCACTTTCCAGGATCCAACCTATCAGGGTTCCGAGTTCTTGGAGCTTCAACAGCCTGACGGGCAGCCGATTCAGCCATTGTACCTCAATGGAGGACCTTGGCTTTCATATTTCGGACACAGTATCACTGAGTTTGCTTGCATTTGCCAGTGTATAACTGGCCACATGCCCATTGGAGCGTACTACCATCACTTCAAGATTAATGAGCCTAATGGCTGCACTTGCGGGGCTGTCTTGCAGTCCCACCAGCATGTCCTCTTTCACTGCCATGATTGATATTCTACACACTATCCCCGTTTTCTCAGTGATATTGCGTCATTTCTGAAGCACAACTCTACAGTGTTTGGCTTCAACTGGGACCCCTTGGGTGTCAGATAATTGCTATGGGTGGGGTTATTCCTCCTTTTGGGGGACTTATTGGTGAATTAACACCCTCAGCCCTTAGGGGTTGGAGACCTGCACCTATGTCACTTATTTGCACTTGCGGTTGACCTTCTTTGTTTGGTTGATTGCAGTGCTGCTAACATTCTGTGTCTGGTTTCGGGCAGGCGCATCTCTGGCTTGTCGGCCTTAAGACACCCTGCCACCTCCCAGGTGGTGCAATTCTTATTTTCATTGTGCTGATGGCCCCTGAACAGCATCTGATGACTATGGGGTTTAGTGGGGCCTCGATGGTCTCCTCCCCTCATCCTGCATCACCGGTTTTGCAAGGTGGGTCTGGCTTTGTGGGAGTTTAGGTGTTTGAGCCACAAGACTCATGGTTGGGGGGGAGGACATCTTTTAGTAGTTAACCTAGTAACCAGGTTGCATAGCATATATGCTCTGTAGATAGCGAGCAGGCTGCTGTCAAGCACTGCTATATAAATTGTTGATCAAAAAAAAAAAAAACACCTTTGACCCTACTGTAGGAGTGGCGACGCACCTAGGCACAGAAAGGGCAATACATGCTAAGTGAACAAGCACGGCGTGGAGCCATCAAGGGAAACATCAGTTACTGTAAGTAGTGACCACTCTGCTGCCCTCGAAACCTTTCACAAAATCACATCTCCAAATGGAACTCCTACCATAAACAACAGTCGACGATCACCCTTGAACCAAATCACAATATCACATCCCATCCGACAATGTTTTGAAATGGACCAGTACTGACCTCCTTGTGTGCATGACCACCCAGCCAACTATCTTATCCAATTGCCTCATACTGGGGCACAGCAACACCATATGGACCATAATTTCCTGACTCACAATTTATTTCACAAGCTCAAAACTGTTTAGGACTTGACTCACTCAGTGGCTAAGGATGTGTATAAATACCCCCTCTTTGTACTGTAATAAGACAGTGAAATACACCCCACACTTCTCACTCACATATCCAGTACCTCACCAAACCATCCAAGTAGTTAAAGCATTATCGAGATCGCACACAGCACATCGCTTACAAACAAAGCAAGGATTTGAAGACCAAAATTCCCATGGTCAGTGCGAACCCAGAGAAACAGCATCTCAGCATTTATTATCAAAGATCCAGTATCAGTTCGTATCTAGGACTATAGACAGAAGACAAAGCAAGCTATCAAGGAAATTACTGTCCTGAAACCTCATCTACATGACCCACAAAACCCTTAATTCCCACAACCCTTCACTGCAGACAGACGCTGCAACCAAACCATATTCCTGCACTGGGGATATCTGAACTCAGACAATACCTTTGTCCTACATTATTGGAGCCCACTGTGAGGGCGCAAAGGGTTTAAAAAGGGTTTAAATCCTCTGTAGACTTGTCAATCTCTATTCACCACAAACTCCAAATACACTTGGTTCAGGGATCTACCATACCCAGATTCATATTATCCACCACCTAGAAGCACTCAATCAACATCAGAAGACAAAGGAGATTCAGAAGAGGATTCAGTTCAGCCAACATTCACACTAAGACCTGCAGTTTGGCCAACAATGAAGAAGATGTCACAAAACAAAATGCTGGCTAGAAGCCATCCATCTGCTCTGTAATGACCATGCCAGATGGGGTGGGGACTTGGCTTCAGCTTGATGGAAAGGGCAGCTGTGCCACCACGCAACGTCTGGGTGTCCCCAATTTTGGATGAACAGGGAGGAGCCGGATTCCGGCAGTGAACTAGAGCAAAGGGGTATGTCGAGTTTGATATTCCGACTGAGGAATCTACTACTGTACATGGGTATTTATGCTATGTAGGATAATGGACCATGATTATGTAATAGATAACTTAGCCGGGACAAGGAGAACAATGAAGGACAATGGGACAATGGCTGGGAGACACAATGGAGTGAGCCGGAAACATGGCTCACCTCGGAAGTGCCTCGGAAGCGCACGGCTCATTCCCAGATGTCTCAGAAGTGTCCCGGAAGACCATGGCTCATTACCACAAGCCTTGGAAGCTGGATACAGCCTCGAGAGCTGGATAATTGTGCTGGGAGCCAGGGACGGGTCGTGACAGGGACACCCTTCATGGCATGTACAACTTGGCCTCTGGTCGTGAGTATGATGCTTCAGTCTTAGATGAGCTTCCTGATGAGCTGGTCTGCAAGTGGGCTGACTTTTTGGAGCATGAGTTGTTGAGCGCCCTCAAGGGGTGTTCCAACTCCTCCGCACCAGGACTGGACCATGTTACATGGGCCCACCTAAAGGAGTTGCTCAAGGACAAACATGTCCTTGCGCTCTTCATCATGTTGGCCAACACTTGCCTCTGGGTAGGGCATTGGCCGCGTATATTCAAGGAGTTGCTTTCAGTGATTGTCCCAAAGCCGAATAAGCCCTCCTATGCTGTCCTGAAGGCTTTCAGGCCTATCATACTCCTCATCACTTTTGGTAAACTTATCGAAAAGATGATTGCCAACAGGATACAGTTTGATGTGGTCAAGCATGATATCTTTCATCCAAACCAGCTTGGCAGTATCCGCCAGAGGTCGACTGAGGATGCTGGGTTGATTCTGACTCATCTCATGTGAGCGGGGTGGGTTAAGGGTCTCCAGACTAGTGCGCTGGCTTTTGACATCACACAGTTTTTCCCTTCCATCAACCATGAAATGTTCATGGCTGTTCTGCACAAGCAAGGATTCTCACCAATCTTGGTAGATTTCTTTGCCTCTTATCTCATTGGTCATTCCACAGTGTACTGTTGGAACACCTTCCAGTCCAACTCACATTCTGCGGATGTGGGTGTTGGGCAGGGCTCTGCTCTCTCGCCTGTTATCTCTGGGCTGTTCATTGCTCCAGTAATGAAGCTCTTTTACATCAAAGCAGCGCCACTCAACATGACACTACTCTCCTTTGTGGATGATGGGACCATATTGGCCCAGTCCAGACAGCTTGATGATAATAATGTGGGCCTGCATAAAGCCTACAAAATTATCTACCTCCTCTTTGTTGCATTTGCACTTGTTCTTGAACACGACAAGACCGAGCTGTTTCACTTTTCATGTCGATGCGACACCTATAATCCCTCGCTGGATCTGGGGTATGCCCTGCATACAGGTGATACACCTTTGAAGCCTTTTTTTTTTTTTTTTTTTTTTTTTTTCAACAATTTATATAGCGGTGCTTGATGGCAGCCCGCTCGCTATCTACAAACACGTACGCTACGCGGCCTGGGTACTAAGTAAACTATTGAAAGATGTCCGCCCCCCCAACCACGAGCCTTATGGCTCAAACGCCGAAGCTCCCATAAAGCCAGACCCACCTTGCGAAAACGGTGACGTGGGATAAGGGGAGAGACCATCGAGGCCCCGCTAAACCCCAAAGTCGTCGGACGCTGTTCGGAGGCCACGCAGCGCAAATGAGATAAGAACAGCACCACCCGGGAGGTGGCAGGGTGTCTTAAGGCCGACAAGCCAGAGAAGCGCCTGCCCGAAACCAGACGCAGAAAATTAGCAGCGCCGCAACCCGCTACAATAGCGGCCGCAAGCGCGAAGAAATAGCGGTAGGCGCAGGTCTCCGGCCCCTAAGGTCCGAGGGTGTCAATTCACCATAAATCCCCCGAAAGGAGGAATAACCCCGCCCCCCACGATTATCCGACACCCGACGGGTCCCGGTTGAAGCCAAACGCCGTAGGGTTGTACTTCATAAACGATGCAAGATCCCCGAGAAAACGGGGATAGTGTACAGAATATCTATCGCGGCAGCGAAAGAGGACATGCTGGCGAGACTGCAAAGCAGCCCCGCAAGTGCAGCCATGAGGCTCATTGATCTTGAAGCGACGGTAATACGCTCCAATGGGCGCGTGGCCAGTTATACACCGGCAAACGCGGGTGAACTCAGTTATACTGTGTCCGAAGGTTGAAAGCCAAGGTCCCCCGTTGAGGTACGATGGCTGTAGCGGCCGCCCGTCAGGCTGTTGAAGCTCTAAGAATTCAGAGCCTCGGTAAGTTGGATCCTGGAAAGTGGAATTCCACGAATCCAGGACTGAGTGCGCAGCTCGAGAGCGTAGCGCGTCTATGGAGTTGTCCGTCTTGCGACGCCCAACCCTGACTTTGAGTTCGGTGACGTACATGTGTGCTTCACCATGGATATCCCACCGCATAGCGGAAGGGACGTAGACGAAGGTAATGCGACGGAGATCATCCGCCTCAAACCACTCTTGAAGAGCGCGACATACTGAGAGTACACCTTTGAAGCCCAAGACCTACTGGCAGTACTTGGGCTTCTACTTCGACCATGGGCTCACATTTCATAAGCACGTCCGCTACTATGCCACCAAGGCATTCACCACCATGCAGGCCATGCACATGCTCGGGAATTCTACCAGAGGTCTCTTGCCTAAGCAGCACTGCCTCCTTTACAGATCATGCATTGTTCCCATTGCAACGTATGGTTATCGTCTCTGGTACTTCGATGGCGCCTGTAACAAAGGCGCCATCAACCAGCTCAAATGGATGCAGCAGAAAGCTGCTCTATGGATTACAGGTGCCTTTCACACCTCTCCCACAGTGGTCTTGAGGCCCTAGCTGGTCTCATTCCCATCCATCTCATGCTGAAGAAGTTGGCCATGCGTGCAGTGTACCGTGTCGCTACCCTCTCAGACACTCATCCTCTTTTCTCCATGATGGGCGAGAGACTCCTCAAGTGGGCTGAACCCCATGCCTGCTCTGCTGCCTTGATGACCCCAGCTATGAGGGGGAAAGTCAAGAGCACTGTCATGGAGGTGGACAAACGTGTCCACACCTTAACTGAGAGCTTTGAGCCCTTTGCACCCGAAGCTCGCCCTGGTGACCAGTTACTGGACCGCTATGCAGACCGTCTCCGCTTCGACGAGCGCAATCCTACTCAGGATAGGCACCCATATCTTGACAAGCTCATCACAATTGTGAGGGCTGATCCATTAACAGTACTGGCTGCGGCTGATGGCTCTGTCCCTCAGTCCAACCAGTATCAGGCAACCTCGGCTGCCATCATCTACAAGGGACATTGTGAGCTCGAAAGGACTTGCTATGTCTGGCAGAGTTACCACCCCCGACATGGAACTCAATGCCATTGGTGCGCAGTTCGCCTAGCTGTCAAGCAGGCAAACTGTCAACATATCATGGTCTTTACTGACCCTATGGGCTCGGCCCATAAAGCAGTTGACCCCGGCGTGCATTTTTTTTTTTTTTTTTTTTGATCAACAATTTATATAGCGGTGCTCGATGGCAGGCCGCTTGCTATCTACAAACACGCACGCTACACAGCCTGGGTACTAAGTTAACTACTTAAAGACGACCGCCCCCCCAACCAAGACCCTTTGGGCTCAAACACCGAAACTCCCCAGAGGGCAACCCACCTCGCGAAAACGGTGCATCGGGATAAGGGGAGGAAACCATTGAGGTTCTGCTACGCCCCAAAGTTGTTGATCGCTGTTCGGAGGCCACACAGCACGAATGAGATAAGAAAAGCACCACCCGGGAGGTGGCAGGGTGTCTTGAGGCCGACAAGCCAAAGATGCGCCTGCCCAAGACCAGACGCAGAGAGTTAGCGGCATCGCAACCCACTATAATAGCGGACCGCAAGCGCAAAGAAATAGTTACGGGCGCAGGTCTCCGAACTCTAAGGTTCGAGGGTGTCAATTCACCGATAAATCCTCCAAAAGGAGGAATAACCCTGCCTGCAGCGATTATCCAACACCCGAAGGGTCCCAGGTGAAGCCAAACGCCGTGGGGTTGTACTTCATAAAAGATGCAATATCCCCAAGAAAGCGGGGGTAATGCATGGAGTAGCGATCGCGACAGCGAAAGAGGACATGCTGGCAGGACTCCAAAGCAGCCCCGCAAGTGCAGCCGTGAGGCTCGTTGATCTTGAAGCGACAGTAATATGCTCCAATGGGCACGTGGCCAGTTATACACTGGCAAACGCGAGCAAACTCAGTGATACTGTGTCTGAATGTTGAGAGCCAAGGTCCCCCGTTGAGGTACGATGGCTGTAGCGGCTGCCTGTCTGGCCGTTGAAGCTCTAAGAATTCAGAGCCTTGATAGGTTGGACCCTGGAAAGTGGAGTTCCACGAATCCAGGACTGAGTGCGCGGCTCGGGAGCGCAGCGCGTCTATAGAGTTGTCTGTCTTACAACGACCAACCCTGACTTTGAGTTCTGTGACATACTTGTGTGCCTCACCATGGATATCCCACCTCAAAGCAGATGGAACGTAGACAAAGGTGATGCGGTGGCAGTCCCGCCAGCATATCCTCTTTCGCTGTCGCGATAGATATTCTGTACACTATCCCCGTTTTCTCGGGGATATTGCATCGTTTATGAAGTATAACCCTACAGCGTTTGGCTTCAACCGGGACCCCTCGGGTGTCGGGTAATCGTTGTGGGTGGGGTTGTTCCTCCTTTCGGGGGATTTATGGTGAACTGACACCACCGAGCTCTAGGGTTCGAAGACCTACGCCTACCGCTATTTTTTCGTGCTTGCGGCCGCTATTGTAGCGGGTTGCGGCACCGCTAACTTTCTGCGTCTGGTTTTGGGCAGGCGCATCTTTGGCTTGTCGGCCTTAAGACACCCTGCCACCTCCCGGGTGGTGCTTTTCTTATTTCATTTGCACTGCGTGGCCTCCGAACAGCGTTCGACGGCTCTGGGGTTTAGCAGGGCCTCGATGGTCTCCTCCCCTTATCCCGCGTCACCGTTTTCGCGAGGTGGGTCTGGCTTTATGGGAGCTTCGGCATTTGAGCCATAAGGCTCGTGGTTGGGGGGGCGGACGTCCTTTAGTGGTTTACTCAGTACCCAGGCCGCGTAGTGTATGTGTTTGTAGATAGCGAGCGGGCTGCCACCGAGCACCGCTATATAAATTGTTGATAAAAAAAAAAAAAAAAAAAAAAAAAAAAAAAGGTGATGCAGTGGAGATCATCCGCCTCGAACCACTCTTGGAGAGCACAACAAACTGACAGGCTAAAAGCCTGACCAGAGTGCACGGAGGGGTCAACCGCTCTATGGGCTGAGCCCATAGAGTCAGTAAAGACCATAATATGTTGGCAGTTTGCCTGCTTGACAGCAAGGTGCACTGCACACGAAATGGCATTGAGCTCCGCATCCGGGGCGGTAACTCTGCCAGAGACATAGTGAGTCCTTTCGAGCTCGCGGTGTCCCTTGTAGATGATGGCAGCTGAAGCCGCCTGATACTGATTGGACTGAGGGACGGAGCCATCAGTTGCAGCCAGTACTGTTAATGGGTCGGCCCTTGCTTTCGCGATGAGCTCGTCTAGATATGGTCGCCTATCCTGGGCAGGATCGCGCTTGTCAAAGTGGAGATGGTCCACATAGCGGTCCAGTAACCGATCGCCTGGGCGAGCTTCGGGTGCAAAGGGCTCAAAGCTCTCAGTTAAGGTGTGGACACATTCATCCACCTCCATAACGGTGCTCTTGACTTTCCCTCGCATAGCTAGGGTCATCAAGGCAGCTGAGCGGGCATGTGGTGCAGCTTGCTTAAGGAGTCCCTCACCCAACATGGAGCGAAGAGGGTGAGTGTCTGAGAGGGTAGCGACGTGATACACTGCGTGCGTCGCCAGCTTCTTCAGCATGAGATGAACAGGGATGAGGCCAGCAAGGGCCTCAAGACCGCCTGTGGGTGAGGTGCGGAAGGCACCAGTAATCCATAGAGCAGCTTTTCGCTGCATCCGTTTTAGCTGGTTCATCGCGCCCTTATTACGGGTGCCGTCAAAATACCAGAGACGATAACTGTATGTGGCAATGGGAACCACACACGACCAATATAAGAGGCAGTGCTGTTTAGGCAAGAGACCTCTGGTGGAGTTCCCGAGCATGCGCATGGCCTGCACAGTGGTGAACGCCTTGGTGGCATGAGTAGCGGACATGCTCATGAAACGTAAGCCCGCAGTCAAAGTAGAAGCCCAAGTACCTCCATTAGGTCTTGGGCTTCAAAGGTGTAGCACTGGTATGCAGGGCGTACCCCAGGTCCAGTGAAGGATTGTAGGCGTCTCGTCGACGCGAAAAGTGAAACAGCTCGGTCTTATCGTGTTCAAGAACGAGCGCGAAGGCAACAAAGAGAAGGTAGATAATCTTGTAGGCCTTATGCAGGCCCACATTATTATCATCAAGTTGTTTGGATTGGGCCAAGATGGTCCCGTCATCCACAAAGGAGAGCAGTGTCGTGTTAAGCGGCGCTGCCTTGACATAGAAGAGCTTCATCACCGGAGCAATGAACAGCCCTGAAATAACAGGCGAGAGAGCAGAGCCCTGCCCGACACCCACGTCTGCAGACTGCGAGTCGGATTGGAAGGTGTTCCAGCAGTAGACTGTGGAACGACCGACAAGATAGGAGGCAAAGAACTCCACCAGAACCGGCGAGAACCCTTGCTTGCGAAGAACAGCCATGAACATCTCATGGTTGATAGAAGGGAAGAACTGCGCAATGTCAAAAGCCAGTGCGCTAGTCTGGAGACCCTTAACCCACCCCGCTTGCACGAGATGAGTCAGAATCAATCCAGCATCCTCAGTTGACCTCTGGCGAATGCCGCCAAGTTGGTTGGGATGAAAGATATCATGCTTGACAGCATCAAACTGTATCCTATTGGCAATCATCTTTTCTATAAGTTTACCAAAAGTGATGAGGAGTACGATCAGCCTGAAGGCCTTCGGTACAGCATAGGAGGGCTTGTTCGGCTTTGGAACGATAACCGATAGTGACTCCTTGAATATACGTGGCCAATGACCCACCTGAAGGCAAGCGTTGGCCAGCACGATGAAGAGCGCAAGGACATGTTTATCCTTGAGCAACTCCTTTAGGTGGACCCATGTAACGTGGTCCGGACCTGGCGCAGAGGAGTTGGAATACCCCTTAAGGGCACTCAACAACTCGTGCTCCGAGAAGTCAGCCCACTCACGGACTGGCTTGTCGGGAAGCTCATCTAAGACGGAGGCATCATACTCGCGACCCGAGGCCGAGTTGTATGTGCTGTGAAGGGTGTCCCATAGGTCGTCCATATCATGACAAGGCTGGTTGCCATTGCGAATAGCCTCACAGGGGGGTAGCTTGCGCTGTTTGACCCATTCCATTAGGTCCCATGGGCGCTTGCAAGAAGTGGCGATTTCTGTGATGCGTTCATCGAAGAAGTCACGCTTGGCGTCCTTACACGCCTTCTTAAACTTGTTGTAATCAGCGAGCAAACGGCTCAACTGATATACTCCAAATGTCTCCGAGCACTCGTCTGTCCACCAGGACTTGGAGCGTTTGGTAGGTTTGGACTCGGTCGAATGGGCAAGCCATGCGTCCGAGAACGCTGTCGCAATAGCATCCGCCAAAGCTTCAACGCCTTCCTTGGTTGCCGGGGCTGCAACAGGAATAGCCGCAAGATCCCGGAGAATGTCTGAAATGAAAGACTTTTCAGCCTCACTTCCGGGTTTAATTGTCCATCGCCCAGATCCAGGCGGTTCAGGACCGATATCAAGATCTGTACAGATCGGGACATGATCTGATGGACCCTGAAGATCGTGCTCCAATCTGGGCATCGAGATTAGAATCTCAGATGGAGCTAAGAATACAAGATCCAACACGTTGGATCTCTGGTTTGGATTAGGACTGATCCTCGTCGGTCCATGGTTGGAAGGTCGTGCCCACTCGAGGCCGATCTGAGATGCGGTGTCCCGCAGGGATATTGCCGTTGACGACTCGCCATGCTCATAGTCATCCCAAGTCGTCGACACGCAGTTGAAGTCACCAGCCATATAAATGAAAGGTGGTAAAGAATGCATGCGAGCAGCGAGGTGCTCAATGGCTGTGTGTTGATCGTCGGAATAGATGTTCATTAAGTTAAGAACCTCGCCCACGCTAAAGAGGGAGAGGACAAGAATGTCGTGATGCATAGCGGGACAATAGCGGGAGAGCCTAGTCGAAACATAGGCGATCACGCGGGGAACTTCCTCTTCCTTAATGTGCACCATCTGCAGCTAGTCGGGATGATTTGGTGCGCTGATAACCTCATCGCCCTCCATACTTGTGGTAGACGGTGCGTGTCTTATGAAATTCCAAGGCGTTTCTTGGAAGAATAGAATATCAAATTTGTTTTTACAAATTTCGAGAAGAGTGTCTACGTGTGCATAGGTATGACGAACGTTCTGACAGTAAATATGAAGCCCACTACTTAGATCCTGAAGGTTTCCCAACATTAGTCTAGGTTCGGGGGTTAGTAAGTTGGCGGTGAGCAGCGTGCTCACGTACCTGACGATACTCAGCCATGATCCACTCACGCTCGTAGCGATGGGCCCAGAACTTACACAAAGCCGAGTTGGCAGCACGGTCCTTGTGGCAGTTGACACAGCGGCCCTTGTGGGGGCAGGGCTGGTCGTGAGGGGTGGGCAGCACAGGAGGCTTCACTTTCGTGTTGCCCTTGCAACATCCCGCATGTTGACGGTGCTCCTTCTGCTCGTGCGGACCTGAGCAGATGGGGCAAGAGAGTTGTTTCGCCTTACAGGCGACGGTGGGGTGGCCCCACTTCCAGCAGCGCTGGCATAGCGGGACACCGGTGTGACGTGCAGCGGGCCTGATAGCGCAGGACCACCCAGCGAGGAAGATCGGTTGGCTGAGGGCCATCCTGAGTAGGATCGTGCTCGTCGAAGCAGAGACGGTCTGCATAGCGGTCCAGTAACTGGTCACCAGGGCGAGCTTCGGGTGCAAAGGGCTCAAAGCTCTCAGTTAAGGTGTGGACACGTTTGTCCACCTCCATGACAGTGCTCTTGACTTTTCCCCTCATAGCTGGGGTCATCAAGGTGGCAGAGCAGGCATGGGGTTCAGCCCACTTGAGGAGTCTCTTGCCCATCATGGAGTGCAGAGGGTGAGTATCTGAGAGGGTAGCAATGCGGTACACCGCACGTGTGGCCAACTTCTTCAGCATGAGATGGATGGGGATGAGACCAGCGAGGGCCTCAAGACCACCTGTAGAGGAGGTGCAGAAGGCACCCATAATCCAAAGAGCAGCTTTTCACTTCATCCATTTGAGCTGGTTGATGGTGCCTTTGTTATGGGTGCCATCAAAATACCAGAGACGATAACTGTATGTGGCAATGGGAACCACACACGATCTATAAAGGAGGCGCCGCTGTTTAGGTGAAAGACCTCTGGTACAGTTCCCAAGCATGCGCATGGCCTGCACAGTGGTGAATGCCTTTGTCGCATAGTAGTGAACATGCTCATGGAAAGTGAGCCTGCAGTCAAAGTAGAAGCCCAGGTACCTCCAATAGGTCTTGGGCTTCAAAGGTGTAGCACCTGTATGTGGGGTGTACCCCAGATCCAGTGAGGGATTGTAGGTGTCTCGTTGGGGCAAAAAATGGAACAATTTGTCCTTGTTGTGTTCAAGGACAAGTGTGAAGGCAACAAATAAGAGGTTGATAATCTTATAAGCCTTACGCAGGCCCACATTATTATCATCAAGGTGTTTGGACTGGGCTAAGATAGTCCCATCATCCACAAAGGAGAGTAGCATCATGTTGAGTGGTGCCGCTTTGATGTAAAAGAGCTTCATTACTGGAGCGATGAAAAGCCCTGAAATAACAGGCAAGAGGGCTGAGCCCTGCCTGACACCCACGTCCGCAGACCATGAGTCAGATTGGAAGGTGTTCCAGCAGTAAACTGTGGAGCGACCAACAAGATAAGAGGCAAAGAAATCCACCAATACTGGTGAGAATCCTTGCTTGCGCAGGGTTCAAAGACCTGCGCCCACTTCATTCATTTGTGCTTGTGGCCCACTATATAGTGGGTTGTGGCACTGCTAACTTTCTGTGTCTGGTTTCAGGCAGGCACTTCTTTGGCTTGTTGGCCTCAAGACACCCCACCACCTCCTGGGTGGTGCTGTTCTCTTTTATTTGCGCTGCGTAGCCCCCAAACAGCGATCAATGACTTTGGGGCATAGCAGGACCTCAATGGTCTCCTCCCCTTATCCTGATGCACCATTTTCGCAAGGTGGGTTGCCCTCTGGGGAGTTTTGGTGTTTGAGCCCAAAGGGTCTTGGTTGGGGGGAGGGTTGTCTTTTAGTAGTTAACCTAGTACCTGGGCTGCGTAGTGTATGTGTTTGTAGATAGCAAGTGGGCTGCCATTGAGCACTGCTATATAAATTGTTGATAAATATATATATATACTCAGAGAGCGAGTGGGAGGACAGTGACGACAAAATGGAAATTTCACAGGAGGAATGCAAGGCACCTAAAGGGGAAAATAACAGGGATTGCATGGAAAACAAAGGGGGCGCTAATACACATGCACCTAATGTCAAGAATGGGCTTTACACAGGCAAGGAGGGTGACTCACCAGATCCACTAGCATCGCTTGCTTACAAAAAGGTTGCTAATCGAATCAAACCTGTCACAACCACACTTCCTGAGCAATTTTGAATTGTGAGGCGAATTCCATCAGATCCACTTCAGGGTCTTCCCAAGCTTCTGGCGAGTCTGCCAGAATTTACGCCTGTAATGCGCTACACGGAAGAAAGAAAGGAGCAAATGGGAGTCAATAAAGACAGGTTCCTATGGGAAGATGAAGAGAAACTTGTCCACTACCTCATTAAAGTGCATGAGGAAGCTTTCGCCTGGACAGAAGAGGAAAAGGGAAAGTTCTTGGAGGAGCATGTACTATGGGTCCTTGGAAATATTCCTATTCCACCTGGGATCTATGAGCAAGTTATTGAGGTTATCAAGAATAAGATCAAGTCTGGAGTGTATGAGCCATCAAATTCTTCCTACTGCTCACAATGGTTCTGTGTTGTCAAGAAGGATGGAAAATCACTGCAAATAGTGCATGACCTTCAGCCCTTAAACACTATTGCGATCAAAGACAGTGGTCTCCCTCCAGTAGTTGAGACATATGCCAAAGCTTTTGGAGGTCAAGTGTGCTATGGTATGTTTGACCTGTTTGTAGATTTCAATCAGCAAAGTCTCACAATGGAATCCCAAGATTTAACCACCTTTCAGACACCATTGGGAACTTTTCAACTCACCTCAATACCAATGGGGTATACCAACTCGATGCAAATACAGCACAGCGATACCACCTTTCTCCTGCAGGATGAAATACCACATGTTACAGTCCCCTTTGTGGACAATGTACCTATCAAGGGGCCAGCCTTGCGATACCAGGATGAAGATGGGATGTTTGAAACGATAAACAGCCTCTTTCTCTTGATCGCCCACTTGTAAACATGTGCAAACAACCTGCTCACCGTCTCATTCACTGTCCACTGCGTTACCTACCAGTCAGACCACCCCACCTGAACATTTGCACCGCATATGCATGTCCAACCGTCCACTCAGGGGACAAGACCCCTGGGCATTGTCCTAGGGGCTCAGGCTCTGCCCCACCAGCACCCCCACCAACATTGGCTGGAGGCTCATCGTCCTTGGGTGGTGGTGCCTTGCCAATCTCGCTTGACCCTACCTTGACTAGGGCCACTTACTCAATGATCATCCCAGCTCGATCCTGTCACACGTCGCCCCATTGCAGGTCCCATTCCACCACGGGTTCTGCCCCTTCATCTGAATACGAGTCTGACTCGGGGACAGCCCAACCACACCAGGAGATGGAGGTGGAGGGCATACAGGAAGGCGAGGAGGCTTGAGGGACCCCTCCATCAACCGGCTCCTAGGTCAATACACCTTGAAGTTCCGTGACACTGTCGAGGATCTTCCTGGTGATCTCGAGGTGTTGACCACTTCCATTGCGAAGGCCACAGATTGGGTTCTGTGGGCAGCGCATCACGATCTGCTCACCATTGATGGGGGCAATGCTTTCGCAGCCCAGATGACGTCCTTTGTGAACCCCATCATGGCCACTGACTTTAGCAGGATTCGCGCACCAGGCAACCTCAACAACTTCTCACTCGCCTCCCTTCTCAAGGCTGAGACATCCTCCAAGGATGAGCCAACATCCCGTCTGGCTCCTGTATTCTGACCCCCTCCCCCTGCTGTCTGTGGGCCGCTTGATGAGGGCATTGTTGACATAGGGGCTCTGCCCGACATCCTCATGCAGGCATTGGACAACCTTGGTCGCCCGGCCTCCCCCTCTTGCATCCCTGCTTCCAAGAAGCGTAAGGGTTTCAATTGTCCAGTGCCGCCTCCTCCTCAAAAGAAGAGCAAGGTTGCCTACTCCTGCCCTGGTCCACCTCTGCCAATCAATCGCCCCACCAAACCCAAGCCCCAAACAACGTGGGCAGGGATTGCTCATCAGGCCGCCATGATGCCTCCTCCACCTCCTGGCTTGGGATTGCAGCATGGTGGACCTACTCCTCCACCATCATTCCTGACTGGTCTGATGAAGACTTTGATTCATTGCTCCATCCCCTCCTTCACTTCCAAGGGTCCTACCCAGAAGCAAATCCTCGTGTTGTTCAGTGGTACCCCACCCGACCTCACAAAGTTCTTTACTGAGTCAGCTGTGCAAGCAGTCAACAGGTACCTCAGGGATGGCCACTCAATGTTGAAGGTCACCTCTATCGGTTGCGCTTACGACAGCATGTCATTGACCACCCCTGCTGTTGCCAGCCCGTCCGACTTGGACATTGTTTGCAACTTTGTTCACAACAGCCTCCCAATGGGTACCCCATTCACAGCTGCGCTCCCATCATCGACATCTTTGATTAAGATACTTGATGTACCCTACTTCAATCTGAAGAACAGAGAGAAGATTACCCAGGAGGTGCTCGAGAAAGCCCTCTGAGCCTCGGTTCATGCTGAGGTCTTTGCGTATCTGAGCACCAAGCCTCGGATTGACCGCAACTCAGCGCACTCGACATTGTGCACTGTGTACTGCAACATCTGGGACTCCCAGCAGGGAACCTGTGCCAAGAAGGCCCTTGGCCAACCAGTTTTCCCCACTGGGCGATCCTGTGCCATCAGGCCCGCCGCGCGTCACACCAGGGTTCCACTGTGCCAGCATTGCTGGAAGTGGGGCCATCCCACTGTCGCCTGCAAGGTGAAGCAACTCAGTTGCCCCATCTGTTCAGGTCTGCACAAGCAGAAGGAGCATCGTCAACATGCAGGATGCTGCAAGGGGAACACGAAAGCAAAGCCCCCTGTGCCACCCACCCCTCGCGACCAGCCCTGCCCCCATAAGGGCTGCTGTGTCAATTGCCACAAGGACCACACCACCAACTCAGCCTTGTGCAAGTTCTGGGCACATCGCTACAACTGAGAGTGGATCATGGCCGAGTATCATCAGGTATGTGAGCACACTGCTCACCACCAACTTACTAACCCTCAAACCTAGACTAATGAAGGGTGACCCTCAGGATCTAAGTAGTGGGCTCTGTATTTATTGTCAGAACGTTTGTCACACCTATGTGTATGTAGATACCCTCCTTGAAATTTGTAAAACAAAATTCAATATTTTATTTTTCCAAGAAACCCCTTGGAATTTCATAAGGCACGCACCATCCACCATTAGTATGGAGGGCAATGAGGTTATCAGCGCACATAAGCATCCTGATTGGCTGCAAATGGTGCATGTTAAGGAAGGGGAAGTTCCCTGTGTGATCGCCTACGTTTCGACTAGGCTCTCCCACTATCATCCCACTATGCATCGTGACATTGTCGACCATTGCAACATTCTCGTCCTTTCCCTCTTTAGCGGGGGTGAGGTTCTTAACCTCATGAACGTCTATTCTGATGATCAGCACACTGCTGTTGAGCACCTTGCTGCTCACTTCTATATGCCAGGTACATGTATCAAACCCAGCATTTAGCCAGTGTGATCTCATAAGTCCAGCCTGTGATAAAGCAGTCAAGCTTTCCAAGGCTCCTGGGATGAGTTTGCTGGGGATGCCGGGGCTATAGGGATTTGTTTGGAGGTGGGAGGAGGTAAATAAATGACCAAACAACCCTCCCAGGGGTGGGGCGGGGGTAGGGTAGGCCTGTGGAGGGTGGGAGGGGTGGGAAAGGCATGGGAAATCTGTCCAAAACAGGCAGGGATGGTGGGGTGGGTTCTGGGTGTGGCAGGGGCCTAAAAATGGGTTGGGCAGGGCTAGATATGCATGCTAATAATTGTCATGGCCCCTACGGGGTGCGGGATGGGCTGGGGGAGCCAAAAATGCGAAAAATCCAGAGTCTTTTGCATTTTTAATACAAAACAATTGAATATCAAATTGAAAACTTAATATTTCGCCATCAAACTTTGCAGACCTTTGTATCTATGGTGGAGGGTGCTTCACGAATATTTTGAGCATTTATTATGAATTATGGGGTGTGCTACACAGCCAGGAATAGTGTGCACAGCGGGGTTTGATGCACTTTGCCAAATTTAGCAATATTGTGATGCCTGCACATCCGTGCATAATTCCGGCTCCCCCTCGCATTATTTTGCTTAGATTTGGCTGAGCGAAATGTTGGGTACATTGATACCTTCCTGTACACCCTTCGATCGCATGAAACAGGTGAGAACTCGTTGAGATATGACGAACACGATTTTGGCTACTATAATGCATGGTGCACCCATGCATCCTGGGGCATTTTTAGGGCCATCTAACTTGGCCAACAATCATGAGATACATGCCTGAGAGTAATGGCAGCATGCATAATGCCAGGGGATGTCTGGGTGTAGTAGATATGAGGGGGGGTATAGGTACACCAGGAGACCCACTCCAAATACCCCACTAAACGTAGACCTGAAAGTCTAAAACCTGGTATGTGAATAGTGTATATTTATCCATGAATTTAACATATTTTATCATAATTTTATATTGCCTGGAAGCTGGGTTATTGACTGAGTTCCCACGAGTTAAGATATTCTATTGACCTCCAGGAGGGGGGATATTGGCCCATATAAAATCATGATAAATGACGATAAATGTATAGAAACAGGACAAGGTATTTGCAAAGGCAAGGGAATGAATCTGTGTAAAGTTATTAAGGGGAGAAGGAGGAGGTAATCCCCCACATCAGTATCTATGTAAATACTTACCAAATCTGCATATCGCACCATTCAATGGTGTGTTAGGGTCAGAATAGTGTCCCTTAACATATCTAAGTAGTGATGGATGAGGCTCCGATGCCTGGGGGAAATGGTATTAGAGAAAGAGCTGAAAATGCGCAAAAAACATGAAAATAATTAAAATGGGTACATCGGACTCGGTCAAAATTTACCAAACTTCGTATATGAGGACCTATTAACATTCTGAAGGGACTGCAAAAGACCTGATGAGATTCCGAGCAGTAGGTGGAAAGATATGCAAAAGGGTACTCAAATGACAGTAAGAGCATCAACTTCCTGTAACAATTTTTTTTTTTTTTTTTTTTTTTTTTATCAACAATTTATATAGCGGTGCTCGGTGGCAGCCTGCTCGCTATCTACAAACACGTACACTACGCGGCCTGGGTACTGAGTAAACCACTAAAGGACGTCCGCCCCCCCAACCACGAGCCTTATGGCTCAAATGCCGAAGCTCCCATAAAGCCAGACCCACCTCGCGAAAACGGTGACGCGGGATAAGGGGAGGAGACCATCGAGGCCCTGCTAAACCCCAGAGCCGTCGAACGCTGTTCGGAGGCCACGCAGTGCAAATGAAATAAGAAAAGCACCACCCGGGAGGTGGCAGGGTGTCTTAAGGCCGACAAGCCAAACTTCCTGTAACAATTTTGTGTTGAATATGGTGCTGTGGGAGTTCATTTTGCATATCTTTCCACCTACTGCTCGGAATCTCATCAGGTCTTTTGCAGTCCCTTCAGAATGGTAATAGGTCCTCCCACCTCCAAACAAATCTCTATAGCCCCAGCATCCCTGGCAAACTCATCCCAGGAGCCTTGAAAAGCTTGACTGCTTTATCACAGGCTGGACTTATGAGATCACACTGCTTAAACACAGGGTTTGATATAGATTTCTAGCTGACATGGCTGTGCCACTCACATGCACTCCCTACCGCCTTTCATTTACATGGCAGGTGACTTCAACTGCATTTCAATGACTTGGGATGATTACAATCATGGCAAGTCGTCGATGGCCATATCCCTGTGGGACACTGCATCTCAGATCAGCCTTGAGTGGGCACAACCTTCTAATCATGGACCAATGAGGATCAGTCCTAATCCAAACCAGAGATCCAACGTATTGGATCTCGTATTCTTAGCTCCATCTGAGATTATGAGTTCTTACATAAGTAAGACTCGTTCTTTCAACCTGGGACACAGAGATCATTTTACTTTCCCATGTTACAGTCATCCATGCTTTTTTTCCCACAGTAAGTATTACATTGATGGCATAGCTACATTTTCAATAGTTCACTACATTTTTACTGGCTATTGTAGTAATGCTCTTCTTGCCCTCTGCAAAATCAAAATCACCAACCTCCCTTGCTCACTGCAGCCCTCTTTTGCCCTTCCAACCTAACCCCCAGCACCATCCAACAACAGCCCTGGTGCCCAAACAATCCTGGACTTCACAGTTCCGCACCATTCACACTTGTTCAGCCACCACTGCCTGCCCCTCTCACCCCATGACCACCTGCTCGCCCTCCTCACTCTCTGCCTCTTGCCTCTCCCAACAGGCCTCAAAAACAAAGAATGACAGTGAACCAATGCACCCCTTCTTGCCCTTCCCCCCTCGCTCTCAACTTCCACCACCACCACCCCCCTCTTCTCGTCCATCCCAACAGCCTTCAAGGATGCTGAATGATGCTGAACACAGAAGTTGGGTGATGTTCACACTTGTTCTGTGTCCTGCCCACCTGCCCACCTAGCACCACCTGCCTCTTGCTTTCCACCCCCACTACTGCCCCTTCTCGTCTCTCTGATACCTCTCACCTGTTCCAATGGCTGCCAAATACAAGAAATGATGCCAAACATGGAGGTTTGGTGGTGTTTGCACTGGTTCTCTGCCCTGCCTGCCCCATCTTGCCCTCCTACCCTCGCCCTTGCCTTCCACCACCACCACCACCTCTCATCCCTCCAATGCCCCTCGCCCATCCAAACAGCCCCTGAAGACAATGAACGATGCCAAACATGGAGGTTGGGTGTTATTCGCGCTTGTTCTCTGTCCTGCCTGCCTGCCCATCTAGCACTGCCCACCTCTCACCTTCCACCCCTACCACTGCTACTTCTCACCCTTCCAACAGCCCTCACCCATCCAAATGGCCCCTGAAGAGCCCCAACAATGACAATGATGCTGAACACAGAGGTTCAGTGTCATTCACACTCATTCTGTGTCCTGCCTACCTGCCCACCTAGCAATGTCTGCCTCTTGCCTTCTGCCACCACCACCCCCTCCTCTTGCCCCTCCGACACCTGTCACCCATCCAAACAGCCCTCAAGGACACTGAACAATGCCAAACACAGAGGTTCAGCATCATTCGTGCTTGTTCTGTGCCCTGCTCACCTGCCCACCCAGCACTGCCTGCCTCTCACCTTCCACCCCCACCATTGCCCCTTCTCACCCTTTCAATGCCCCTTGCCTGCACAAACGGCCATCCAGGACAATGAACGACACCAAACTTGGATGTTCAGCAGCATTTGCGGTCGTTCTGTGCCCCGCCCACCCCTTCTTGCCCTTCCCCCTCCCTCTCAACTTCTGCCACCACCACCCCCTCCTCTCACCTCTCCAACACCCCTCGCCTGCCCCAACGGCCCCCAAAGACAATGAACGATGCCAAACAGGGAGGTTTGGCAGTGTTCGTGCTTGTTCTGTGCCCTGCCCACCTGCCCCACCTGCCTGCCCACCCAGCACCATCCACCTCTTGTCTTCCGCCACTACCCCCCCTCTTCTTGCCCCTCTGATGCCCCTTGCCTATCCAAATGGCCCCTGAAGAGCCCTGACAACAACAAACGACACTGAACATGGAGGTTCAGCAGTGTTTGCAGTTGTTCTGCACCCCACCTGCCCCTTCTTGCCCTTCCCCCCTCTCTCTCATCTTCTGCCACCACCACCCCTCTCTTCTTGCCCCTCTGATGCCCCTTGCCCATCCAAACAGCCCCTGAAGAGCCCCAATGACAGCGAATGATGCCAAAGCTCTCATCCTCTAAAAAAGTTCACTTTCAGAACATCATGAAATAGAATAGATATATATTGAGAATAATTATGTGAAATACATGTTCCAGGAAGCAAAGGCCAAGTCATGAGTATGAATGAGAGAACACTGTTGTTGAGTCACAGAGGTGGTTGTTGTTGACTTGTGGAGGCCATCATCAAGTTGCACAACATGATGATGAACTGGTGGGGTGCAGTAAGTAATAGAAGGAGGGATTAGGGACAGTGACATACTATGCTGGGTCTCCCACTGCTTGGGTCTCCCTTGTGGTCCTTCTCTCCATCCAGCTCTTCCATAACCCTCATTGGAGGGCATGGCCATGGAAATGTTGGACCTGACATTGATCTGTGGAGGCAGTCATTGAGTTGTTGGAGCTGATATTGAGTTGTGGGGGACTGACATTGAGCCATGAGGGAGCGGCTTCCAGTTACTGTGGCTGATGTTGAATCAGCAGGCCAGCATCAAGACATGGGGCCTATTGCCAACTTGTGTGATGCAAAAGAGGACTAGCAGATGAGTAAGGAAGAGTGGAAGGAGAGGTAGTCAGTCACTTCCTGCGTTGGGTGTTTGGTCTCCAGCTACTTGGGTCTCCCTTTGTTTTCCTCCCCTCCATTCAGCCCTTCAAAATGTGCCCTGACCCTCATTGGAAGGCACAGGTGCATGGTAGGCATCTATAATAGAAGAGAGAGAGGAGGAATGGTGATAGTAGCAGAAGAAGAAAGAAAGCGATGATGTAGCATGCAATTATGGCCAGCACAAGTCACCTGATCACTTACCTCTATAGGAATGTTACTGTCTACAAATGAAATAGTATTCACATACTCTACAGGTACCGTATTTTTCTCCTGTATTTCACATTAATTACACAAGTTATTTCATGAGAATTGAATAAGAATTGACAGAGATATGGAATTTGCAAGATGAGGTGAGCAGCTGTGGTGGCTTTGTTTGTTTAGCCAAACATATGACGCATGAAAACTCTCCAGGAGTTTTTGTGCATCATAGCTGTCAAACTCTGCTCACATGACCTAGCTAGTCACATGTCCTTCTAGAAACAGTGTCTCTATATCTCTGCAATGGCTGCAGCTACAGCTCTGAAATTTTATACACCATGAGGCGATGTTCAGAGAAGCTTACATACAACATCTCAGATCTTCAGGGGTGTTGTGGCATGAGATATTGCATGTTTTACATGCAGAAAACCCACACCTCCATATCTCAACACCTACTTATGCGACAGGTCTATAATTTTGAGGCCAACATCACCTATATTATGTCTACTTGTGTACAAATTTTCAGGTCTGTTGATGTTCTTGATGCCAAGGTATTGCAATATGCACATTGTTTTAATGCTAAAAACCCACACCTCTATATCTCAACACCTACTGGTACGACCAGTCTATAAATTTGAGGCTATTATAAACCATATTATATCTACCAGTGTACCAATTTTCAGCTCCGTTGATTGTCTGGATACCAAGATATTGCAATATGCACATTGTTTTAATGCAAAAAACCTGCACCTCTATATCTCAACACCTACTGATGCTACAGGTCTATAAATTTGAGGCTATTATCAACCATATTAGATATACATATGTACCAACTTTCAGGTCTGTCAATAGTCCGAGTGCCAAGATATTGCAATATGCACATTTTTGGGGTTTTTTTTGGTGCAAACCAGTAATTTAAATATGCAGCCTTTTTTTTTTTTTTTTTTTATTAACAATTTATATAGCAGTGCTCGATGGCAGCCTGCTCGCTATCTACAGACACATGCGCTGTGGACCCAGTTACTAAGTTAAGTACTTAAACACGTCCACCCTCCCAACCAAGACCCTTCTGGTGTATATGTCGAAACTTCCCAGAGGGCAACCCACCTTGCGAAAGCGGTGCATTGGGATAAGAGGAGGAGGCCATCGAGGTCTTGCTACACCCCATAGTTGTTGAACACTGTTCAGGGGCCACACAGCGCAAATGAAATAAGAACAGCACCACCCAGGAGGTGGCAAGGTGTCTTGAGGCTGACAAGCTGGAGGCGCGCCTGCCCGAAACCAGATGCAGAAAATTAGCGGCGCCACAACCCACTATATTACACCTGTTGCTGTCAGCTGATATATCAATTATTGGCAGTTGCCCAATATGAGGGATGCATCAGGGAGGGCAGTTCCCCAGGCCTTAAAACACTGGTATTGTAGGCCTATTTTGCTCTAGATGTGACAGCTTGGGCAATTGCCCAATTTCCTTTTTGGGAATTTTTTGTGCAGGGTCGTAGATCATGATGAGGTGATCCTGATGGTACTCAAATGACATCATCAGCATTAGTCATTGTTGAGAAAAATGCAAAAGAATTTTGAAACATTGGCGGTTTTGAAATTTGTTTTTGGTCCAGGATCGTAGATTATGATCAGGTGATCCTAAAAGAACCTGAATGACATCAGCAGCATTAGTCATTGTTGAGAAAAATGCAAAACAAAGTCGATTCCCATGGTCATGTGACCTGTTATTTTAAGAAATATCAATAGCCTCTAGCAATTGTCTAATGCTTGATATAAAGAGACTTTGACAATTTTTTGCCAAAGTCCAACTCACAACATGTGACTCTGTGATGCCATCAGCATTGTTGATGGACTTATTGCATTTGCATCACACCAATGCTGGGCATGGCAGTCATATATTTACTATTTGTTTGCATTTGAGGCCAGAATATCAAAGTTTCAGAGGCTGAGCATGAAGAAAAAGGTGAATTCAGATTCACATGACCTGTTGATCTACTTGGCATCAGTCACATATCACAGTCCATAACACCCCTCTACGTTATTTTTATAGGGCAATTGCCTCTGGCTGGGGAACTGCCCTCCCTGATGCATCGTCAGTTTTGGGCAACTGCCTGGCTTCATATGTATCACTGACAGCACTGGCTGTATATTAGCGGGCTGCTAGCACAAAGAAGTGAAGCTGGCGCAGGTCTTTGAACCCTAGAGCTCGGTGGTGTCAATTCACCATAAATCCCCCAAAAGGAGGAACAACCCTGCCCGCCACAATTACCCGACACCCGAGGGGTCCTGGTTGAAGCCAAACACCATAGAGTTGCACTTCATAAAGGATGCAATATCCCCAAGAAAATGGGGATAATGTGTAGAATATCTATCGCGGCAGCGAAAGAGGATGTGCTGACAGGACTGCAGAGCAGCCCCGCAAGTGCAGCCGTGAGGCTCATCAATCTTGAAGCGATGGTAATACGCTCCAATGGGCGCGTGGCCAGTTATACACTGGCAAACACGAGCGAACTCAGTAATACTGCATCCGAAATATGAAAGCCAAGGTCCCCTATTGAGGTACAGTGGCTGTAGCGGCCATCCATCAGGCCATTGGAGCTCCAAGAATTCAGAGCCCTGGTAGGTACAATCCTGGAAGTTGGAACCCCATGTGTCCAGGACTGAGTGTGTGGCTTGGGAGCGTAGCACGTCTATAGAATTGTCTGTCTTGCGACATCCAACCCTGACCTTATGCTCAGTGATGTACTTGTGTGCCTCACCATGGATGTCCCACTGAAAAGCGGATGGGATGTAGACAAAGGTGATGCAGCAGAGATCATCCACCTTGAACCACTCTTGGAGAACATGGCAGACTGACAGACTAAAGGCCTGACCAGAATGCATGGAGGGGTCAACCACTTTATGAGCCAAGCCCATAGAGTCAGTAAAGACCATGATATGTTGGCAGTTTGCCTGCTTGACAGCAAGGCAAACTGCACATGCAATGGCATTGAGTTCCGCATCAGGGGTGGTAACCCTGCCAGAGCCATAGTGAGTTCTCTTGAGCTCATGATATCCCTTGTAGATGATAGTGGCTGAAGTCGCCTGATACTGGTTAGACTGAGGGACAGAGCCATCAGCTGCAGCCAGTAGTGACTGTTAGTGGGTCGGCCCTTGCATTTGCAATGAGCTTGTCAAGATATGGGTGTGAGACGGTCCGCATAGCAGTCCAGTAACTGATCACCAGGGCGAGCTTCAGGCACAAAGGGCTCAAAGCTCTCAGTTAAGGTGTGGACACATTTGTCCACCTCCATGACAGTGCTCTTGACTTTTCCCCTCATAGCTGGGGTCATCAAGGCAGCAGAACGGGCGTGGGGTTCAGCCTGTTTGAGGAGTCTCTCGCCCATCATGGAGCGAAGAGGATGAGTGTCTGAGAGGGTAGCAACGCGATACACTGCATGCGCCACCAGCTTCTTCAGCATAAGGTGGACAGGGATGAGACCAGCTAGAGCCTCAAGACTGCCTGTGGGTGAGGTGTGGAAGGCACCCATAATCCAAAGAGCAGCTTTTTGCTGCATCCATTTGAGCTGGTTCATGGCACCCTTGTTACGGGCGCCATCGAAATACCAGAGACAATAACCATACATGGCAATGGGAACCACGCATGATCTATAGAGGAGGCACTGCTGCTTGGGCGAAAGACCTCTAGTGGAGTTTCTGAGCATGCACATGGCCTGCACGGTGGTGAACACTTTAGTGGCGTAATAGTGAACGTGCTCATGAAAGGTGAGTCCGCAGTCAAAGTAGAAGCCCAAATACCTCCAATAGGCCTTGGGCTTCAAAGGCATATCGCCGGTATGCGGGGCATACCCGAGATCCAGCAAAGGATTGTAGGTGTCTCAATGACACGAAAAATGAAACAACTTGGTCTTATTGTGTTCAAGAATGAGTGCGAAGGCAACAAATAAAAGGTAGATAATTTTATAAGCCTTATGCAGGCCCACATTATTATCATCAAGTTGTTTGGACTGAGCCAATATGGTCCCATCATCCACAAAGGATAGTAGCATTGTGTTGAGCGGCGCTGCTTTGATATAAAAGAGCTTCATTACTGGAGCAATGAACAGCCCAGAGATAACAGGTGAGAGAGCTGAGCCCTGCCTGACACCCACATCTGTGGAACATGAGTTGGATTGGAAGGTGTTCCAACAGTACACTGTGGAATGACCAATGAGATAAGAGGCAAAGAAATCTACCAAGATTGGTGAGAATCCTTGCTTGCACAGAACAGCCATGAACATTTCATGGTTGATGGAAGGGAAAAACTGTGTGATGTCAAAAGCCAGCGCGCTAGTCTGGAGACCCTTAACCCACCCTGCTCACACGAGATGAGTCAGAATCAATCCAGCATCCTCAGTCGACCTCTGGCGAATGCTGCCAAGTTGGTTTGGATGAAAGATATCATGCTTGACTGTGTCAAACTGTATTCTGTTGGCAATCATCTTTTCAATAAGCTTACTGAATGTGATGAGGAGTATGATAGGCTGGAAAGTCTTCAGCACAGCATAGGAAGGCTTGTTTGGTTTCGGAATGATAACCGACAGTGACTCCTTAAATATACGCGGCCAATGACCCACCCGAAGGCAGGCGTTGGCCTTTAAATATGCAGCTATGAATAATGAATGTACATCTATGGACTCTACATTCTCTAATAACCCTCTGTATCCTACATAATGCTGCCAAGGTGTTCCAGTGCTCTGGTCCTTGCCAGGGGTAGAGATTTGAGTGCACATTTTCAGCTATTTTTAGAAATCAGCACTATTTAGTCAATTGTGCACACAATTCTGTGCATGATACTGATATTTTGGGACCAATATAACTGAACATTATGACTTCTCATTAATGCAGATTTGTTTTAGCTAGGGGATGTCTGGGAGAGAGGCCAGTAAAGCCACATTTTTATATTTTTAGGGGTGTGAAGCATTAATTTGACTGTAGATCTACCAAATCCTGGAATTTTCCCATGTTCAAGACCTCTACTGAGAGTTATGAATATTTCATGATTTATGATATTTTTAAATTAAAATTAAAATGGCCCAGAAATAATTGAAATATGCCAGCATTTGTCACAACCCATCCCCTGCTCCTGGCTCAATTATGCAACTTCCAAGGCTGTTATCTGGCTTCCAAGGCTCATGGTATTGAGCTGTGCACTTTTCAGATGCTTCTTAGACATCCAGGAATGAGCTCTGAGCTTCCAGAATGCTTCCAACATGTGCCATGTCTCTAGCTCACCCCATTGTGCCTCCAAGCCATTGTTCTATTGTTCTCCATTGTTCTTATTTATTGTCTTGGCTGTGTTATCTAGTACATAATCATAGTATGTTATTCTACATGGCATAAATACCCATGTACAGTAGTTGATTCCTCAGTCAGAATATCAAACTTGCCCCATTGCTTAGAGTGCAGAAGAATTAATAAAAGAATAAATAGGACAGCTAAAGATATCAGACAAAAATGAACTTGTAATTGCCATGCAAAGCAATGGCCCACAATACCAAGTCAAGTCCATTGAGGTAATCCTCCTCCTTTTGAAACCCATGGTCAACCCAACAAAACAACCCACCAGTGCTGAATTACGAGTTCTTATGTAAGTAAGACTCGTTCTTTCCACCTGGGACATGGAGATTATTTTGCTTTCCCATGTTACAGTCATCCATGCTTTTTTTCCCACAGTAAGTATTGCATTGATGGCATAGCTACATTTTCAATAGTTCACTGCATTTTTACTGGCTACTGTAGTAATTGTTCAGCCGCCGCCACCTGCCCCACTCACCCCACAACCACCTGCTCGCCCTCCTCACCCTCTGCCTCTCGCCCCTACCAACAGCCTTCAAGGACACCAAATGACACTGAACACGGAGGTTCAGCGTTGTTCGCACTAGTTCTGTGTCCTGCCTGCCTGCCCATCTAGCACCGCCTGCCTCTTGCCTTCCGCCACCACCACCCCCTCCTCTCACCCCTCCAACACCATCTGGAGGAGTCCAGATGATGGCAGTTGTGAAAGAGGAAGGGGCCCAGTGAATTTTGCAAGTGTTTGTAGAGATGCAAACAAATGACGCATGAAAACTCTTGGAGAGTTTTCATGCGTCATAGGTCCCACACCCCCAGGGGCCATCCCACTGGTGCATGAATGGCCCTGAACTGCCATGCTCAGGGTCATTCAGGCTCATTCTCACCCCACCGCCTGCCTGGTTCACCCCACCACCACCTCCTCACCCTCCTCACCCTCTGCCGCCGCGTCTCGTCATCTGACACACCCAGGGGCCATCCAACGACGCCCCTGGTGCACGAACAAGTCTGAACTTCAGTGTTTGGGCTCATTTTAGGCTCGTTCTCACCCCGCCGCCCACCTGGTTCACCCCACCACCACCCGCCTCGCCCTCCTCACCCTCTGCCGCCGCCTCTTGCCATCCAACACCCCCAGGGGCTGCAGCCATGTCAGCTACAATTCTATATCAAACACTGCCTTTAAGCAGTGTGACAGGATCAGTCCTGGCTGTCATAAAGCAGTCAGGCTGTTGGAGGGGCCATGCTGGGACTGCCGTGTCTCGGAGATGGGAGCAGGACCCATCAACACAGACAAACAACGCAGGAAACAATGCCTGAGCATTGTTCCTCATTGTTTTTGGCATTCCCAGCCACATTTTCAATGGGGAAAAGGCTCCAATGATGAGGAAACATATTTCCTCATCGTTGTGCACCATTTCCCCCATTGTCGGGGGGCAGGATTGGGTGGATTGGGCCAGGTGCGTTTGGATGACACGGCCTTTTTTTGGGGCCCCAGAACTATTTTTAGGTCATGATGTAATTACCATGACACAGCCATTATCATGCTCTCGCCGTCGTCTGTTACGACTTCCGGCCAGCTCAGGGGTATCTTAGCACACGAAAGAATTTACAAAAAAATCATATTAAATTGAAATAAAATATATACATGGTGCAGGTGGCTCTACCAGCCACCTGCTGTGAAATAAAGAGAAAACAAGCAGAAACAGCATGCCATGAACACACCATTTCTGCTTGGTGACCCTTCCTCTGCTCATCGTTGGGCCCTCCTCCACTCGGTGGGCTACCCTCCTCCTCCTCTTTTTGGTGTTGGGGGCTGTTCACCCCTCCCCTGCTCATTGGGGGTCATTTTCCCCTCTGTTGCTCATTGGGGGTTGTTCAGCCCTCTGCAGTTTGTTGGGGGGTGTTTGCCCCTCTTCCACCCTCCTCTGCCCATCGTTGGGTCGCCTCTGCCCTCTGCCTGTCTGTTCAGCCCTCCACCCCTCGTTGGGTTTGTTTGCGAGGCAGAGGGCAATGGCAATGGTGGAGGTCAGGGGGGATGTTGAAGGTGAGAGGGCGAGAGGCGAGGGCAAAGGCAAAAGGGCAAAAGGGCAAAAGGGTGAAAGGGTGAAAGGGCAAAAGGGCAAGCAGCCATGTAAGCTAGAAAAATATAGAATACAAGGCAGTTTCCTAACTATGAATTTAAGTCCTGGAGGGCAATATGCTACCTTCCGCTTTGGGAAGGCTCTCCTAAGAAGAGGGAGGGGTTGCCGGGTGCCCAGCATCTGCAAGGGTGATGAGGAGGGGGTAAATAAATTAGTAAGCATCCATTTCCAGGTGGGTGGGTGGTGGGAGGTGCAGGAGGGTGCGGAATGGGGGCAGGATAGGCCAAGCAGGACAGGCCCCACTGCAGAGAACTGGTCATGTGACCTGTTTGCTCTGCAGCCTCAACTGGGGCCATTTTTTGTGAAAAAAGTGCCCAGGGCCAATGTGATAGTATGTTACTGTATGTCATAAAAAAATCAGGAGAATCTGGGATGTGGAATGTTGCAAAACGGCGCGTATGAGGTGTCACCTTAACATGGCACACATTTATTTTTAGCACAAGCTGCTAAATTGGGATCTGGCATCAAAATAGCCATTGCTGGCGCATTTCGGACTTGTTTGGCTTCCCCGTGGGTGGAAATTGATAGGAAAGATGACGCGATAATTTTTAGGGCATTCATAGCTACCTGTAGAGACCCAGAACATGTGAATACAACCATTTTTGGCAATGTTATGGCCTAAACTGTGCTTCTATGCACAAAAATGCGAAAATGCGCACCTAATGCTCTGCTTCTCATGCATGCCTGCCTCATAAAAACTAGCCAATAATTTAGTATGCTGCTAGAGCTTCAGAACGAGCCAATAATAATGGTCTTGCATGCATTATTGGTTATGTAATGGGCCTTTCGATGTTTATGTGCTAAAAAACCGAAAAAGCGCACTCAAATCTCTATGCCACACATGTATCTATCCTTTCCAAACATTATGCGTTCAGATAGAGGTTATCAAAGGCTACAAAACGCACTATTCAGCGTCTCCACGCGTTCATTTGTTCCAAAGATATACCTACAACACTCCTCATCCCTCAATATCACAAAAAGCGAACTTCTGTATCTCCCCCAATTCTTATCCAAGACCTGCAGAACTTTTCAGTCAGTCTCACCCAGTGCCCTAGTCACTATTTACAATCACATAGCATGGTATAGACTCCCCTTTAATCGATCGCCACCAGAAAGCCAGAAATGCGCCCTCCATTTACCATTCCCCAGGTTATTTATGTGAGCTGTAACATATATGCATATTAATAGTAGCCATATAGGTACCTCCATGCAAGAATACAGGAGTTAATAATGCCAAATGCACTTGCAGTGGCCAATTTCGGGTTTTCTACCTATAATCACCTTGCTTGCCCCATGGGATGCCCAATTCTTCACCAATCTTCAAGAAGAAACATGTCCCAGGATCGGAACAATCTCCTCTTCAAATTCCAACACCTCCGAGACAACCAATGTGACACCTTAGATAACATAAAAATCAAACTGATTGCCACTTTTAAGGAAATCAAGGATATATATAAGTAATCAGACAATGCAGAGACATTCTACTGACTACTTCTAAGTGTCCTCAAAAAGTTCTATTGTAATTGGGTCATTGTTGAAGGCAGAAGGTCTGAAATGAACCTCAAACAGACTGGTGATGAGTGGTGATCACCATATTGCCTAGTTTGTCAAATGTGTTCACCCCGGAAACTGGAGGTAGTATCATTGCTCACACCTCTGAGAAGGGTTTACAGACACTGATAATTACTCTACTCTATAATATCTATTTTAAACATATTTGTACAAAATTTTAGAGCAAAGATTATACCTCCAATCCGAGGTAGAATCTTGGAGAGGGCAAGTGAGAAGGCAGAGGGACAGTTGCATAAATAGCATATTCAGTTCTTATCCAATTTGCATCGGACTTTTTGTAGATCACTCTAACAGTAGTATAGTAGGTATTCCGAGCTATCCGAGGAGATTTTGGGCACTAGAGGACATGCCAGAAGGATGCCATGTCCACCATCAACATTGTGGGAATCTCCCAGGCAAGAAGGAGGAAGTGCCTTTGGTAACGGAATGGGGGTGTTTCTACACAGTCTGTCATCTTGGAGGTGTTGGAATTTGAAGAGGAGATTGTTCCGATCCTGGGACATGTTTCTTCTTGAAGATTGGTGAAGAATTGGGCATCCCATGGGGCAAACAAGGTGATTATAGGTAGAAAACCCGAAATTGGCCACTGCAAGTGCATTTGGCATTATTAACTCCTGTATTCTTGCATGGAGGTACCTATATGGCTACTATTAATATGCATATATGTTACAGCTCACATAAATAACCTGGGGAATGGTAAATGGAGGGCGCATTTCTGGCTTTTCAGGGGGAGGAGGAATGGGTGCTTATATTATATTAAAGGGGAGTCTATACCATGCTATGTGATTGTAAATAGTGACTAGGGCACTGGGTGAGACTGACTGAAAAGTTCTGCAGGTCTTGGATAAGAATTGGGGGAGATACAGAAGTTCGCTTTTTGTGATATTGAGGGATGAGGAGTGTTGTAGGTATATCTTTGGAACAAATGAACGCGTGGAGACGCTGAATAGTGCGTTTTGTAGCCTTTGATAACCTCTATCTGAACGCATAATGTTTGGAAAGGATAGATACATGTGTGGCATAGAGATTTGAGTGCGCTTTTTCGGTTTTTTAGCACATAAACATCGAAAGGCCCATTACATAACCAATAATGCATGCAAGACCATTATTATTGGCTCGTTCTGAAGCTCTAGCAGCATACTAAATTATTGGCTAGTTTTTATGAGGCAGGCATGCATGAGAAGCAGAGCATTAGGTGCGCATTTTCGCATTTTTGTGCATAGAAGCACAGTTTAGGCCATAACATTGCCAAAAATGGTTGTATTCACATGTTCTGGGTCTCTACAGGTAGCTATGAATGCCCTAAAAATTATCGTGTCATCTTTCCTATCAATTTCCACCCACGGGGAAGCCAAACAAGCCCGAAATGCGCCAGCAATGGCTATTTTGATGCCAGATCCCAATTTAGCAGCTTGTGCTAAAAATAAATGTGTGCCATGTTAAGGTGACACCTCATACGCGCCGTTTTGCAACATTCCACATCCCAGATTCTCCTGATTTTTTTATGACATACAGTAACATACTATCACATTGGCCCTGGGCACTTTTTTCACAAAAAATGGCCCCAGTTGAGGCTGCAGAGCAAACAGGTCACATGACCAGTTCTCTGCAGTGCCCCGGGGTCCTGCTTGGCCTATCCTGCCCCCATTCCGCACCCTCCTGCACCTCCCACCACCCACCCACCTGGAAATGGATGCTTACTAATTTATTTACCCCCTCCTCATCACCCTTGCAGATGCTGGGCACCCGGCAACCCCTCCCTCTTCTTAGGAGAGCCTTCCCAAAGCGGAAGGTAGCATATTGCCCTCCAGGACTTAAATTCATAGTTAGGAAACTGCCTTGTATTCTATATTTTTCTAGCTTACATGGCTGGAGCCATGGCGCCTCATACTTGTGCCATGTAACATTCAGACCTCGTCTCGCCCGTCATCCACCCTTCCTCTTCAAGCAAGGACAGGGCAATGAGGAGGATGAGGATGGGGCGACGAGGACAAGGACAGGGCAATGATGAGGACAGCAACAGGGCGACAATGAGGACGACAATGAGGATGACTATGAGGACAACTATGAGGGTGACTATGAGGGTGACTATGATGGTGACAATGAGGGTGACAATGACAGGGTGACGACGATGATGACAGGGTGATGGCAAGGATGGCGACAGGGCAATGGCAAGGATGGCGACAGGGTGACAGGGCGACGACAACGACAACGACATGACGATGGCAAGCAGGCAAGGACGGGGCGACAGGACGACAGGGTGACGAGGACGACGATGGGACAAGGGAAAACACCGCGCAAGGATGACCACAGTGCCAACCACAACCATGGAACAAGTACAACAATGAGCACGGCACAAGGCAAGAGAAGCACAACAAGCATGGCAGGAGGGCAAATGAGGCCAGCGCAGGGCAGGGTCCACCCAAGCAGAAACAGTGCATCCATGGCACACTGTTTCTGCTCGTTTTCTCTATATCTCACAGCGGGTGGCTAGTAGAGCCACCCGCACCCTGTATTTATTTTAATCACAATTTAATATGATTTTTTCTAACAATTTTTGGTGTGGCCTGAAAATGACTGAGCTCGCCAAACGTCGTAATAGACAACGGCGAGCATTATTTGCCCCAAGCTATTCTGGGAATGCTCAGGAGCTTTAGGGTAGTACTAAAAATAACCGATGTCTGGAAAAAGGCCGCGTCATCCAGATTGCCCCTACCCAATCCAGCCTATCCTGCCCCCTCAACAGTGGGGGAAATGGTGCACAACGTTGAGGAAATATGTTTCCTTGTCATTGGCACCTTTTCCCTGCTGAAAGTGGGGGCAGGAGCACCACAAACAATGAGGAACAGTGTTCGGCCACTGTTTCCTGCATTGTTTGTGTGTGTTGACAGGTCCTGCCCACAGCTGCGACCCCTGGCAGATCCGGCAAGGCCATCCCAATGAACTCCAGTAGGTGGACTGTAAAAACACAGTCCTGATCTATGAGGCTACCCTGTAAAAATACAGTGTTTGATATAGAAATGTAGCGGACATGGCTGTGCCCTTTGGGAAGTTTCAACGCGTATACCAGAAGGGCCTTGGTTGGGGAGGCGGACATCTTTTAGTAGTTAACCTAGTACCCAGGTCGCATAGCATATATGTTCTGTAGATAGCAAGCGGGCTGCCATTGAACACCGCTATATACATTGTTGATCAAAAAAAAAAAAAAATGCACAATAATGTTGAGAAGCTCTCCTTGAACATAGCTGGTGTTCTTGTTTGGAACCTTCAACCAAGCTCGAACAGTTTTAAAGACGATATCTTTAATCTCAATGCTATAATTGTTCTTGCTGAAGCAGAATTGAGGCAATTTAGTTGTGTACTGCACATCGTCGGCACTAGACATAAAATCTTTGGCCTTGAGAACTAGCTCTGAAGGTCGATTGACAGTATTGTGGATGATCATAGTGATATGTTTGCTCAAATTTGCAACCCATGGTGCCATCTTGTGTCCATCTACTTCCAGAATGATGTTTTTCAGCCAAGTGTGGATTTTCCATGATGTATACATTATACAACTTTTCATCATCATGGTCTCCAGATTTGAAGTATGAGCTTGTTTGACAATATATTCAAAATTGGTCCAAAATGATGCCAGCTTCTTTGTGGTTGTCCAACTGTCAGGTTTCTCTGAAATGGCATGCAAAGTGTCGGCACAGATATTTCCAGTTGTTTGAGATTCCTTCTGTTGCTTTTCCTCTATACAAGCAGCAATACCATACTGAATATTCTCAATTATATCAATGATAGTATTGATGTTAATCAATGCAAAAGGGCCTGAACGATTTGAACTTAGTCAAAAAATAGGAATATGAATTAATATTTCTTACCCAAATATGGTGTAGGACCATCAGCATCTATGTTGACATCTGATAGGATATTTTCATGAGTTGAAGTTGACATTGTTGGCATTGTAAAAACAGCGTATTGTAGCTCTTCTTTAGGATCAAGCCATATCTTCTGTAAGGGTTTTGCATTTGCTGGAGTATCGTCCTCAAATTCACTTTGTGAAGTATTGCTCTGAGATTTTTGCTTTAGAATAAACAACAATTTGTTTAAAAAATAAATGTACTTCTTCTAGCTGCTCATCTTCTTCATTATGCTGGAATAATATATTAATAAGCGCACAATTGTACCAGATAGGGTGAAACACATGCCATGTTTACATCACTGAAGACAGCTTTTTCCTTTCCTTTTGACTGAGATGCTTATACTATATTCAGCACATTTTATAAGTGCAATATGTTTGATACTCTTACCTGGTGATTCAAATATATAAAATTCAGCCAGGTCATGAGCCATCATTCCTCCCATTTTGTCAGCTGGAGTTGTATAAACCGGAGTGGAAACTGTTTTTTGCTTCTTGTTTGATGAATCTGATTATATGAATATAATGAGATTCAGCAAATAAATCATATAATAGAAGGTACCCACTATTGTTAGCATTATTTGGTTTTCTCTTAGAAGTATTTTTTGGAACTTGAGTATCATTCTTCTTCTTTCTTTGAGCAATTCCCAGTTGTCCTTCCTCAATTTCTCTTCTCATTAAATCAAAGTCAACCTCAACTTGAGATGGCATGTACTTTGAACACTTCTCAATGTAGTCAACCATCTTGAGCAATAGTGTTTTATGGTTTGAGTTCTTTCTGGGTGCTTCTAGCCAATGACAAGGAGAGATATCTTGTCCTTTATGCTTTACAGTAATTGAGGACATGAGTTTGACAGGATCAATATCAAATTCTTCAAATGGAAGTTGTGTTCCAAAGTACCGCACTAAAAGATACATATTGTTGAAGAAAAAATTGACAAGTGATTGAGGCTCCATGATAACAGCTCCATCGATAGCATAATTTGCTGATTCAGAAACCGATGTGCCATCATATCTGCTAAAATCTTTATAAATAATCTGCTCATCAAGTATTCAGAATAAGCTTACATATAGCCAGAAATTTCTGGCAGAATTGAAAAGTTCTGATTTTTTGTCCAATTTGCCAATGGAATCATGCTATTTCCATTTCCAAGCATTATAGATCATGGAGAATATGAGACCAAGGCAAATCAAAGAGCATCATGTGCTACTTCCTCTCCTGGAGGTGCAATTGGAGGAGATCCGCCATGTCAAGTGAGACCGCAGAAGTTCATGACCATTAAAGGCTGCAGAACAAAGTAGCATCCAAGAGCTAAAAGGTGGAATCTTCCAGGTTCATAGTTGCTTGGCAGATTGCTATTCGCAATCATTGAAGTCATTGCTGCAACCCAATCAAAGCCATCGATATGACCATCTGTCGATCCAAATTCACCCATCCCTTCAAGACCCTTTTCTAAAACACACTCAGAATAAGCCTCTTAGATATCTAACACAAACTTACCAGTGCATTCTTCATAGCTTACAGCTGGTGCTATATTGAGTTGCATTGCAGGAAAGGCAAAGTTATCTTCAATACCAATCCTAGGTACGTTGTGGTAACAAGAATGTTCTTCCAGAATTTCTAGCATTTCAGCTGGTGCATACATTCTCATTGACATCATTGAGACTGTGGCACATAGCTGCCATAGATTTAACAAATTCAGACTTGTGTTCTTTTACAATCACAAAATCTTACCTTTGCAATTTTTTGACGGATTTTTTCATTTGGTGTCAGCTCTCCATTATAGATTTTACTACTAGCTGCAGGTCCCACAATGGTGGGTGAATGTTGGTGCGACATGCTTATACCAAAGCATCGTAAATCCTTCACACCAGGATCGATACCCCGGCGTTCAAAGCCAGTTCCTCCCACCAATACACCATTGATCATAATAGGCCTGTCCAGAGTGACCTGGCTTTTGTCCCCCATAATCTCATCATGGAGATGGAGGAGGTCCTCCCTGAGAGTCTGGTTGAGTAGCCTCATATGGTGTCAGAATCATCTCTTAAAAGAAAAGAACATAATTTACCCATCAAAACACCAAGCAACAATTAGATCCTTTTCAGATTCGAGGTTTCCAATAGGTCTAGCATATATAATAGTGCCATCGGTGATACGAAATAGTCCTGACAATTAGGTGTTAATGACTGAGACAAAAATAACAGCATAATTAGAGCATACCATATCGTTTCATAAGGTTATCAGGTCCAAGAGGCACATATAATTTATTTTCCCAACTGTACATAGAGCAGAGGGCTTCATTGGATGTGTCTTGAATGTAAACCAGAATTCTCTTGACATACTGCTGGTGTAGGATGAGTGGATGATCTGGTACTTCATAAATATAAGGAAAATTGGCATGGCGGGAAGGCGAGGATATAAGTGTGCCATTAGGGACAACAAATCTGGGGTCTGAGGGTCCCTGAAGATTCATAGAGGGCCCGACAAAGGGATAGACCACCGAAGAAGAGGCTGGAGAAGCCATTGTACCAGATATAACAGGGTTTGATAAGTAGTGGCTGTTTAGTAATGCTAAGCTGGTGGCTGAGTCGGTCCCATGCCCCCAGCTAGCACTACAATATCGGAGGAACCCACAAAGGGTGAAGGCACCAGGAAAAGTGCCTGGAGGAGTCCAGATGATGCCAGTTGTGAAAGAAGAAGGGGCCGAGTAAATGTTACAAGTGTTTGTAGAGAGCCAAACAAATGACGCACATGTCAACTTTGGACCACCAGCCTGTGCGCTCCAACTACCTGTGCTGACTTCACTGTCAGTGGGTTCCTCCCACCATCTAGTGCCCCCAGGGGCCATCCAACAACGCCGGTGTTGCACCAACCGCCACCCCCTCGCCCTCCTTGCCCTCTGCCACTGCCTCTCGCCATCCAACACCCCCAGGGGCCGTCCAACGATGCCCCTGGTGCGCAAACCAGTCTGAAATGCGACGTTCAGGGTCATTCGCACTTGTTTTGCCTCTGTGACCTCCCCCTTATCCTTGTATCTTGTCTATACCATAATTTAATTGTATCTAGCTTTTTCTTTTGTTAAATATGAACATTATGTATTCATTCATTCATCTGACATAAGTATCAGCAAAGGCCTTCAACCCTCAGAGCCACTTAGGACTTTGCACCGTCCTTTGTTTGCTTTAGAGGTGCAACAAATACAAGTACGCATTTGTCTACATTGCCAGCAAATTGCTTTCTTCTGATCTCTTCCTCATCTTCTTACCATCTAGCTCCTTTCTTCATCCCTCTAGGGCATATTTGATAAGTGGATATGGTACCGAACCGATTCACTCTTCTCTGAGCCCAATCTATCTTCTTTCTATTCATCAGCAAGCTCCTTTCAAGCTTTAAATATGGTACCAAACCAGTCCTGGATTTGTGGAGTTCCACTTTCCAGGATCCGACCTACCAAGGCTCCGAGTTCCTGGAGCTTCAACGGCCTGACAGGAAGCCGATCCAGCCATTGTACCTCAATGGGGGACCTTGGCTTTCATGCTTTGGACACAGTATCACTGAGTTCGCTTGCGTCTGCTGGTGTATAACTGGCCACATGCCTATTGGAGCATATTATCGTCACTTCAAGATTAATGAGCCTCATGGCTGCACGTGTGGGGCTGCTCTGCAGTCTCGCCAGCATATTCTCTTTCACTGCCGCAATCGATACTCTACACACTACCCCCATTTTCTCGGGGATATTGCATCCTTCATGAAGTACAACCCTACGGTGTTTGGCTTCAACTGGGACCCTTCAGGTGTTGGATAATCGCTGCAGGCAGGGTTGTTCCCCCTTTCAGGGGATTTATGGTGAATTGACACCACCAAGCTCTAGGGTTTGAAGACCTGCACCTGCAACAACTCATTCGTGCCTGCGGTCCGCTATTATAGCAGGTTGCAGCGCTACTAACTTTCTGCGTCTGGTTTCAGGCAGGTGCACCTCTGGCTTGTTGGCCTTAAGACACCCTGCCACCTCCTGGGTGGTGCTTTTCTTATCTCATCTGTGCTGCGTAGCCTCCAAACAGCAATCGACAACTTTGGGGTGTAGCGAGACCTCGATGGTTTCCTTCCCTTATCCCGATGCACTGTTTTCGCAAGGTGGGTTGCCCTCTGGGGAGTTTAGGTGTTTGAGCCCAAAGGGTCTTGGTTGGGAGGGCGGTCGTCTTTTAGTAGTTTATCTAGTACCCAGGCTGCATAGCATACGTGTTTGTAGATAGCAAGCGGGCTGCCATGGAGCACCACTATATAAGTTGTTGATCAAAAAAAAAAAAGAAAAAAGAAAATGGTACCAAACCAATTCAAGCCCCCAGACATTTGGACCTTTAACATGCCAATTCCCATGGCGTCAGTCTATGCTCTTGAGATATCTGATAGCCCACCGCTAAACCAGGTTGTAGCCAGGGAAGGGTCCTTGTTTTAAATGGGCACATTGTTTATTCTCCTAACAGCACCTTGGACGTTGCTCTCCCTGCTCCAGATCCTGACAAAGGAAGGTTCAACAATGTCTTCAAGCAAAAACATGACAATCCTTCCTGGTACTTGCAACCCGGGTGGTGGAACTTAAGATGGGGATGGATGGCATTCATTCCTCAGCACCCAGTTTTTACTTGGTGTTGTGGGCCATTGCTTTGCATGGCAGTTACGAGTTCTTTTTTTCTGTCTTATGTCTTTATCCATCACTTTTATTGTGCTACTTAATTCATCCCTACTATCTACATACAGCAAGTCTACTAATAGCATACCTATGCCTTGGCATAAATGGCACACACAGCACGCCTCAAATTGCACTTCATCAGCTTTTTATCAGTATATTCTGCCACCTTCAGAATACAATTTCTCTCAGTTTCAATTCCATCATAATACCAGACATCTCCTATATCTGAAATAATACAGGCTGTGAAATGATTAGAGCCAGCATAGATCACACCTCGCACTGGAAGAATGTGCTTTCTTCCATCAACAGTATGTGACTTGACTGATTTGCTAATTGCAATTTCTGTAACCTCAATATTGAATACAATGATCTTTGGAGGTACATTGTATAGCCGCTGGACTTGTGCATTTGATCCACAAGTTTTGCAATGTTCCTCTGAGGCCTGCCAATTTTTAAAGATAGCACTCACAGTTTTGTCAGCTGATGACTGTATAAAAATATGACTCTGAGGAGCAGTATCCAACTCTGTAGTAGAAGAACAAGACTTGCATATTTTTTGTCCAGTCCCAAGCCGTTGTCCATCTTGAAAGAGTGTGCCTACCAACTCATGTACATCTGTTCCAGTCATCCCATAAGGGAATGCTTGAGGACTTCTGGTATGTAGATTCTTTCTGACTCTGTCACAAATTTCTTCAAATCCAGCTCTGCCACGTATAACTTCTGAAAATCCATTTGAAAGCTGCTGGCCATAGAGAAGATATTTTGATAGATGGAATGACCACTTTGTTGGACCTCCAGACCAGAGGTAAAAGAGAATAGTGAAGAGAGAATCATATGAGCAGCTATAGTCTACAGAGTCCCATTTCAAGCCAAGAGGCATTTCCTGAGACTTATTCTTTGTTTTCTGCTGTTTAGCTGGTTTAGTATCATTGTCAGAATTCAATTTCTGCTTCACAGTTATGAGGCCTTTTTAAAGGACTCATTCTTTATCAGCCCAGGACTTAGACAGAATTTTCATTCATTAATCCATCAAGACCACAGCAAAAATCTTCCAAAAAAGGAAGTTTTGATCAAAAAGATAGATATTCTTTGGGGCTTCCTGAATCTTCTTAGATCATGTGATTAGCTTCATTTCTTATGGAGATATTAATGATCTACTGTCAATTTTTTACAAAAAAGTGTTCTGTTTTTTTATTTTATTTTGCATTTTCCTCAATGAGGAATAAAGCTAGTCACATGATGAGACCACATATAGACTTGCCAAGACACTCTCCACCTTTTGTATTTTTGCCTTATATGGCAGTTTGTTCCCACAGATCACATGCCCACTCTCCAGACATGAAATTCTCTCAAAAATGAATTTCTGGGGCCAGATTAGATTAGATTAGTCTGCTTATTCAGCATCTAAAGACAGCCTGCCCTCAACTTGGGCTTGCCAGCTCATCACTTTCCCCCAATCTTGTTTTCCTCTTTCCTCCACAACCAATGCAGCTATCCCTCCAGTTCTTTTTGCTATGGCTTCAGGCCACTCTTCTCTATCTTCTGATAGCATTCTCTACTCCATCAGGGTCAGGGATGCTCCAGAAAATCACAAACACTGTTGATCTTTATCAAGATCAAGCTGATCTGGCCAGTAAGTTGTTTTTTCACTATCTTCCAGATGTTTTCTGACTAGAATATAATGTTTCTCAATTAGATCTTGCATCTCTCTGCTCTACTGGCCTGTCAGAAGGTATGTTTCAGCTCTTTTCAGTGTTCTAGCTTAATTTTGCTGTTTTTGAGAGATTTGCTGATCAATCTTTTCATTTTCTTTTAGATACTACTTTTTCTGAGGCTTCTGATCAGAAAAATATTGTTTCTGACTATTCAGGTGAGTTTCGCTGTCAGAATCTTTCAATTTCTCTCACTGAAGCTTAGTTTTAGAAAAACACCAAAAAATCAATTCTGCTGTTTTGCATATGTCTAATCATTATTTTTCAAATGAATTCTGGCTCATATTTAGATATAGAATCAACTAGTTTGGGTGGTATTCTCTGACAAGAATATGTTTATTATCTTCAACAAGATTTGTCTCATATCAAATCATTTCGACAAGTTTGTTCTTGTGTCAATATGTCTCTACAAGGTTCATCTTGTGTTAAGTCATATCTACAGGTTCTATCTCATGTCAGTACATCTTTACAAGTCCCACCTCATGTCAGTATGTTTTTACAAGTCCTATCTTGTGTCAAGTCAGTCATATGCTCTCTATCATATGTTGAGTTATGTTTACAAGATTTATCTTGCCTCAGATTGTGTGTACAACATTCATGTTGTATCACTGTTGATAGTGGGACTCTGTCTCTAAGTTTTGAAACCCAAGTTAGAGGGACTTTGTCTCCAAGCAGAGTTAACAAATTTTTTATGATGATCAATTTGAAAATTTGAAATTGACAATGAATTATGACAATGAAATTTTGATCTATGAATTTAAAAAGTCAATTTGCTTTGAGCAAAATATTGACAAGTGTTATCCAGACTCAACTTATTGGTCAGAATTATATCACAAGCTTTCTTCCTCTTTTATTTTGCACTTTAATATTCACTTCCTGCTATCAATTTTAAATATAGTTGATATCACCACACAAGATTCTCTTGTGTTCATTAAGTGTTAATTAATCAAGCTCCAATTATCACGTTACTGTCGATATCGTCATGATTATGCTGCATATGTAAATCAACTTGACATCTATCATCCTATCCTAATTTGTCCAGAATTCTTTCAGGAAATTTTGATCAATCAGCATATTCTCTACTTGCAAATTCTAACTTTATTATTTAACTGTTTATATATTTCTGAAAATTCACAATTTTACACTATTCCTTCTCATAAGATAGTATCTTCTCATGTACAAGGTGGTGCTCCATTACATATGTTTGATGCTGATGATCTTATCAAGTATTCTGAGAAATGCCAGATTAATTGTCAATATTCATTTGAAAATCACATATCTCAGACAGATTTCCCAAAATTTGAATCATCAAATAATCTTGTCATTGAAAATCTGTAACGACCGTGCTGGGTGGGGTGGGGACTTGGCTTCAGCTTGACGGAAAGGGCAGCTGCGCCACCACGCAATGTCTGGGTGTCCCCGATTTTGGATGAACAGGGAGGAGCCGGATTCCGGCAGTGAACTAGAGCAAAGGGGGTATGTTGAGTTTGATATTCCGACTGAGGAATCTACTACTGTACATGGGTATTTATGCTATGTAGGATAATGGACCATGATTATGTAATAGATAACTTAGCTGGGACAAGGAGAACAATGAAGGACAATGGGACAATGGCTGGGAGACACAATGGAGTGAGCCGGAAACATGGCTTGCCTCGGAAGTGCCTCGGAAGCGCACGGCTCATTCCCAGATGTCTCGGAAGTGTCCCGGAAGAGCACGGCTCATTACCACAAGCCTCGGAAGCTGGATACAGCCTCGGGAGCCGGATAATTGTGCCGGGAGCCAGGGACAGGTTGTGACAAAATCTACCATTACATATCATTGTCAAGCATTTGAGTATTAAATATCTGAAATTGATTGCTTCTGCTCATAGTATTAAGTTCCACTCAAAAATTAAGATTACTGATTTACAGACATCAATTCTTTCACATATCTGTAGTAACTGTTCTGTATTCTATTCAGTATTTAAGTGTCATTATCTACAAGCCAAAGCAGAGAAAAGAAAGTCACAGATTCTTGAGCAGGTCAATAAGTACAAAGCAGCTAATCCTGAGAAATATAAAAATAACAATTTAAATGCAGTTAAGCGATATCAAAGTGCAAGTCCTAAAAAGATTTGAGCTGATAATTTGAAGTCAGTTAAAAAATATCAGACCAAATTAAATACACAGTTTCCACCTTTATCTTTATCAAAACATTTGCAGCATAAAGTAATAACAAGCTTTTGTCAGAATTCTGTACCTTCAATATTTGAAGAAAGTGGTTGTTCTGTTTGTGGAAAATTGACTGTACTTACTGACTTGCAAAAGCTATCAGAAACTCAGCTAAATCTAGATATATTATATCAGAAAGGAGTAGCAGTAAAGGAAAGATTCACAGGTACTGATACTTTCACTGATATCACAGGACCTGTTCTTGAAAGCAATCTTGACTCAGTTTGTTCAATATGTTACAAATCATTATCTAAAGGGAAATTACCAGTACTAGCTCTGGCAAATGGAAAATGGATTGGCAAAGTTCCATCTCAGCTTCAGAATCTTTCATATGCAGAGCAACTTCTAGTAGCTCGAGTACATCACAACAGGTGTCTCATACGAGTTTCATCTGGTATGCATAAAATGCAAGCTAATGCTATTTCATTTGCTAATCCAATGCCCAAAATTTACAACACTCTTCCACCTCCAATTGAGGAGCTTGATGATGTTTTGGCATTTATTTATACTGGTCCTTGTAAACCAACCAAGTCTGACTTTGAGAGAATTCCACTGCTTGTCTGAAGAAAGAAAGTTGCTGCTGCACTCGAGTGGTTGAAGTTGAATCACTGTGACTATTTTGACTTGGAAATTTCATATGATAATCTTGAGAAGTATCCAGAAGATGAGCCTCCAGTAGTAGTCGAGTACAAAGAATCATTCTCAAATAAAGATCCTGAGTCAACAGCTGTCAATGACATGGAAGATGAAGCTGGAGTTGAGAGTGGAACTTGTCCATTTATTGTTCATGGTGTTACTGCTGAAGAATATTCATCTAAAAGTCTTAAAGCACTCAAGGCAATTGCACTCAAGCATTTGACAGATAATGGAAAGATTCTCGCTATTAGACATAGTAAAAATCCTGAGTCAATATATCATAATCCACAGCTATTTCCTCAGATGATGCCATAGCTCTTTCCATATGGACTTGGTGGAATTGGAAATGCTCTTCAGAAGAATCGAGTATCAGAGATTGCACATAAGAGACACTTACTTATGTATTATGATAAATGGTTTCAGACAGATCCTCACTTCCCCCTCATTGCCTTCAATCATGAGCAGATTAAAGAGTGCACAACTGCTGGATATTTATTAGCTGAGAAGCCCAAGTTTGATCAGATATCTGAACGACTTCTTGATATTGATGTTGAAGTCCTGTCAGATTTAATTAAGCGACTTGAGGATAATGAACATGTTAAACCAGAGTCTGAAGAAGAAAAGCTATGCTTCCAGCTAATTAAAGACTTGGACCATGTTGGTGGATTTGTTAAAGGATCAGTTACAAGCAAGAAGTATATGCGAAATGAAATCTGGTCACTTATTTCATTTATTGGTGCACCTTCCTGGTTTATAACTTTTGCTCCAGCTGATAATAAACATCCAATCTGCCTGTATTTTGCTGATACCAAGGAGAAATTTAGTCCAATATTGAGAGAGGATAATGAATGCTTCAGACTTATTGCACATAATCCAGTAGCTGGTGCAAGATTCTTTCACTTTATCTGTCAGCTATTTATCAAGCATATACTTGGGGTTGGAGCCAAACATTCTGGAATATATGGTAATACTGATGCCTACTATGGTACAGTTGAGCAGCAGGGTCGACTTACTCTTCATATGCATATGCTTATCTGGATTAAAAGTGCTCTATCACCTCAGGAAATTCGTGATAAAATCATGGACCCAAATTCAGACTTTCAGAAGAAAATTGTTGAGTATTTAGAAAGTGTTCATGTTGGAGAATTTCTTACAGGATCCAAAGATGAAGTCAAAGAAAATATTGAGACTGTTAAAATGAATAAAGATTATCAAGATCCAACTCAGACACTGCCTGTTCCACCACCACCAGAATGTAAAGACTTGTCATGCGAAGGAACTTGTTGCAACTGTGCTGAGCTTGAGACTTGGTGGTCAAAATTCAAGACTACAGTTGATGATCTTATTTTCCGCTCTAATATTCATACTTGTCAAGACTAGAATTCAGATGAGAAGGTAGCTAAGAAGACTTGACCAGGCTGTATAAATAAACATGGAAACTGTAAAGCCCAGTTTCCAAGACAGACCTATAATCAGACTGAAGTAGATCCCAAGACTGGAGCACTTAATATCAAGAAAGGAGAGGCTTCAATCAATACATTGACTCCAGTTGTAACCTATCTTCTACGATGCAATTCAGATGTTACAAGTCTTTTATTGGGTACTGCTATTAAAGCTATTGTGGCTTATATCTCTGACTATGTGACCAAGCCAGGCTTGAAGATTTATAGCATCTTTGATGTTGTAAGAACCATCTTTACAAAAAAATAGTGAGATGTTGAGCAGCTCTTTAACTCAAGTAGAAAAAGCACATAAGCTAGTGACTCAAATGGTGAATGGATTTACTGCCAAGATGGAAATTGGAAGTCCAATGGCTGCATTATATCTTCTAGGAAATCCTGATCACTATACCAGTCATAAGTTCATTACTGTCTACTGGAAGAATTATGTTAGAGAAGTTCTGAAGTCATGGAAATCTGATGAAGTACTGGATGACTTGATTCCAGAGAAAGTGGTTCTTTGAAAGACAAAAAGTGGACAGTATGTTGGATTCTCAGCAGTGCATGACTATGTCTATTGACCAGCAGCATTTGAAGACAAGACACTATATGAGTGGATTCAAATGAGTGTTAAAATCAAAGCTTCTCACTCTCAACAACATAACAAAATTGAATCAGATGATGAACTTGATTTATTTGCCCAGCCATCTTTTGAAGCCAAATTTAAAACTGCTAGCCCTTCAAAATTCAAAGCTACAGTTGAGGATGTAGATGAAAGTGAAGATGAACTTAATATTCTTTCTGGTGATGAGTTAGAAGAGTATAAGAGTGAATCTGAATCTGAATCTGAATCTGAATTTAAAGAGACTTCTGATGGTAAAACTTACTTATTTTTGAAGGATCATTCTATGTATGAAACTCAACAAGTTGTTTTTAATGAGAAAAGAAAAAGTATTGTACCCAACTTTGTAGGTGGATCACTTCCAAGATGTGATAGAGGAGACCGAGAATATTACTGTGCAACTATGCTTACTCTCTTCAAGCCTTGGAGAACAGGAAAAGATCTGAAGACTGAGATTGATACTTGGGATAATACTCTTAATACTTTCAGCTTTACTGACTATCAAAAGCAGCTTATGAAGAACTTTAATATTAGATATGAATGCAATGATGCTCGTGATGATTATTCTGCTCAATTGAAGAAGAAAAATACTGGAGTATTTCCTCAATTTATGAGTGATGATATACTTGATGATCTTGATGAAGACAATAATAATCAATATAGTGGAGAAGACTTTGGTGATGATGCACCTGATGAAAAATATGAACAGAATAGATATATGAAACCTGGAAGAAAGGGCCAGAAAGATATTGAAGACATGATAGCAGTAGAGACTGGAATTACTGATGCTGGATGGATGGACCAGTCACCCAATGGACTTGATGAAATTGACAAAACACCTGTTGAGCCAGAAGTGATTCAGAAAGGGTCCAGATGGAAAGCCACTGTTGATGAAGAAAGACAGAAGCTTCTGGCTGAGAGAGGGAAGACTATCTCAAAGTCTGCTCAAAAATCATCAGACCCAAATGAAAATAATGTCCAAGTGGTTGACCAGTCATATCTTTTCAAATCCTTCAAAGCACAACACAAGTCTGATCAGAAACTAATTGATGATACTGTTTATAAATTTTCACTGAATAATGAGCAAGAGCAAGCCTTTAGAATAGTTGCTAATCATGCTATAGAGCCTAAATCTGGACAGTTGAAAATGTACTTGGGTGGTATAGGTGGAACTGGAAAATCACAAGTCATCAAAGCCTTGGTGGATTTTTTCAAGTCAAAAAATCAGTCATATCGGATAGTTGTTCTTGGTCCAACTGATACTTCAGCAGCTCTTATTAATGGATCTACCTATCATTCATTTTTGGGAATTAATCCTGGTGGAAATGCAGCCTCAAAAATTGCCCAACTTCAAGCTCTACTTGAAGGTGTTGAGTATATATTTATTCATGAAGTCTCAATGATGTCTTGTATGGATATTTATAAGATTTCTGCCCAGTTAGCCAAAGCTTTGAATGCATTTGACTTGCCTTTTGGAGGAATAAATATTATTTTTGCTGGTGACTTTCCTCAATTGCCTCCAGTTGGTGGACAATCTTTATTTAGTGAATATGTTGGAACTCAGATACATTCTGGACTAACACCAGATCATCAGAAGGCTGCTATTGGAAAGGCTCTATAGCATCAGGTTACTACTATAGTAATACTTTGACAGAATATGAGACAGACTAGTCAAACTCCACAAGATGCAGCTTTGTGAACTGCCTTAATTAATATGCGATATGGTAAATGTACACCAGCTGATATTGGATTTCTGAGAACTCTACAGGCTGGAAAGCAACTAGAACAGCCCAAAGTATCTGCCAAAGAATTCAGAAATGTTGCTGTTATATGTGGTTGTCATACAGAGAAGGATCAGATCAATCAACTCAGATGTCAGAGATTTGCAGAAGAGACTGGCCAAAGACTTACACATTTCTATTCAATTGACAAGTGGGGCAAGGAGAAAGATCCAAGTACAAAGACCAAGTGGGGTCAGTCAAAAGCTGCTTGATCCAGATATGCAGCAAAATATATGGAAACTTAGACCTGGAGTTACAGATAACTTTGCTGGCAAATTATCTTTATGTCTTGGCATGCCTGTTATGATTAGAAATAATGATGCAACTGAACTCTGTATTACCAAAGGTCAAGAAGGCTTTGTAGCTGGCTGGCAAGCAGAGAAGGGACCCCATGGCAAGTGAGTTCTTGATACACTTTTTGTAAAATTGGATAAACCTGCAAAAACTATTCAACTTCCAGGACTTCCTGAAAATGTAGTACCATTAATGAGAGCTACTAAAACTATTCCTTGTAAATTCCCAAGTGATATTATTGAGAGTATTGAGCATCAGCAAGTACAAGTTTTGCCCAACTTTGCAATGACTGACTATGCAAGTCAAGGAAAAACTTGACCATATAATGTTGTTTATCTTGGAAGCTGCTGTTTATCTTGGAAGCTGCTATTCACACATGTCATACTACACTTGTCTGTCAAGGAGTGCTACTGCTGCTGGAACTATCATTCTTCAAGGATTTATGCCCAAGTTTATTACTCAAGGTTGTTCAGGATATCTCAGACAGGAATTCCATGAGCATGAAGTACTTGATGAAGTGACTAGACTCAGATATGAAGGTCTTCTGCCAGCTTATATTCAAGGCTATACTTGCAATACAATTATTAGACAATTCCAAAGATGGAAAGGAGCTAACTATGTTCCAGATAAAGTTGATTCAGCTCTTCAATGGTCTAATCAGGATCCTCTTGATATGCCAGTTGTAACTGATAGTCCTTGGACTTTAATTGACAAGTCAACAAAATTAAAGTTGCTTTGGACAATTCCTGTAACTAATTTTGTACCCGCTAAAGGGAGTACTGCTTTAAAGTGTAAAGCCAGTGAGAGTAATATTTCTAAGCCAAAGAAATCCAGACAAATTATTGAAGAAAATAGCAACTCACCTCAAGGATTTATCTGGGATAATCAAGATTATAGCTGTCCATATGATGGTTTATTTAGCATTCTCTATAATCTCTGGCTTGAAAGTTCTGATGAATGGACTGAGAAATTATCAAGCATTAATGACTATACAAAGCTACTTATAGAAGGCTTTCAAGATGTTGTTCATAGTAGTTCTACTTTAGAAGAGGCCAGAGACAGAGTATGAGAAGAGTTGTATTTTGTAAAGCCAGATAAATTTCCAAAGAGTAGAAATAATGCAAGTGTAGCTGAACTTGCCTTTGAATTATTTAAGACTGATAGTGAAGATGCACAAGTAGAAATATTCTGTAATAATTGTGACTATACTAGAATCTTTTCTGATACTATTGGATATGCTGCCAATCTTGAAGGATATCAAGTCTCATCAACTCAACATTGGATTTCAGATATGAAAGAAAGTTGTCAAGAGACTTGTCCTGAGTGTAGTGAGACTTTGATATACCAGAAAACTTATACTAAGATACCAAAAATATTAGTTCTTGAGTATCCATTCTGTAATATTAGGACAAGTCATAAGATAAAAATCAAAGTTAATAGAAAGACACATATACTAAAATTAAAGGGAATGGTTTATCACACAATGGGGCTTCCAGTGTAGAAATGTCATTTCTATGTGAATGCTCTACGGAATTGTACACTTTGAGTAGAGATTGTCATCAAAGAAATCCTTTTACTTAAAGGCGTGAATAACGTGTAAAAGAGGCCTTTGTTCAAAGTATAGAGGACTGTGGGAGAGATCTGTCTACTTTAACTGGAGAATCTCATAGAAATGTGATTTTTATTTTATTCTCCACTCATGATGGACACAATTGTGGACGAAATCTGGACATTTCACATGGAAGTAAATTTTACCTGGTCATCTCCATGCTTTGTGCGCACACGCGTCGAAAATCCTGGTATATTTAAAGTATAAAGGGGGTTTTCTTTGTTTCGCCCCTTTATACTTTAAATGTAGAGGCATTTTTGATGGGTCAGGCCATTCTAAATGAGGGAGCTTCTGGGGGAAATTTCTCTATTTCAAGTAAAAAATTGTCTTTTTGGTGGTGGTCGAGTTCAAAGGGAGATCATTGTGCTGCATCTGGTTATAGTCGAAGTATAACACTTCATACAAAGGGCTTTTCGACACGAATTACCATTTTGAACAGAAAGACCTTTTAAATGTGGTTTAACACTCTGAATAGAAAGTTATTGTCCACACCTTAACTGAGAACTTTGAGCTCTTTGCACCTGAAGCTCGCCCTGGTGATTGGTTATTGGACTGCTATGCGGACCATCTCCGCTTTGACGAGCATGGGATAGGCGCCCATATCTCGATGAGCTCATTGCAAAAGCGAGGATTGAACCTTTAACGGTACTGGCTGCAACTGATGGCTCTGTCCCTCAGTCCAACCAGTATCAGGCAGCTTTGGCCACCATCATCTACAAGGGACATTGTGAGCTCGAAAGGACTCGCTATGTCTCTGGCAGGGTAACCGCCCCTGATGCGGAACTCAATGCCATCTCATGTGCAGTGCGCCTTGCTGTCAAGCAGGCAAACTGCCAACATATTATGGTCTTTACTGACTCTATGGGCTCAGCCCACAGAGCGGTGGACCCTTCCATACACTCTGGCCAGGCTTTCAGTCTGTCAGTCTGTCGCGCTCTCCAAGAGTGGTTCAAGGCGGATGATCTCCGCCGCATCACCTTCGTTTACATTCCATCTGCATTGCAGTGGGATATCCATGGTGAGGCACACAAGTATGTCACCGAACTCAAAGTTAGGGTTGGACGCCGCAAGACGGACAACTCTATAGACACGCTATGCTCCAAAGCTGCGCACTCAGTCCTGGATTCGTGGAGTTCCACTTTCCAGGATCCAACCTACCAGGGCTCTGAATTCTTAGAGCTTCAATGGCCTGACAGGCAGCCAATTCAGCCATCGTACCTCAATGGGGGACCTTGGCTTTCAACCTTCGGACACAGTATCACTGAGTTCGCTTGTGTCTGCCAGTGTATAACTGGCCACACACCCATTAGAGCGTATTACCGTCGCTTCAAGATTAATGAGCCTCATGGCTGCACTTGCGGGGCTGCTTTGCAGTCTCGCCAGCATGTCCTCTTTTGCTGCCGTGATAGATATTCTGTACACTATCCCCATCCCCGTTTCCTCAGGGATATTGCATCATTTCTGAAGCACAACCCTACAGCATTTGGCTTCAACTGGGACCCCTCAGGTGTCGGATAATTGTTGCAGGCAGGGTTATTCTTCCTTTTGGAGGATTTATTGGTGAATTGACACCCTCGAACCTTAGGGTTCGGAGACCTGCACCTGTTTCACTTCTTCACACTTGTGGCCCGCTATTATAGCGGGTTGCAGCGCTGCTAACTTTCTATGTCTGGTTTCGGGCAGGTGCACCTTTGGCTGGTCGGCCTCAAGACACCCTGCCACCTCCCAGGTGGTGCTTTCTTATCTCATTTGCTCTGCACGACCCCTGAACAGTGATCGACAACTATGGGGCTTAGCGGAATCTCGATGGTTTCCTCCCCTTATCCCAATGCACCGTTTTCGCGAGGTGGGTTGCCCTCCAGGAAGTTTCAATGTACACACCAGAAGGATCTTGGTTGGGGGGGCAGACATCTTTAAGTAGTTTGCCTAGTAACCGGGTCGCATAGCGTACGTGTTTTGTAGATAGCGAGCAGGCTGCCATTGAGCACCGCTATATAAATTGTTGAGAAAAAAAAAATAGAAAGTTATTTTGCATGTCTGCCTCCACCCAAAATCAGCATTTTGCTGTGGCTTTTTCATATAAAGGTCATTTATACCTTGGAACCCCCACTGTGTCATAGTGATAATCATTTTGTATCAAGAATTGTAGGCAATGATGGAACAATCTGGTTTAATGATGGCATGACTACTGGTAGACAATGTACAGAAGATGGGCACTTGACAACTTTTTTTTTTTTTTGATCAACAATTTATATAGTGGTGCTCGATGGCAGCCCTCGCTATCTATAGAACACATATGCTACACAACCCGGGTACTAGGTTAACTACTAAAAGACATCTGCCTCCCCAACCAAGGCCCTTCTGGTATACACATCAAAACTTCCCAGAGGGCAACCCACCTTGCAAAAACGGTGACAAGGGATAAGGGGAAGGAGCCATCAAGGCCTGCTAAACCCCAAAGCCATCGAACACTGTTTGGGGGCCACACAGCACAATGAAAATAAGAACAGCACCACCTGGGAGGTGGCAGGGTGTCTTGAGGCCGACAAGCCAAAGATGCGCCTGCCCGAAACCAGATGCAGAAAGTTAGCAGTGCCGCAATCAACCAAAAAAGGGTCAACCGCCTGCACAAAAGAGTTGTCACGGGCGCAGGTCTCCAAACCCTAAGGTTCGAGGGTGTCAATTCACCGATAAATCCCCCAGAAGGAGGAATAACCCCATCCGCAGCGATTATCTGACACCGAAGATGGGCACTTGACAACTATTACTGATACATCAGTTAGAACATATAATGATAAGAATTTTGTATTAGCAGTCTATGCTTAATTCAATAGCTATAAGGGGTGGTGGGTGGGCATAATTTCATAGAATATTTCTGTAACTAATTACTTGCTATACAAAATTAATCTATATCAATATTAATTATATTTCAGCTAAAGCTACAAGAAGAAAGAAGGCCTCATACATGCCATGCATAGCAATGGCCCACTCAAACAAGTCTGTTTTGCTGCAGTAATAGGATTGGATCCTTGAGCAGGAATGTAGTTAGCAAGCATTTGTTTAGAGTCTGTACTGGCCTTGATAGCAGTAGTCCATTTTGCATCATCAACAAGCTCAATTACCATCATTGGATCAGAGGAGGACCATCGTAGAGCAGAATCAACCTTAATAGGACAGTAGTTTTGTCCCTTCAACTCTCTGTACTGCTTGAGAAGAATTTTACAGAGAGATCCATTGATTTCTTTTGGGAGCTTTCCTAGAAATCTCTGCAGAGTAATCTCATCTAGTAGTTCAAGCTCTCGAAATTCCTGTCTTAGATGGCCTGATGCTCCAGCCTTAATGCACTCATCATCAAATCCCTGAATAATTATTGTACCATCTGCAGTAGACCCTCTAGAAAGTGCTGTATAATATGCCATGTGGTTACGACAGCTGTTTAGATTAACAACATTGAATTTTCGGGTCTTTCCTTGAGATGAGTAGTCTGTCATTGCAAAATTGGGCAATATTGAAACCTGTGAACGATTAATTGTCAATGGCATTTTCAAACCTTTGCATTCAACACTTCCAGATAATCTTGTAAGTGGCACTACATTCTCAGGCAATCCTTCCAGCTGAATAGTACGGGCTGGATTGTCCAGGCAAACAAACAAGATATCCAAAATCTGCTGGCCACTAGGCCCTACACCAGACTGCCAGCCTGCTACAAAACCTTCTTGGCCTTTGGTGATGCACAGCTTGGTAGCATTGTTGTTGCGAATAATCACAGGCATGCCTAGACACAGCAATAGCTTACCAGCAACACCTTCAGTAGCAGAATGTCTTAAATTCCAAATTACATCTTGGAGTCTATCTGGAATGGATACCTGCTTTCTCCACTTTCTTTGCTGCATTGAGCAGAGTTCAACAATATCTGCCTGAGAATTATCACTCATAGTATCGATAGAATAGAAGTGGGTAAGCTGCTGTCCCGTCTCCTCAGTGAATCGTTGACTGCCGAGATGGTTAATCTGGTCTTTCTCAGTGTTAAGGCCTACAATAATGGACACATTGTGGAAATTGCTACTGCTGATATCAGGTTGGCCAGGTTGCTTTCCAGCAATTCTTGTATGAAGAAAGTCAATATCATCAAGAGTGCATGCTGCATAACGCATATTTTCCAGTGCAGTTTGGAGCTTCTTGTCTTCTGGAGATTGCATCTTCTGTCTCATATTTTTCCATAGAATAACTGTTGTTGTAATCTGGTGCCACAGAGCCTTTCCAATTGCATTCTGTTGGCCTGCCTCAGTTATTGATGAATCAATGGTAGTACCAACAGTTGTGCTATACAATGCTGCTCCCCAGACAGGTGCTAGCTGGGCAAAATCTCCAGCAAAAATCATATTCACTCCACCAAATGGAGAGTCATAATTGTCTCTTACCTTTGCAAGTTGAGAGCTGATCTTATATATGTCCATGCAAGATACCATTGAGACTTCATCAAGAAATATGTAGTCAGTACCATCAAGACGATCACGAACTTGATCTAGCAGCTTATGCTCATTCATTTTCCGGGTACCATCTGACTGAATACCAAGTGCAGAGTGATAAGTTGAACCATTTAATAATGCAGCTGCAGAGCCTGTTGGGGCTAAGATTAGTATTCGATGAGACTCCTTTCTCTTTGCAAAGAATGATATCAATGCTTTAATAACCTGAGACTTGCCTGTACCACCCATACCTCCAAGATACATCTTAAGCTGCTCAACTTTTAAGAGTGTAGCATGATTGGCTACTATACAAAATGCCCGCTCTTGCTCTTCATTCAAGGAGAATTCACTGACAGTCTCATCAATAAAGGTTTGCTCCTCAGCTTGCTTGGCTTTGAATTTCTTATCAATATAAGACATTGGAGAGACAACAACTTCATCTATGTATCCATCTCCAGCCTCAATGTCTTCAGACTTTGATGAACTGCTAGGAAGATGTTCATTCCTTTTACAAAGAATAAGCTGCTTAGCAGTTGCAACAATTATGTTCCACTTGGTACTCGGAATGATATCTTGGAGCTGGATGCTTGAAATTTCAATTGGAGACAGATTTTTCAATTTGCTTAGCCAGCCTATATCTGTAATAACTTTCTGAATGTCAGCCATTTCCTTCTCATGATGGGAATCCTCATTGAGCAGGTCTGGCAGGAAATTGTCTTCATCAAAGTCAATGACTGGGCCATCGTCATTGTATTCCATTATTCCCTTGGTGTCATCAAGCTTGCGCACTTCTTCATCAGTCATCCATGAGGACATGAGTCCAGTAGTCAAGGAATCCTTCTTGAGCTTAGCACTGTAGTCATCTTGTGAGTCATTGCATTCATACCTAAGATTGAAGTTACCTATAATTTCTTTCTGACGTGGAGAGAACTCGTGCAAGTAGAAGGCATTATCCCAGGTCTGAGTAGCATTCTTTAGATCCAATCCACTCTGCCAAGGCTTGAAAAGTGTGAGCATTGTTGAGCAATAATATTCACGATCACCTTGATTGCTTCTTGGAAGTGTTCCACCTAGAAAATTTGGAACTACAAGAGGATCATCCTTCACAAGCATCACTTGATGTGTCTTATACTGTGGATGTTGAGGGAGGAATGAAAATTTCTTTCCATTGCAACTTTCATTCAAAGGCTTGTCAATGATATTGAGTTTGTCCTCAGTCTCATTGGATTTTCCACCACCTACAGAGTCTACAATGTTCAGCTCATCCTCACTTTCAGAACCAGCTAATTCATCTGATGCCTGAAATGATAATTTCTGAAGAAACACTTTCTTTTCCTTGGGTGTTCTCTTTGACTTTTTGACACATCGAATCCACTCATATAGGCTGATATCTTGGTATTGTGTGGGCCGATAGATATAGTCTTGGACTTTGGAGAGACCTACATATTTTCCCAAGTTTTTATTGAGGATGACCTGCTCCTGTTTCTCATCTTCTGCTTCTGCTTCCCATATCTTTTGCGCCTCTCGAACATAAGCCTTCCAGTAGACATTCTCAAATTTGTGCTGAGTATAGTGATCAGGATTTCGAAGCAGGTACAGAGAAGCCATAGGACTTCCTATCTCCATTTTTGCTGTTAAATGATTCACCATCTTTGTCATGAGTGATCTTTGGTTTGAGGCAGATGATCTCCGCCGCATCACCTTCGTCTATGTTCCATCTGCTTTGCGGTGGGACATTCATGGTGAGGCACATAAGTACGTCACCGAACTTAAGGTCAGGGTTGGACATCACAAGACGGACAATTCTATAGATGCGCTGCGCTCTCGAGCTGCACACTCAAGTCTGGATGCATGGGGCTCCATGTTCCAGGATCATACCTACTGAGGCTCTGAATTTTTGGAGCTTCAATGGCCTGACGGATGGCTGATACAGCCATCCTACCTCAACAGGGGACCTTGGCTTTCAACCTTTGGACACAGTATCACTGAGTTCACTTGTGTCTGCCGGTGTATAACTGGCCATGCGTCCATTGGAGCATACTACTGTCG